TTTTCCCCCCCCCCCCCCACCTTCCCTCTTGCACAACCCGAAGTGTCCGAACTAATTACGAGCATGTGTCCGTCCGAAAATCATAAATCATGGCTGATTTATTGTCCATTATATTGGTAACTCATGCGCATATGCACGGTATAGGCGCGGGATTGTAAGTTACAGTACGTTTCATTACGTCATGCTTTCGATTCGATGCTATGACGTGTGATTTTTCGGGCGTTAATTCGCAGCGGCTTTAACAGGGGAATCGTTTATGCATGTAGCTAGTTTGTACGACATTAACTCGTCAACTTTTAACTGTTCCAATTTCTCCGGCATATTGTCGATGCACTTTAACATTGTCGATCTTACTTTTATGAAGATACCGAAATTCAAATCGAAAGTGGCGCCGCTGTCGTATCGTAGTACGATTTTCAGCCACCAGAGTAATACGAACTATGGCGTCGACGTGGATTCCTGCGTTAACTCATAGTTTTGTTTTTATTATGAATCGTAAGTTTGTATTAGCTTTGTTGGTTTTCTTTCCAATTTTCTTTTTTAATTGAGAATGATAGAAATCTTCTCGAGTGGAATGGACGACAATGATAAGCTGCCTCGACAATTTCTTACGAGAGACAATGGAACGACAACGAATTAAGATACAAAATTGATTGACATTTTATTTTCCCTCCTTCAAGACGAGTACAATCTAAATCCTGGTTTAGAATGGGAGGACGAATTCACAGGTAGGTAATCTTCTTCAGAAGTTGATTCACTCTACCTAATTGTGTCACAGCGATCACAAGTTTCGTTCTCACTTATTTCACATGAAAAAAAAATTGTTTTCTCGTTTCCCTATGTTCTCTCACGTAACTTTATCGTTTTGTTGTTTAGCTCTTTTTTTTTTCATTTTTTTTTTCTTCTCTCGCTCCGTTATCAATTCTCGTTAGATTCTCGTACTTCAAATCGAGGGAATCATTTATATTTTTGGGACTGCTCAAAATTGCTTGATGAGTTACTGTATCATTCCATTCACCCATGTACCTATAATGAATTAATTATTAGACTTAAGTTAACTTGCGACGCGATGTACCTTGCGGGTTCCATTTTTTATGCACATTAATTTTGTTCATTTTTTTTTTTTAAATACGCATCTTCATCCGTGACACAATTCTGTACATAGAAGTTCGCATGGTACATCATGGCTTACTGTACACGTAGTGCAGACTTGATTCAATTTATCTAACAAAGTAATAACTCTCTTTTTTTCTTTCGATTCGTAGTTGAAATAATTTGAATTTTTTTTTTTCATTGTCTCTATACCATAAACTGTAGTTCAGCCACGAGTTACCATGCATGAGACTCGGGAAGCTGCGTTAACGCGTCTTCGCGTTTCTTTACTATTTTTTTTTTCCTTTTATTTTCTCGTTGCGTATTTTGCCGACGACGTTTTTTTTTTTGCGAATTGACAGACTCTCGTTCGTCGTATCGTTTGGATTTTTCGGAATTTGTTATTTATTCGCGATAACCCCATACACACGGTTCGCACTTCACCTCATATGCCATTTCTATGTATATATTAATTACTATTTTCTCATTACACTCGGCACTATCAGTCATTCATCGTAACTTGTCATTGTTTGACTGTCTGGCAATCTTGCAATGGCTTTCCGTTCGATCAGATCAGAAATCCGATGCTTCTATCTTGATTTCGTGAAGTGGGATGTCTCTTTGAAACGCCCTTCTGTCTTCTTAAAGTTTCACGAGGCATCAGCCAGTTTCTCCGTCCATTAGAGACTCACGTTTTTGGGACTTAATCTCATTTTCATTCACGATCCGTAATAGTCATCGAATTCTGTGACGAATCATCGAAGACGCATGCCAATAGTAAAAGGGTGGAGAGACACGACTCATAGGAAACCGAAGACTATTTATTGTTTTTTTTTTTTAAAAAAGAAACGACTGATTTTTTTGTATTTTTTTTTTTTCTATTACTTACCGTCGATCAGATTTAATTATCGCGCGCATAACTAACCTCATTGCATGTCGTCACGGCGAGCCGTCATTATTTTCATTCTCTTTTTAATGTACAAAGTTCGCTTAAACTCGCAGCATGGACTCGTACGAATTTTTTAATTTTGTGCTAGTGTAATTCTAGTTTCTTTTTTTTCAACCAATATGCTTTCGACTGGGCGTATACGATATTCTGGTAACTTCTCGTTAGGATACTTTTTGCACAATCTTACTTTTTTTTTTCCGTCGTACCAATATCTTTGAGAGTCGAGCATTAGAAGAGCGAAATTCCATTTTCGTTTTGTCAGTCAAAATATTCTGTACCTTGATACTATCGAAGAGATATTTGTTACAATGTCAATTGATTTAGGGAGGTTATGTTAACCGTTAATCAGCATTTGTAAGAAGTCACGTTAAAGCTATCAGGAGGCAGAGCACAAGTGATTTTTTTGATTCCATAGGTATCCGCCATTTTTCAGTGACTTTACGTCAGTCGTGAAGTTGGCTTCAGTTTTGTTCTTGTTTACGCATGAAAATGCCGAGTAAACTCTTAGCGCCATCACACACAGTGGGTCTGTTCTCGTTAGATACACTTCTTCCACTTTTCATAAGTGCAGATTCTCATTGTTTACTTAAAAATATCATCCAATAAGCATTTGTACAGAACAGATCTAATAAAACGTAAGCGCTAGATGACCAAACGACCATGATATTTTAGTCTTATGGACGTCTGCTCGTTGGCCCAACGCTTACGTTAGGTCTTGCGTTTTTTGTGTGCGATGGCCCTTACGGTCGACTGGCATGGCTATACGAAGGTAGATACAATGCCGGTAGCATTTTTCACAACAACGTACCTTGTTCGAGTAAAAGAAAAAAGAGGAGTCGCATGTTATCAGGGTACGCGAGACGTTGTTCTAAGATTGTCAATTCGAATCAGGTATTGACGTACGAGAATGCAAGGACTATGATTTGCGTGACGTAGTAAATGAGTAATTATTGAAAGTAAAAAAAAAGAAGAAGAAGAAGAGAGATATAGAACAGTAGTCGGTAGGAGTCACATTTAGATAGGATTGTGGCAGAGCTAGGGTATTCGTAGCGGGACCAGCTTATTCACCACAGTTTTGACATATGATGATGGCCAAGCCGAGGATGAAGAGAGCAGCTTGCCCCACATGGATGGTTTCCAGAGTAAACTACCACCGGGAATTCTACCTCACGGTTTGCCACAAGTCAAGGAAGTTCAGCCGGCAATTACCCAAGTGGAACAGGAAAAGGAAAAGGAGAAGCCTAAGGAAGGTATGAGAGTGAGAGAGACGTATGATATTTTTTTGCTGATCTTATGGTTGATTTTAATTGGAGAAATTCGTTTTCTTTTCAGTCAAGGAACTGAGCGAGGAAGAGAAACTCATGATTATACTGTCCGAGGATTTTCGAAAATTCTTCGACAGAGCGTGTAGGATCGTTGAGAGAGCCATTGGGGAGTCTGTTGATATTTATACTGATTATACCGGTACGATAGACGGCGAGGATGCCATGTAAGTATATGGCGATTGATAAAATTTTCAAGGTTTAGGCTGGCAATCAAATAATGGAGATCAATGTACTTTCAGGGATGAGAAAAGTCATCAGCGACTTTGGCTGAATCGTAATTTCTTCTGCGAGCGCTGGTCGCGCAATCGATGCGTTACGTCTATGGATTGGTCGCCTCAGTTTCCTGAGCTGCTGGTTGCTTCGTACAATAACAACGATGACACTCCTAATGATCCGGATGGCGTCTGTCTTGTGTGGAACACGAAATTCAAGAAGACTACGCCTGAGTATATATTTCATTGTCAGTCTCCGGTTATGTCCACTACCTTTGCGAGATTTCATCCTAATCTCATTCTGGGAGGGACGTACTCCGGACAGATTGTTCTGTGGGACAACAGGGTCCAGAAGAGAACTCCGATTCAGCGTACTCCTCTATCCGCTGCTGCTCATACGGTATTAAAATTTTTTTTTGTCATTTGAGATTAACCGTGAGGTGGATATATTTTTTTTCTTATGCTTCATTATCCTTGCAGCATCCCGTTTACTGTCTGAGCGTTGTTGGAACGCAGAATGCCCATAATCTGATAAGTATCTCGACCGATGGTAAACTCTGCTCCTGGAGCTTGGACATGCTCTCGCAACCCCAGGAGAAACTGGATCTTCAGACGAAACAGTCTAAGCCTATTGCGGTCACGTCGTTGGCGTTTCCACACAGTGACGTTAACAACTTCATCGTAGGGAGTGAAGATGGCACTGTTTACTCTGGTAGTTCTGTCGTTCGATATTGTAACTTTATTGTAAAGGATGTCGGGGTACTGATGATTCTCATTTTTCACGTACAGCTTGCCGTCACGGTACCAAAGCTGGCGTGACGGAAACGTACGAGGGTCATCAAGGTCCGGTCACTGGAGTTAGCGCACACCTGGTACAGGATGGTATTGATTTCTCTCATCTCTTCCTTACCTCCTCCATCGATTGGACCATCAAGCTTTGGAGTCTCAAGGAAAATAAACCCCTGTACTCCTTTGAACACAATGGCGATTATGTGTACGACGTCGCCTGGTCGCCAACACATCCGGCACTCTTTGCCGCCGTTGATGGGCAGGGTAGACTTGACCTCTGGAATCTTAATCAGGATACCGAGATTCCCGCGGCCAGCATCGTCGTGGATGGTGCTCCTGCGTTAAATAGAGTCTCTTGGACTCCTAGTGGGTTACACGTTACAGTTGGCGATGACACTGGCAAGATCTGGGTCTACGATGTCGCCGAGGTAAAGTTTCTTGTACGATTATCACTCCGAGAACTGCCTTACCATTCTGTATTATGTTGTTTCAGCATCTGGCACATCCCAAGATCGATGAGTGGAATAAATTCCTGCAGACGCAGCAGGAACTCAAGAATAATAAAGCGGACGAGGAGTTGGATAAACTTAATCTAAGCTCAGGACCTTCGTCCTTAACGTCTATGACTTCGATGTCCTCCTGCTCCATCAGATAGACAGATAAGCCCGATTTAGCTGCTATATATATGAAGTCCTTAATACTCTAGCCTAACCACGCAACGTTACAATTAGTGCAACTCACTGCAAGTCGGAACTAAGAATTAACGACAGGCCGATGATATACTAAAATTTATTTAATACTTCTAGCATTGCTACGAGGTTAGGCAGCGTTTCACGTGCTTGTTATAATATGAAAACGAAATGACATTTTTGTTTTGTAAAGAAAGAAAAGAGAGTAACCAAGGGAACTGATGATACCACTATTAATCTCCTGTCTCGCTCTGTAATGACTATGGTCGTTTGTTTTTGATTAAACGATTCTTGCGTCTTGGCCTCTAACGGAGAAAATAAAATAAAGAAATTGCGATATTGTTAATGCGAAGCATTTCACAATGAATAAATGAGTATTTATCTTTTCTGCTTTCTATGTAAATAATATGTAATCCTAAATTTATTGACAATTTAACTTCTTGAAGGTGGAATGGTGTATGCGATGGTTTACCGAATGAATGTAAATCAAATTGTAAAATAACTTTGTCAATTGTTTTAATCATATTTTTAAAAGTCAGTTGACCGTACTTTAAAAGTTCTTTGCGGTTTGATAATTTCTTTTTCTTTTTTAGTAATGCTCAAAATTCGAGCCAGGCATAGCGAACTGATAAATTATCTTCTGTAATTTCTTTTTTTAAATTGATTTAGCTGAATTTGTATAAGTTATCAAATAAAAGAATGGTTCGAATAAAGTCGTATCGCAGTAAAGATACATTGCTGTTTTATATAGTGTCAGTAGGTTGTCGTTACAGAAAATTACCATGAAATTTTTCAAATGTACTGATCCTTATTAGAATTAGAATGACTAAGCGTGTCCCTCTGGTCGCTTTTAAAAGCAAGACTGGCTGATCTTGTCACTGAAACTGGGTCAGGGAAAATGAATTCGTTGTACGTGTCAGATAATTCAGAGGCCGTAAAGAGCTGTTGCTCTTTACGTATCTCTAGGTCAATTGTACATAAACACAGTGTAAACGACGAAGAGGGAAACGAACGAATTCATAGTGAAACTTTTTACACGGCACAAATGGAGAGTTGCTCTCGCTTTACCTTTAACGGTTTTTAGCCCTGTAATTTTCTTCGTGGCAACTAACTGACGCTGTTTGCTAATGTGAACGGAGTTGAATCATGAGACCTCGATCTGTATACTCTAATCGCGTCCGTAATAATACCCGTTTCCTTAATTATTTCCAAAAATCTTTCTTATTCCATACCAAATCTTAGAATTCTGACTCATACCGTAATGAGATGGAATCACGTATTGAGGTAGGACATTGCGTATGAGGAAAGGATGGATAATGTAAATGAAAGAGAAAGACAGAGAAAAACTCAAGGTAAAATCGATGACGCAGATGAATGACGTAAAGATACAGGTGTATGAATTAATGACGTGACGACAAGACATGTCATATTTAATTATAAGTATGGCGTTGGGCGGTGCTGGATGCGTCATACTTTGGATCGATAGATTGTAAGCATTGGCAAGTTAATTGCATCGATATCGGATAGAATCGTGAAATTGCAACCGTGTCGTTTTTATTGGTTTTGCGGGATTGCAACCGCGTTGCGAAGCGTGTGCGGCTTGTGACGGCGCGATGGGAGGGAAAGTAAAAAAAGTTCCTGTCGATATCCCCGCGTTTGATAGGCACGAGCGCCAAACTGCGGAGTCTGGGGGAAGGTGAAAACGTTGTAAAAAGATCCAGTGACCGTTCGCCGGCCGTGGAGATAAGTCGAGGTGGGATTGTTCTTCGTTACGGTGCTGATCTCATACCTATTTGTCAAACAGTTGGACAGTTTCTTTGACGATTGTGTTGTAAGGAAAGTGATAGCACAACAATGGGTGATAAAAAGACTGGTGAGTTTTGAAAATTGTTTTTTAGATAAATGACAGAACATTTGTGTGAGTGACAGTACGGTGGTTCCTTTTTTTTTAATTTTAAACGGTCAGCATATATATGAGACTTAATGCATTTGATGCCTGAGGCAATTCTTAATGGTTTTCAAGAAATTATGAACCATTTAACATATTTTCATTTTTTCAAGTCCGATTTGGTTTTATTGTTATAGTGAAATGATTTGCATTATTATTTAATTGTTTTAAAAATGTTTTTCTCATTGTAAAATTGTTTTATCCGTGTAGAACATATTGTTATGACACCAAAGTGCAAAACCGCAAAGTCCACTACACTGATTATTGAGAGACAGGCACTGGACCCACCCGCTGAGAATGGAAATGAGCAAAATGTTCATATAGCCGGTGGAGATCATAAAGGGATTGTCATTAATAAACAGACAGCGGCTGGTAAGCATTGAATTATTTTGATAGATTGATGGAAAATTTTGTAAAACTTGTTATTGGATAATTTGAAAAATTATTCTAGTGGCCAATGGTGCCTCTAATCCACCACACCTGTGTTTGGAGTTTAGAGTGTTCCTTGTAAGTGCTCAAACTGGTAAACACACCCAAGAATCTAGAACACTGCAGTTTTGGTTTACGGAGTCGCTTCCAGAAATTGAACAACCCAGCATCGCACAAGAGTTCTTCCGTGAACTGGTTAGTCCACAAGAATTTCCAAGAGGTAAGCTGTAAATCGAAAATTAAATCATGCTCTGCCCCTTCATTTGACTGCCCCTTACTTTCATCGACCATCTGTGGAAAGCATGTGTAACAATAGGCATCATAAATTTTGTTCAGTGCTTACAAAAGTGCTGAATGGTCAACTATAAAATCAGATTTATTGCTGTGTCAAGAATATCTCAATGCATTTCTTAAAGTAGTTTTTTTTAGAAAATGCTTATGCACAATTTATCTTAAAAACACTATTCACAGATGGTACCCAGCAATCCTATCTTTCCTCTTATTACACCATTATTTCTATCTTCTATTACAGACTATGTCGGATTTATAAAGAAAATTATGAAACTAATGCAGCATAAGTACACTACCATACAGAAGCTTGAAGTTGAACTGAGGCAACTCGATGAACCAATTAATCTTCCCACCAGACCACGTAAGTGGATATTTTTTTCTACGACTTATCTTAATCTATCATTTAGTTATACATACGCAAGATTATCGGCTAAAGCTGTGCATTACTACCGGTAGGCAGCAAGGTATTTTTATACAAAGAACTATAAATAGTATGGTCGACAATAGGATCGACAAAATCATCAGCGTTTTCTTGCTGTGCAACACGCAAGGTCGCATACGCTTGAGTCCATAAAATATGAATATGATTGATCTTATTGTGCCTTTGTTTAAAATCAGTATCCATAACGTTCACATATACATAATCGCTCTGCGATAATACATAATTTACCTGCAACCCTTATCAGATAGATACATACAGTGTCTGGGCCTTTACTTACCTAACTTATCTTATCACATATTTTAATCTTATTAACTATATTGAATTCGTGACTTATCCAATATAGAAGAGTCGTCACACTGAAATTTGCATAACTATACAAAAAAAATTTCCAACGAACTTCGCCTACACTATTGACATAATTACCACACCTCTTTTACTATAATTATATCTATATTTTAGACGATCTGGGCTACCTCATGTGTTCTAGTATTCATTGAAAAATACATACCAAGCTTCATACCTCTTTTCTTTGACCTTACATCATAGCAGCATTCACTTCCGACAGGACGTATGAAGTTACGTCTCATAGAACGTAATACGACTCTGCTGATCTTAGCAGGAAAACAACTGTTCTTTATTTAATCTGTCTCTTCTCACAAGAATCGACGTGCAGACAGGAGAATGAATAATGATAAAGATTCAAGTAGTACAATGCATCTTTCAATCATACAACATTCTGTCATTCACCATAAGACGTGGGTCTTAATCAGTTAAGTATTTAACGTGGGTCAAACTTTGACCCTACAAGGATGCAGGGTTCACTATCAAGTAAATTAGTTTCATTGAACTAAGTGGTTGCTTGTTGCTTGTTCACCAAGATTATTCCAGCAATTTGTCTCAAGTGTGTCTACGAAAGTTAATACTCTTACAAGGAAACATCTACTTGATATTGATTATATGTATTAATTATTGATATTTTTGAGTTTCAATAATATACTGGATACCTGTTTACGTTGCTCTTGAAACACTCAGAGCATTTTCAGAATATGACTCTAGATTGTATAACGCTATACAATTGCACACAAGAATCATTGTTTTTCGTTGGTTAAAAAATACTGTTGTTAATATTTGATATTGTTCTCTGCAGCTCGAAAAGGCTACATGCTCTTCACACTTCCTCGGCCTGAGAAAATCATTTCAAGATCAGGTTCGAACAGACAACTTTAGTTTGGCATTGTTCCTGCCACGTTTCTGTTGAACATTTTTTTTGTTCTAAAGCTGCCAGCGCATACTCACACGCCGTATGTAGCTTGGCGTAACACAGTCAGTAATATTTACCGGTCAAAGGAAGCTTCGCCATCTTGCACTACGATACCGTGGTCGCGGCTATCAGTAGAGTATTAGTTAATTGAATTTTGGAGCTACGTCTTGCGCTCAATTGATTCACAACGCTTCGTTTAATTTACCATACAATTGGTAACGCTTCGAGCATTGCACTCATCCATGACTCATTTCCTATTCTCGTTCTTAACATCATCTTGGTATACTGGATAAGCTAAAGTATGAAGCAGACATTGATTAGCCTTTCATACGTCAAGTTTGAAATTGTCTAACTATAGCGTTGTATCTAAATTAATAGAAAAACCAATATGGGAATTGCGCAACTGTTTATATTCATCTACATTGATCCATTGACCGGTAGATATTTTTGCATCATACCACATTGCAGACTGTGGTATCCATAACAATATCGATTTAACAAAATTTCTGTAATCTGAGTTATATTTCTCTTCTTTTTTTCGCGTTCAATAATCAGTAACACGAGTGCCATTTCGTTTTCTAACAATCTCACTTGACATTTGCAGTATGATATTTACCAGAGGAGAAACTATGAATTTATAAATTCTCATTATTCTCACCAAGGGACAGTTGTCTGGTTTTATTTTTTGACTGCAAATGAAACATTGATTTTTACATTTAATAAAGTTCTTGGCTCCACTACGTAACATGACCTAGATATCATATTTCCTAGGCAGAGTGAAGTACAGCGTGCATGTTACCCTATTTACATATGGTTGTGTACAGAGTACTTGGACCAGTACACTTTGCAAGTCTTTCTACGCGTGAACTCTATTTTACTTTGATCTTTCTATTTCTAGGGATACATTTCAATTAGTCCAGACGACTTTTACAAATATCACACCGTTATTCCACCTGAGACATAATGATGTGCTATAGAAATTGTACAAGAATAATTTACAAGTAAAATCGTGTACTTTGTACATCTGTTGTTTTCTTTATTGATTTTTACAATTTTTACATAGCAACAGAGAGGTTACTTTCGTTTTTATCAGTCACTCCCAATTAGTGTGTTACTCATTGTTTGGGAATGGTACCACGAATTTCGATCAGAGATTATGTCTACACAGGAAATACACTATCTATGCAAATAAATGCTATCTTGACCAGCTGTTCATAAAAGGAGTGGCTTTATATGTTTTTCGGATTACTACAAGGGTATTGGATATTTCTATCGTGTAAATTAATCAAGTGAGAAACTATCTGAATTCTTTTAATGGTCAAAAACAATTTTTAATAAATGAATAATTATGAATTTTACTCTTTTCAAGGTTCCCTTGATTTTGCCCATGGAATTTGCAAATATTTAGGACTTCCTCTTCCGGATCTATATATTCTGTTGCACTATGCAATCTGGAGCTTACAGTTACCAGTAGACTGTGTTCCCTCAAACAATCAGGCATGTCGATCACCAGGGGTACTGAGTCTATCAATAGCATAATGACTTCCCGTTACTATTCATTGATTAGAGAAGCGCAGCTATATATAGCGATCACTTTGGAGTTGTCGGACACGCCTAATAATTATTTAATCGAAGCGCGAGGCATCTGATGAATTTTTAATTATCCTTGACGCCGTACGTCATAGCGTATCCGCCGGGCTTAACGCGATGAAAACAAAGTATGCCGGACTGATCTAAATTCGTGACTCTCCCATAATGCCAGATGCTCGACCTAAATCTCTTGACTGGCTTAGGATCTCCAGGGGATGCCAGTAGGATCGATCAGATAGTCCAAAATGCTCCTCTGCACCAGGGTCTTTTCTGTATTATTAATGAGTTACTGGAGTACGCAATTATTCGAGTAGTAATTGCACTAACCAGTGTGTTTAGCTGAGTCTTTTCTCTAGCAATAACTTATTAGACACCTCTAAGACACTCGCTCGACACTCAGTCTAAGCTACTTTGAATCAGTATGCTGATACTTGAACGAGGATACATAGAGACAGTTATCTTCTTGATGCTCAATGTTGCAGCTTCAGATCTCAGCTTGTCTGATCAGATTATTGTAAGTCTATTATATTTTCAGTGTCTGCAGATGAAACTGCTATGGGTCAAATTGTGGAGCTTACCTTGGAGAAGGTCTTGGAACTCATCGAATCTGCCTATCCAAATCCTGTCACCGTTACCGACATGGCCAAGTAATTTATTAACAGTTTTGGTTGTCAATGGGAAGTCACACGGTGATGATGATTTCTTATAATTTTTATTGTTGCCTTTTTAGGGAACATGGCTGGGAACCTGCTGCTGTCGAAGCCAAACTTAAGATATTGCAAGAAAAGGGTGTTGTTAAGGCCATGGAACATGGAGCATACACAAGAGTCGTACATCAAGATACGCACATTAAGGTACAAAATGAATTCAGCAATGTTGTGTAAATTTTTTATTATTTGGTTAACCAGTTCCCTTATGACTAATTCAATTTTAATTGTTTTTATCAGGTCGTCAAGCAGATGCCTACCATGGCAAGCTCAAAACAACCAACCATCGCTATTATTACTGCTCAATATTGTGAGAAACTCGCTGTAGATTCGATGATCGAGAACAAGGAAACCTTTGTTCGTTACACTACAGTTGGTGAGTTATCGATAATCCCCATAGGATTGACGTTCACGTTGTCAGTGATAGTGAAGCTTTGAGGAGGATTCACAAGAGTCAATTGCCCAAGATTGTTATATGCCACGGTTAAAATTAACTTCATACAAAAAGAATACTAAATCTGTATGAAAAACATTGCTAATTATAGATGCTTAATTAACATTAACGATGGGATAAGTTTTCAGTATTTAGATATTTGTCAAAACTTTAACGAATGGTCCTGACTCTGGACAGTATTTATTTTTCATTCGTATTTTCGTGCGGAATTCCAATGTAGGCTTTAATACTGACTTTTCCTCATACTTTATCATGCATGATACTTTAGGTACAGCGAGCTCCCCGGATGCCCCCGATGGAACACCTCGAGTGATTTGCCGTTTTGGTAAAGTAGTTTGTAATATAGTTTTCTTCTTCGGTCTACTGCCATTTAGAGATTCACCTCATAGCTTGACAATTGCTTGTGTCCGAGGAACGTTACAGGGCGAAGGTGCCGTGTTTTCACATTGCCAGAGGAATCATCCGAGTGTTTTATTGTTATTTTCATTTGTTGTTTACCGTTTTATTGTCACTCACGATATATGTTTTGTTCACTTACACTATATCATCCCCTCATTGTCACTGAGCACAGTTAAAGTCATACCTCATCCATTGTTAAGAAATTTCGTTCTGAAACTATGCATCAATCACTTTTATTATTTGGTTCAATTCCTATTATTGCGATGACATATTTCTTCACCAATTTGACACATCAATTTGAAATTTTTATATTTGTAAATCCTATCATTTCCCTTCCACTCCTAACACCATGCTCAAATAGCACATTCTAATATTACAATTGACAGTACCTCGAGATTTGTTTTAATTATAATTCTATTTAGTATCAGGATCTATAAGACATAGCAGAACGAATTTTTCCTCGAATGTAACACTTTATGTATTCATATTACCTCACCAACAACACTGCTCCTATTCAGGTCTCGTCGATAGCAGCACCAATGCACATGTATTATACACGATTTCAATACCTAATTTGCAATAAGAGCTGGAACAAACTAGATAACAGGGTACTTTATAAATTACAGGCGAATCGAATGTCTACACTTTGGGTAATATCGGTGCTCACAGAATCGTTTGTACGAAGTTACCAAGAGTTGGACACACCAGGGAAGCCATGACGGCAGCTGGTAACACTACAACTAGATTATTAGGTGAGTCTCTACGGCTGATTAATTTATTAACTGTAAATTAATCGCTACTCTCCACTTCAACAGGTACATTCCAAAAGGTGGATTTCGTCTTTCTGGTAGGAGTTGGCGGTGGCGTTCCGCATTATACGGATTATCATAAGCACGTCAGACTTGGTGACGTAGTAGTGTCTCATCCGACTCCGTTGAACAAGAAATATGTTTATGTTTATTGCGAGAATGCAAAGCTCGCTGAGAAGGGCTATCATTTTGAGACCAAGGAATATTGTCCGACTAATTTAGGGCTACAGGAAATAGCAGCTAATCTCAAGTCTCAGGTAACGTTTCTGTAGAAATTCGCTACCAGGTACAGCCGCTGATGTCTTTGACCCAGGATGATATAAAATCTTTTAATGTTTTTTTATCGACAGGCTGAAAATGGCACGAATCCCCCGTGGCAGACATATTTGAATGAAGGATTGGATGCCCTGTGTACACAATCCGAGCATGACTTTAAAGCGCCGCCACCAGAGTCAGATAAATTGTATATGGCAATCGGTGATAGGGATGTCATCGAAGTGGCTCATCCAATTGCGCCTCAGGATTCAACCAAGAAGAGGTGAGTGACTTTCAGTTGTATGGATAATTTTGACGAATAGCTGTAATGGGTTCGTTAGCTAATTTTTATTTTATTCTAAGATTGGATGGCTGCCCACGTATACACTTGGCACCTGTTGCATCCGGTCGTCAAATCGCCAGGGACGATCAGCTGCGACAGAAATTTGCCACGAGGTTTGGCGCCCTGGCCTTTGACGCTGAGATGGACGCCGTCGTCGAGAGTATCCTGGGTAACTGTCGTGACAGCTTCGCAGTGGTACGTGGCATTTCTGATTACAAAGATGGTTCCCGGGCAAAGGAATGGCAACCTTACGCATCATTGGCAGCTGCCAGTGTAGTCAAAGCGATAATTTGTGCTATGGACGCGCCAACCAACGTTTAAGTAGCTAGGTAACCAATGAATGACTTGGTTCGAGTCATCGTCCGGGATCACTATGCAATACAACGACCGGACAATGATTTTGACTGACTGAAACGGGGTAATGAAACCAAAATGCAATTGGTTTCCCTTTTATGATGATAATGAATTAATGCTGTCATGTTCTATTGAATGTAGAAACTTAGGTGATAATAGGAAGACTACGACTGGTCCTTCTTGATAATTAGTACAGGACGTCATTAACGAGCCAAATGGTTTATTTATTATAGAATTTCACGTATAAGTGATAGAGTTACATTCTAAGTTCTGTACGTTCTTTAAGGATGTGCCATTTTTGAAAATTTTTACTTTGTGTCTATTTAATACTTAGGTATCGGGATACCTAATGTCAATGCGATTCTTTTTATACGATTCCTTTTTGCCTTTTTACAATTTCTTACCGATTTTCACGAATTTTGCATAAATACAAAAGCAGTATACTTGTAGCATAATAGACGATCGATTATTGCGCTCGGTATACGTTTACATGCCGCTGCGATTCAAATCTAATTATACGTAACTGATAATCAATATCAAAATATAGAAAACAAGGGGCCTAAGGCGGAGTATAAGAATTACAGTCTGCTAGGTGAATAATAGTAGCCAAGGATTTCTAAGTCATACTTGTGAGTAACCGGGAACCTAGTGGACCCTGATAGCAATTTCGAAAACGTAGAGACTATAGTATTTTACGAATTTGAAGAGAAAAAAAAAGAAGACAGATGTTTTAAATATATTAGAAACCAATAGCCGTGATAGACGAATAAAATAGATGAAGTATAATAGCATTGATCAAATCACAATCAAATTGTCGTTACACTATTTACATTGACTATTAAAATCTTTATCGATGCGTATAGCACACTCGCTATGAAAATCATTATGATACTTGACCAGAGTGCGAGACTATTTAATGAATTATTAACGTAGCAGATCCGACATGATGAAATCATTTACTAGCACGAAGAAACATTTTTATTCTAGTGATATATACGTAACCTAAGGTACGTCTTATCAGTGATTAGCGTTAACGGTTATCAATATACGTGCCAATGTGTTCATGAAAAAAAAGAATATTATATGAAATTTACACTGCCCGCTGTAAAAGCGAGGGCGAAACATTGACAAGAGGAAAAACTAACCTGACTTTTCGTGACACAATAATATATACTTGTTACAGGCCGTTCCATGAACTTTACTCGATTCAATTCGGTTATTATGAAACCGTTACGTTTTAATACTTCCATCCACGCAATTCCTGAGGTTTCAAACTATTATATTATAAGGCACAGGGTAGAACGTTGGTACTAATAGGCACTGCAGTTAGAGCAAGAAATACAGATTCTAAATTGCTATATAGAGATACTTAATTTTTTTCAAGAACGCTGCGCAGAATGTTTCTACTGGTTACGTTGTAAAAGTGAAAAATGTCACGAGATGATTGATCAACCCGTCGAAGACTCTCTGTGTCGCGTTCTTAACGATATAATTCAGTATCCGTAGAATATATTTTTTAGATAATAGAGTTTAATATATATATTAATATATTTCGAAAGTAGCGACAATCCTGTAACTATATGTTCGATACTAATAGCAAATCAATGACGTATGGGTAAACTGTTCGTTTGGATTGTCGCTCTTTTTAGTTTAAAGATATTTGTATTTATTTATTTATTGTTTCCCTTTTTTTTTTTTTTGTTGTTGCTCGTACCGACCTTTTATTAATTTCCTGACATTCGACATTAGCTGAAGGAATATTCTTTAGGGAAATTTTGATAGGTAACTATGAGAGTCACTTGTTGTCTAGATGCACAATTTTCAAATTCTAAGAGACATAGAGAATTATTATCAATTGTACACAGAAGAACACTATTATATACAATATATTGTAATAGATTATATTATATTGCATAGAATATTTAATTCTACCTACCTGATGAGAGATTCCTACTTAAGGCCTAATATTAATTGTACTTTAGGTATATTTATGTTTACAAGAAGCTTTTGTATGGAGCTTTAGATTGTGCACTTGCATTTAGTCTTATTATTATTATTATTCTCGAGTATCGTGCTTTCGACGCTAGTCGCACTATTGTGTTTTAGTATTTTCTATTATTTATTCGATATTCATAGAATCGAATGATGCGCGTATTGAATTTGATTTTTTCTAAATTTCATGTATAATTGTCCAATCGATCAAGTATTATCTTTCTCTCATTACACTTATGCCGGCCTCTTTTCCTGCTACTTGCTTTGGTATTAATTTTATAGTCTTCCAGTGGGTCAGCCAATTATTACTATTATTATCCACCTAACAATTGAAACCTAAAAATTAGAGGTTATGAAAAAAAGTTTTTTTCATGCATTCACGAAGAACGCGTTTAACAATTTTGTTTCAGTTTCATTTCAATCTCGAAATAGCATAATGTTTAGTATGAAGTAATTATAGTCACTCCACACGTGTCACGTGACGAAAATGTGTAGTTCACAATAATATATTAAAGTCGATGCGCCAGAAAGCAAAGAGAAAAGAGGAAATAGCTGAAACATCAGGATCAACCGAATTCTTATTTAATGTACTGTTTACACTTGATGAGATTTTGTTAATTGCTACATTATAATCTCTGTACTGTGTGTTTATACCATTCTTTGAAAATAAACGTTTCAGGACACGCACAAACGTATTTACTGACTTTGAATTTTTTTTACAGTTCTCCTCCAGTGTTTCCCATATTGAACATTATACATAATTCTTCTTGCGATGTCCAAACCATGGCCTGACATTTCCAATATTGCTTTGATTTTTATTAATTGTTTTTATGTCTTTACAGCGTTTTTCCTTTGTGGCAAACGCACCGTGCGTCCTTCTGAGTGGTCCTTGTTGACAATTATTCCGTACTCCATGATCTGTGGCAAATGTCCCATTTGATTGCATCTGATCTGTTTGTTATAACAATCATTGTTCAAGTAGTTCATTGTTAAGATTCTTCTGTAAGTATAATTGTAACCTTACACTCTACTGTTTCTTGTCTCAGAGTTGGATATTCGTCGCCTCTAATTTTAATCAAATGTGTTCTTGACATTTTCACAGGTGATCCACACACAATTGGTATAAAAGTTGGATCAGCTGTATTGATCTTGTTCAATCCAATTGGTGACACAGCCGAACAATGGCAACGAGGAATTGTTCCAAGAGGAACTGGAATTGTGGATTTATTGTAATGCGAAGAGTGCAAACGATGTCTATTTTTGCAATTAATCTCATTGGCTGGATCTTAAAACGGCATCAAGATATTTAAATACGTTATTAGTGATAGTGATAGAAAAATCGTTTGTCCTACTGTGTGTTAATGTCACCAAGTTTTCTCTGCAAAAACTTCGCGTCCTTTGGGCAACAGTCAATTCTTGTAATTGCCTGATTGCTGCAGTCAGCATTGCACGATCCTTTATCCTTTTCAATTCTTGATCCTTGTCACGCTCTTCCTCTTCCTTCAATTCTCTCTCTCGACGTTCCTCCAAATTCGACAACCATGCCAAATCCATTTCAAAAAGTTCCTCATCTTTTTCATCCTTAATTTTACTCTCAGCTCTTTTCTTAACGAATAACGCGTGTCGTTCTTCTCTCTCCTTTTGCAAAGTTTCCACAGTCTCCAGAATACGAGCCACTTCCACTTCCATTTCGCGTACCTCAAAAAATAAATTTCCACGAGGATCAAGAATTTTCAATATACATTTCTTTTTTCCTTCGAATTTACCTTATCGCTCTGCTGTTCCATCGCAGCATCCAATCTTGAGAATTTCACTGTCGACTCGTTATACAGCTTGAGCATCTTGTTTATTTGAATTCGTTGTCTCTTTAATTCGTTTATTATGACATGACACACTTGAGAATTTTGTTTTATTGAGTTAATAAAAATATTTTTGTCTTCGGTTGTTGGAATGTATACATACTCGTCTCGTCTTTTCACTTCGCTAATCACTGTGTCAACCTTGTGATAAAGAAACATGAAGTTCAAGGATAAAAATAATCGGAGGGTCATTAGTTGTACTATTTTACCTTCTTCATCTCATCTACTATTAGATACAATGCACGTATTACTTTGCATGTACACTCATCAGGACATATATTTTTATTTCTCTCTTCTTGGGGCCCAGATGTTTCAGACTCCTCAGGAATAGTTATCAATGGTTCCTCTGATTGCTATAAATGTAATATATAAAATTGTCAAATTATTCTAAACATTATGATTAACTTTCAATCATTATATATTACTGTACTTCTTTCAGAAGAGGCGCTACTGTGTTTGATACTCCAATATCTTCAACTACCGCCGATGGACCTGCTGCATACTGTGGAGTACCAAGGATTTGTGTATTATTGGAAATGTTTCTCAATGGATCTGATAAGATTTCTATTCTGGATTGACGTTCCTTGTCATGTGAAATGGATTCTTGCTGGGAAGCACGAATATTGACGATATTGTCTTTTAGTAAATTTTCTGACTTAATCGCAAATTCCGCAGTCGTCATCGTGGCGATTTTTTCTTAGATTTGGTTAATCGTTATGCTGATCCATTCCTGTACACAATACTACGTTTATAAATATTTATAATTTATTACATCAGGATAAGGGACGTGATAAAATGTGAACAATTGACAGTCGTGTTAATGTTAATCGCTTATCCAAATGTTTATTCAAGAATGTACTAATTTTTTTTTTATGGCATTGAGTTCAGCATACGCTGCTTTCTCTTTATCGATCCAATAATCTTTATTGCATCTACGATCACGACGTAAATTTTCACGCCAATTCTTCTTAGGCAGACAGTAATCTTTGGTCTGTGCTTGTAAAGCGTATAATTCGTAAATATTATGCTTGTCAAAAGGTGGATCGTCCGATTGCCATCCATCCTTTACAATTTCTAGGAACTTGATCTGTTCTTCTATTTTATCCCAATCGTCCATTTCTAGGATTCTGTGACGCCATTTCCGAAGAGATTTTCCCTGTGCCTGAATATATTTCATTAATGCAATTATTTAACAGAGGAGTTATTCACACTATTCAATACTTGAGATATGACAGTTTGATCGTCATCCAATTGAATTGAAAATGTGTCTAAAGCTGGTAATTTGACTTGATTCAAACAATTTTTACACCAGCCTTCTCGTTCCTTCAGAAACTTCATTTGCAACTGTTTCTCTTTAAGGCTACTCAACATCTGCCGTAATTCTAACCTTTGACATTGCAATTCGTGTACTATCATCTCGAATATCTAATGATAGAGATATGGAAAAGTGATTTGTAAAACATTGACTATAAGATCTGACCTGCCCAATTTCGATCTCAGGAGTATTAGCAAGATCCGTAAATTTGTCTTCCTTGCGAATTTGACAATCGTATTGCGAATCGTGTAGAGTATTGTCGTTTTGTTGTACAATTATTTCAGAGCATCTTTTTCCTTTATTTCCCAATATGCAGAACTTTAACGGTTTTAGGATTATCCTTAATCGCTTTGACATTGACTGTGCTTTAGGGAATTGGTTATTTTTACATTCCATTTTCATTAATATCACTTATACAAAGATTCTGGGCAATTTTGATAAAATAGTCGTTTGTCAAGTATCTTGTGTTAAACGCTAGCCATCAGTCTTTAAATCGTACATTCAAAGAAATAAATAACAGGATATGATTTGATTATGAACAATCCGAGTTAGGAATGAGGGTTAACGCGATTAACTCTGACAGTTCTAAGAATGGGAATCAGAGCAGTTGAGTGAGATTAATGGAAATATAAATCATGACAAATACCAGTTAGAGAGAACAGCGCGTGCCACACTGATCCGTTAGTTATCATATCTCATTTTTTTTTAGTATGGGATATTAATACTTAACTTAAACGTTTATTTTTTGAACTTGATACACATAGATTGATTCACCTATAGGTCTTACTCTTTATGTACAATTTATGTTTTTCACTATATACACTCACACACACTTAATCCAATTGAATGATCAATACTAATTTCCTAATTCCTATTTTCGCTATTTTTCTAATTTATCTGATCTCCGGTTTCTGATTTAGATTTCAATTTCTGTAGTTCCTCGCCTTTTTCTTTATCTGTTTGTCCATGTCTGTTCCAAGGTTGTTCTTCAGAAGTGCCAAAAAGCATATAAACTATACAACTAACCCACAGATTGGCGGCAGCTATGATAAAGACATAACGCCATTGCTCGATCGTTTGCTAGAAAATAAAATGATATTGCTATTGCAAAACTGTTATAAAAACCATTTATAATGAGAGATTAATATACTCACATTATTATTTGTAAGAATTCCAACAATCATTGGTGATAAGAATCCTCCGCATAACGTGACCAGTCCACTGAGGCCAAGAAGAACACTGGCATAATTAGGACTGAGATCAACAAAACTTGCTAATGGTCCAGCAGAAATGGCACCATTAATAGTTGTACCAGCTATCATAAAGATCACAGCCATAATAGGATGGCATCCACTAAGGCCAAGACCTAAGGTCAGGATACCCTGACCACCAGAGCACATAAAAGTTGCTAATTTTCTAACATTTGAAACAGTCATTCTTTTAGTGCGCAGGAGCCAATCACAGAAAACTGAGAAGAAGTAAGCGAAGGCCATTCTTGTTATATGTGGTAGACCAGAAAGGATACCAGTCTGAAAAGAAACAATAAATATAATACTTTTCATGTCAGTAATTATTCAGGACTATCCAACCACCTAAATATGGCTCTATCATGGGAATTAGTCAAATAAACAGAACTAAAATCAGATAGTTTTCAGTAGCCCTAAATAATTGTGAATGGAAAATAATACAGAATAATGATTTTTCATACAGCATGAATATTCCATCCATGAATATAATTGAAGTACGATGGAGCCTGAGTCATTAATGTAAGAAAACCCCATGCACCACCCCATTGGGCTGTAATTAATATCCATAGAGGTTTTGAACTCAGAATCGCTTTCCATGGAATATTTCTCTCTCGATCAGCTACAGATCCTGCCAGATTTTCAAGTATATAACTCTTCTCATCCTCGCCAATTCTTGGATGCTGCTGAGGTGAATCGTACACAAGGAAAATCCAGAAGACATACCTGAAGCCATACGAGATAAAACTGAAGTAATTCTACAGAAAAATCATTAAAAAATATGAGACAGAATATCTTACCAGATAGTAGCGATCAAAGACGTCACATAAAAGACAGCTTCCCAACCGTACCAGTCAATGACAATTGCGCACATGGGATAGGTAATAGCAGCGCCTATAGAGCTACCTAAAGGGAAAATGAGAATCTAAGGATAAAGGTATTTAAACAAAATCTGTTCTCCAAAAATCCTCACCTAGATAAGCACTGACGAATTTACTTCTCTCATTAAGTGGAATCCATTTAGCTGTCAAGGCATGCATAGCAGGCCAAGAAAATCCCTAAATAAATATTGCAATATCAGATAATCAAATGGAAGTTTGTTTTGTAATTGAAGTGTATCATTTATTTTTCTGTATCTTACCGCAACAAAACCTTGTATGATACGTATGAAGAGAAGTGCATTGATATCATACTTTGCTGCAGCAGGACTGAGAAATCCAAGCATTGCAGTCATGATATTCGCCATACCAAAAACAAACTTGGTACCATAACGACGCGCTAGGATACCACCAGGAAGTTGAGTTAACCAATGCAACCAGTAATATCCACTTAATGCAAGACCCTGCTGATACTCATTCCAATGGAATCTAGTTTCATTCTGGAATATAAGTCAATGGTGAATTAAATTAATATCGATATCATTATAACATTATACTCAAGTCTCATTACCGTTGTATTTATAGGTAATATTGTTGTTGATATCGGAAGCGATGTGTTGGTCACATTCGAAATTGAGGAAACATTTTTCCATCTGCTGATATCGTCTTCAACAGCACATTGAACGGCAATTGCTGGATGAGGACGTGGTACCACCATAGCAACTATGGCAATGTTAAGGTTGATTCTCAACATGTAGTTTATAGCGAAACCGCAAAATACCATGCACCAGAGCACATCTCGGCATGACAAAAACTCCTTTGCTGTAAATTGTCATGATTTCTTTAATTAATTTTTATTAAAAAGATTAATATAAAAATTTTCAGTGAAATGAGACTTCGAAGTATTGTAGTTGGAGAATGATTTGATAATCGAGAAATGACTATTGCTTAAAAAAATGAACTATTATCTCTAAAAATAGCATTGGTGAAGCGATAGTGCAAATACGTCATAAATTTTGTCTGCACGTGTAAATAGTTACTATTATAAACTAAATATCTTAAAGCACCTTGTCGCGATAACATTTTTTATCTTATGCATAGATAGACGACAATATATACCGCAAAATGATTGAGTGCCAATTGTGTTAATTTTTATACATTTTATCATGAATTTCAATGGGTTATGCAATGGGGGAATTTATTAATCAAATTTCAACTTATTAAAGAAATAATTATTCGACTCTAATAAATAAAGATTATTTTACAATTACTTATTACGCTCCCGATAAGGAGATGTGACTTTCGAATTATATTGGAATTTTCCTCAGCGATTGAGACTCTTTAAGAGTCGTCAATTTCAATGACACTTTTCGTTCTTGCTTTTTTTTTTATACAAATTTTTTAAATATACCACACCCGAAAGAAATAATAGAGCGACATGAAATTATGCAAAGAGCCCTGCAAACGATAGAAACATAGTAGGAACGTTCATCATATTTCACGTAATTTATTACATTTATCAACGAAAGATTATTAATTACAATTACGTCTGTTATAAAAAGTAGTTCATCTATCACTCCTCGGCTTTTACTTCTGGCATCATTAAATTACATATAATTTAATTTAAATATATGTATTATCAGTGGTACATTTACTCTCAAGTGTCAATGAATTCATTGTCTGAATTGCAACTGAAGGGCGTACGGTATAAGCTCACGCCAGGAATATAACTATTGCGCAAATAGATCTCCCGCGGTGATACCGTACGATAAGCTTCTTTATAGGTTATAATTTACATGTGCAATTTTGCCCTATAATCAAACAAAAATAAAATGATCCGCGACTTTGATATGATGAAATCAAAGTGAATCTATTTCAACTGGTTGCGTCATAGTAGAAAACTTTTGTAATTTTTAATATAATCTCTATATAACGAATACTCGTGATTAGACAATCTGTCTAAAAACTGTGAAGGTTGATTTTAATACTGATTAATGGTCAAATACATGTAAACTTAAAACATATTTCAACCTGACGCGAGATCCTTCGATTTTTCTGGAAATTTATAAATTATTTCAATCTTAGTAGCTAAGTGTACATTATCATCATTAAATATCTGGCTTTAGTTAATTTCACATTATTCGTTTTACGTCTTACGTTCAACTTGGTGTATTTAACCCTTTCGTTAAGGCAGTCCAATCCGTCGGAAAATTGGCATTGAACGCGAGACCGAGTCAAAAGTGTCCATATTACGCGTCGGCAGTCTTCGGTTTTCGACCTTACGTCTTCCAGCTGAACAACGCCGTCTTGAAATTTTTTTGGTATATACATTTTTTTAATGGTTAATTAACAACTGTTTTGTCGTGTTATATGTTTTGAGAACTCATAAAAACGATATTAATTATATGTTCAAGAAACATGAAAACAAATAAATTGTATATATCCTCAGTTATTTGCATATTTGCAGATTTTACGAGTGCACGTATATGATTAATTTAATATGGGACAATACAATAAAAAAATACTCTACAGATACGGCAGAATTCGTTATACCGACTATAGTCGGCGCTTGTACGTAGGTTGTCATTTGGGTGCGGATTATAATCGGCGCTGGTAACGAAAGGGTTCATTTTCCTTCAGTATTCACTGTTTGCATTCTAATAAGTTTGGTATGTCGCGAACATATGTGTATACAGAAGAATTTTACAACGAAGATTTATGATTGCCAATACAGAAAGAGCAGAGTATCAATTTCCACATGTGTTCATCCAGTTGTATAACTGTTTTGTAGACATGTTGCAACTTCAGGTGTGTAGCAAAATGTTTTTTTTTCGTATCCGTGCTACGATAAGTAGTCACTACCCTAGTAGAAATTGTATATTGGCCCTAACTTTGTATGTACAAGCTAGTTTTCCCTACCTCTATCTAGACGCTAACCAGCACAAATGTCAACCGCCCAATAATTTTATTAAAAATTTTCTTTAAACTGTAAATATCATCCTGCATATAATTTCCAGTGTTTTACTTGTAATTGCGACCGATTATCAGTGAATAGTCACTGATTCATTTTTAGACAGTACATGCAACAACACTGCAAACTTTGCAGGGAATTTGCTATTAGTTTGCTGCTTAACATTTGAACCATGTATCGCTGCGCGATTACTGTTATATTTGCAGACACGTTACTATCTGGGCAGAAGTGGTTTGTGCGTGGTTGGACGATTCTTTTAATCTACCATCATAGCTGTGTGGCTCATTGTAACTCTGTGTGGCAGCATCGGAATTCTAACCTAAGTTAACTAGACACGGCGTGGGTAAAAAATAAAGTTTCTCTAAAAATATAATTTTATATTCTTTATACGCCTTAATCAATGTGCGAAGGACATCGTATCGAAATCTTGCCAATGTATGATATTTGATAAGAATTTTATGTTACACCATCTATTAATATCTGTCGGTTGCAGCTGTATGTACTTAATAAATTATTCACAATGAAATAATGTTTGCTTCCTTTTTTATCGGGAAATAATGATATAGAACCTATTTTAGAATTGTAACATCTACAAACCGAATGAACTATCGGTATTTGTCTAGGAAATCAGATATGAATATATTTTTTATATAAGCATCTTATTAAAAAAATATGTATGATTTTGATTATTCTTTATACTGGAGATAAATGAAAGAAACGTTGATATGGAAGTACGAATTGGCCCTCAAAGGTCCTATTCATTATATAATTTATTCGTTAAAAAATTGACGTATGGAAAATTCGCTTTAAGACAATTCGATGCGATTTACACGGATGAACCCCATAACGATACCAATGCTAAAACTGGACACCTACATTGCATATTTGGCTATTAATATAAACAACGATCAATGATTCAAAGTTTTTCATAAACAACGATAAGGACCTGTAAGAAATTTTATCGATAAATAAGAATTCTATAATTAGTTTCGAATCAAATTTTATTGAAAATTACGTAAAAACATAAATTCGGTTAAAGCGTTTTCATGAAAAACGATAAGTCTTAGGGTACTGCGGAGCGCTTATTTTGAGCCTTGATAGACTTCCCCAGTTGGAAAAGAGCAAATCGTAATTTAATTTAGCAGTTCGGTCTATCGGTGCACGCCATACCGGGTATTAGCTAGGTTTACATTATTAAAGGTGCCTAGTCGAATAATGAGCTTGTTTTGAAATTCATAATAAACACAGTAATATTATCGTTATGAAATGAATTAATAATTTGATTAATTAAAAGATCAATGATTCTTAAGATAATTGAAAAATATAAGTTCAGCACTCATTAGACATATTAATTAATTTCTATTAACAACTTTTTACCTACTGACTTCTTGCATCGTTAATAAAGTCATTATAATAATTAAAATGTATTTCAGAACAAGTAAGAAACTTCATTAACTTACCTTTAGACATTCTTTTAGGTATGACTACACTTTTTCTACGGCGACTCAACAGAATCGATTCTTTATACTTGGATGAAACAAACTGAACATCAGTTGGTCCAGATAGTGTTCAATTCAATTGCAGTTGTATTGCAGGTAAATTTTTTTAGTAACAGGAGAGACAAATTTTCATTTATGACCATTGAGTATTTAAGTTCTCTTCTAGTTTTTCAGGTCCAAGTTCAGAAAAATCTTAATGGGATTCTTCCAATCATCTACAAATTTTGAACATTCACGTGGGCATGATTTCTTTATTGTATCGTACAGGTTCCGCGGATGTCCGAATACTGAGACGAACGCTCTACGACTGTTCTTCGGGTTGATCAATCAGCTCATGAAGGTCTATGGAGGGGTCCTATAGTCGCGACACAGATCCTGCACTTTATGGATCTCGATAAAATTCATCGTCACTGCAATCTCTTTGATTTTATCATTCTGACTTTACAGAATAAATAATGTTGGCGAGCCTGTCATTTTATCAAAAATTACGGCGTGTACTATTCGTTTGGAATTTTCTTTTGAATTTATAGTACGTACAATATAATTTTGTTTTATGCAAAACAAAAAATGCAGATCTGTATAGTCTGAATATAACTAGTGCATGTAGGGTAATAAATCAGTAAATAAAGACCTTAACCCTTTCACTACAATAGATAAATTTACTGGGACTTGTCCATTAATTGATAGAGTCAGCCTATTTTTATTATTTTTTTTTCTGACATTAGTCTGGAACCGACTATAAATATTATAAGTACTTATGAGGAGGATGCGTGAGGAAGTTTGTAAATTTGTTCAATTTTTTTAAAACTTATATTCTAGTAATTTTTTATTTTATTTAGTATACATGAGCATGCTCATGGAGTATATATAGATTTGCCTACACATGTTGGACGGCTTGAAAAAGATTTTATCACATCTTTATAAGCATATGCTTGTATCGAGTAACATCTATAGATAAGAAATGCTCGATAATCAGACAAATAACAGGTACGAATGTCCGATTGAAATACTAGATATCTTTACGGATTTGACTTCCCTTTAGTTTGGACACGTGGACTCTCTGACACGTTATGTACCATCACTAAATGAGCGAAGAACATTCGAAGGATTATGCAATGATTTATTGTATTGTATATACTCTTTTCGACGACGCATTAAAGTAAGTCTAAACCCGCATGCATATAAATAACCGTAGGTAAAGTCAATTCCGACATTATTATTGGGTCGTTGTCTTTGCTAATGCTCGGAGGATAGCAGTCATGGTAAAGAAGTTATTCTTGCGCATATAGTGATGATAGCAGCGCAGGCCATCTAGCAAAACAAAACTTCAACATCTTGTCATGTACTTACCGACCGCTAACTCTATTAAAGATTCGTGCAATATTTTGCACAATCAATTATAATCGGAAAAGTGATAGTGAAATTAGACATTTTCTGTACAAATCCACTGCTATCAACGACATCCAACTGCTCCTGTAATGCGTTGATATTTCATACCATTCAAAAAATTGGGTACTCGTATTCATACATACCCGAATACAAATTTCCTATTGCCTATGTTCTTTAGCCAAAGATGACGAATGGTTTTCCATTGGTTTCCATTGATTTACTACACATTAACATTGTCCAAAAACCATTGGCAATAGGAACATTTACTATGTGGATCTGACGTGATTCTCTTCCTTTATTGTTTCTAGGTATGATCTGAATGACGCCAACTGCTTAAATTTTCTAAGTACTCTAAATACAACTGACGATCTTTTGTAATAAGAAATTTTCCTATTCCTTATTAGTCACAATATTCGTTATCGCCTCGCGATAAGACCGCAAAAATGGCCGATGTGTAATTTTTTAACAGGATAAAATGTATGCTACAGGAAAATACGCGACGAAAGTCTATCTACGTGTTACATGAAGTTTGCAATACAACAATTACGAAAATAACTAGTTTACATGTCAATTTTTTGTGTACCCAATCAGCGATCTAATTTTCCACGTTTTCGGACATTCCCTGTACATAATGACAATCATTTGGGAATGATTTCGAATACAAAGAAATTTATTTTTATACTAAATTCCTAAAAAGTAAATCTGAAACGTCATTTGGTACACCAAATGAAAATCCTTGACATAATTTTAAAAATTACGGCAAGACGTTTTACGAAATTTTCAGGTCACAACAAATTTTATCATCGAATCACGTAATCTTCTTCCGTAAATATTAAACAATACGTAAGCATTGCAATTACTATTTAGTTATTTTATATACTTCATATATTTTGGAATAATACTGACAATACACATTTATTATTGCTCACGTAATTATAATAGATTATACCAGAGTTGAGCAATGAGCAGATATGAAGAAAATCTTATCTATCTATTTCTTTCTCTCTCTCTCTCCAGGAAGAGATTAAAACTACTGGGCCACAGATAAAAAATTATGTAAAAGGAAATAAGACCTTTTTTTAAATCATCTTACTCCTCTGTATTCGAAGTCTCAATTATATTATTGTTACAAAATTTTATTTACTTTTCTGTTTTCATCGTTCCACAATGATAATACGTTTTTCTTGATCCAGTAAAGTTCGCATAATCGAACCTTCCTGCAAACTGTCTGTGTATCTTAGAGGTTAGGTTGGCTCAACACAAGTAATTTTCATTAAGCTGCAAAGGGTATTCGCCTATTAATGTTTATCGATGACACAGCACTTGCACCAGTTGAAAGAATCTGTATCTTCTGTTTTGTTCTTATCTTCATCGTTTAACTGAGAGTATACATTTATTATGTATTCATATTCCCGTAGAGACTGATAGAACAGAAAGTGACACTCCGGTTCGATCATTGTATGGCACAATGTGTTGTCCCCTTCCGTTTACTGTGCGCAACTGCGTCACTAACGTACCGCAGATTCTAAGAATCGAGTATTAATTACAAAATATAATTAATAATTCTAGCGAGACTGTTTGACGCATATTAAATCTGAAGCTACAAATTAACTTAATTTCATTACATTTCATGTATGCTATATCACGCGGTAAGGTTAAATGTTGATAATTCTGTTTACCCAGTCTGTGATTAGTCTCGATAATTAGTTAGAAAACTATATTTCACGCTCAAAGTCATCTGACCTAAATTCTTTTCGTAATTCTTCGCATCGGATTCAGTAACGACTTTGCGTACATACGAGATTCATTAAATATTGTATGTACAGACTTCTTTAAGAACTGAAATCATATCGATAGGCCTATCGTTGCTTTCATGAAAACAACATGTTTTCCGATTGACAGTCTTTTCCTTCAAACGATCGGATGCTTCTTTGTAACATACGAAAATAATATATTTAGATGAATAATTACCATTGAACGTTGTAGTATAATAATTTATAAAAATCTGAGATAAAGTCTAGGGACTTTTTTTCTTAAATTTTTCGTCGTCGTTCTTCTAATAGCATCTAGCATTTCTAATTATACATGTAACGTGGTAGAACATAACGGATGTCCTATTAATCGATTTAATTGAATTACGTTAAACTTTATATCGATTCGTTGAATAATATTTTATTAAATTTTATTTGTCTCTTAATAAAAAAATAATAATTCCGTACGCACGAAATAATTAACTGAAACAATACACGGTTTGAGATGATTCAATGTTCCCAATGGTTTGCGACGTTTTCCGCTCACTTTTTATAGTACAGCTATACTCTATATCAAGTTTCTTGGCGTTGAGAGTCTGATTACTTTCGCCAGAAAGATGACCCTGAAGATCTTGTTTGATGCAATCCTGAGCCGTGTTACAAACTTGCGCGAAGAAATAGAAGTTGCACGTGGTTAATGGACTCCAGCTGTTCGTAAGTGACTTTTATAAATCTTAAACATTTTTCCCATACACTTTTTCAATTCGCTCTTGAATTACACTCGTTATCTGATCGCTATGCGAACAGTCCAGTCAAACTAATAAGACACGTTGAATAAAACAAATCTCTTAAATTTCATATCAATCTATTTTGAATTCGAAACTTAATTACAGCAATCAATTTGATGATTGGATCAACCTGCTACGTTGCAACTGTTCTAGAACCACATACAATATGCGTATACTAAAGCATAAAAATAAGGTTAGTAATAATGAATTTAAATTGTAGCCTGACATTTAAAATCTATATATCTGTATTTTGCAGAAAATATTATCTTTCACTCCTTTCCCAAAGCATACATACATTGCCTATAATTAAAAAAAACCCCGTTGCTGCTCAGAACTCCTAAATAAAGTAAAACAAGGTTTCCTGTTTTTAATCTCAGCCTGAATGTGCATAGCGAACATGTAATTATCGGCGAACATAAATGTTACAAGTATAGTAGGTAAAGTTCCTTGGCCCCAGGGCTAAATTACTCAGGCCGGTAATTAGTACAGTACGCTAACCGAGGACTTTCACCATAAAATTGTATCCAGGAAGTTTTCATCCAACTATGATAATTCTGTACAGAGGCACGTGCCTTTGTAATAAATCTCTGTAGTATCTTCTCTATAACGATTCAAACTATTGCGTCATAAGTATTGTATACGTATAATCTCATTAAAGTAAAATAATCGATTAATGAATCTACGTCACGTCATATATCATTAAGATAGCGAAGGGTATTCACAGTAAGCTTCTGTGCATCGCTTATGGGAGCTTCGATAATTTCGAAAAATACATACGCGCACATATATATATATATCTTTCTTTTGATGGCAATCCCCGATCTTATGACATCGTATTCTCCTGATTTCGTCAGAAAGCAAAATGGCTTTCTCGAAAGAATTGATTCGTATTTACAAGCGTGCGTATGTTGTGCAGCGGCGAGTGTCGTTTGGGGGAAGACGGGATAGAAGTTCAGTCCACTGCATAGGCCCGTCGGTGGACAGTCTTAACTGAAACGTTGACCAAGACAGTTCAGAATTAGTTTGTCAAGATTCTACGAGTACAGTAACAGTGAAGTTAATAATCGTTACCAGAAGCTCTTGTATTGCCAGACTTAGAGAGTGAAAAAGTATTAGAACGTACTTAAGAGTCTTTGGTATTATTTGCCGTGTAATATCATTGGTACGTTTATAACAATTGGTGTAATGATCTTTCTCGTTAATCATTACTTCCACAAAGTATCCTTACCGTATGTCTATGTCCTTAGATTAAAAAATGCCGAGCACTAAAACCAGAGTTGCCATAATCGGTGCTGGAGTTTCTGGTCTAGTGGTGGCGCGCCATGTGTCGTCGAAGCCGGAAAATTATAGTTTGACGGTTTTCGAACAAACCGGTCAGGTTGGAGGTACTTGGGTGTACACCGATGAAACGGAAGTCGATAGACATGGACTTCCGGTGCATAGCAGCATGTACAAGTATCTTCGGTAAGCGGGAAGAAACTGTAAAGAAAAATAGTAATAGGACTTGACACAATTTTAGCATGGTTTACTTTCATTATTATTTATAGTTTCTACGGGAATATTTTTCTTGGAAATAATGTAAAATTTCAAAGTGTTTATTATATGCGTCTAGACGATATCAATGAATACACTTATTCCTCATCTTCTAGAAACGAATTACTTATCGTTAGTCAGCCAGACATAACCTTTTATGGATACGTGCTATCAATTTTTTTTAAATACAAACTACGCGAACGGGTTGACACATGGCAATAAAGTTGAATGTTAATATGACTACATGATTCGAGTAAAAAAACAAGCGCCGAAAGGGCACAGGGGTTCAGGAAATTTACGAATCTGTCGACTGATAATGATTGCCACACATTATACATAGTTTGAGTTATCGCGAAGTGTAAACCCATAAATGGCCCGGGTCGACTCTTGTTAAATATTAGTAAAATATTGATAATTTGACTGGACGACTGATTAGAGTATTAATATTTAATACTAAAAATTTATACTTTCCTGTTAAGGCTATTGATTAATTATTAATTTGGTACGCGTCATTCTTTCAACAGCACCAATCTACCCAAGGAAATTATGCAAATTCCGGATTTCCCATTTGCAGATCAAGATGGACCATCTTTTGTTCATCACAGCGTGATTCGCAAGTATCTCTTGGATTACGCAAAACATTTCAATCTGTATCCTCATATCAAGGTACTTTTAAATATAATTTGAATTTTAATTAAAGTGGCATTAAATTAATTTTATATTAATTTATATATATATATATATTTTTTTTTAGTTGAATACCGTAGTGAAACGCGTGACGCCTGAGACTCTTTCTGCAGGACAAGTTACCTGGATGGTTACTTCCTTAGACCTGGAGACCAAGGTGGAAACCACGAAAGCCTTCGACGCGGTGATTCTTTGCAACGGTCGCTATACCGTTGGTAACGTTCCACGTATCAATGGCATTGAGAGTTTCCCGGGTAACTGCATTCATAGTCATCAGTATAGGACTCCGAATCAGTATGCAGGAAAGAAGGTCTGCATATTGGGTGCATCTTGGTCAGGAATTGACATAGCCATGGAGGTGTCAAATTATGCTGAGAAGGTAACTGTAGTAATTTTTATAATATATTTTATAAATTCTTATAAAACTTGTTAATAAGGGTAAAAAATCTTACTAGCCGTACCCTACTTTCTTATCCTCAGGAATTTTATAAAACATGAACAACCTTGCAGATTTACCTGAGTCACAACTTATCTCATCCCCTAACAGCTAAAATGTCGAACTGCGTACAACAAAAACCTGGTATCAAGGAGATCAAGGGTAACACCTTCATCTTCCAAGACAATTCAACAGCAGAAGTGGATGAATTCATATATTGCACCGGTAAAAAGACTTAGTGAACTTCGTTATTAAATAAATGATTGAGGTACCATAAGTAGGTCTATGGGAAAAGACACTTTTGTTTTGTATTACATAGAAATTTAAAAAAATAATATTCTTTTACAGGTTACAGGTTCAGTTTCCCTTTTATGTCGGACAAAGTACAGATACGTATATTCGACTATCACATTGAACCAATATACAAACATCTGATTCATATGAATATGCCAAACTTGTTTGTCATGGGGTTACCTAACATGGTAATTCCATTCCCATTGTTTCACCTTCAGGCACAGTACATCGTTGCCATCCTTGATGGACGTGTAAAATTACCTACTCAGCAGGAAATGCGTGAGGAGTGTGAAATGGAAAAGAAAGCACTGCTGGACATGGGAATTCCGGTGAGTAAACAGATTTTTCCAATGAAATTTGATTTTGTAATTGGTACAACATTTTCATTCCTTTTTCAATAATAGAAAAAGGAGATCACCAAAATGAACGAGAGACAATGGCTTTACTATGAAGAATTGGCCAATGCTGCAGGTACATCGACTCTACCACCGGTGGTCAGGAAGATCTATGAGCATTCAAATATAATGCGAGAACAGGATTTTACCACCTATAAAAATCTACAGTATCGCATTGTTGACAAGGAAAACTTCACTTATAGTTACTGTAAACTTTGTTAGGGGTTAAAGGGAAGATTAAAAGTAAAAAGTGATAACTGTCCTTATATTAGTATATAAAGTAGGTATATTAGTATATAAAGTATACCTTGTATTAGTATATAAAGAGAAACTTCATTTAAACGTACATGCTAGTCAGCACTATTGGCTTACATCGTGCCTGACGATAGTTGAGAGTAGTTAATTGAGATAATTAAAATATGACGATGCAATCAAATTTAATTGGGAGCATTGGAAAGCACGGAAATCATATCATCAAATAAGACAGAATATTCGTGGGCGATTATTATTAATCTGTATCATCTGTATTCAGTAGAGATGCTTAGGAAGTCCAAGTTTTATTCCAGGGTCGACGTGCCACCGGAACGAAGGGCCCTCGTACCAGTCATGCTTTTGATTGGACGAACGTATACTTACTTTCGAAATTTATTCAAAACAAAAAATGAAGACTAAATCAAAATATCGCGAAATATACGGAGTAGATAAAAGTATAATTGAAATTGTAAAATGTCGAAAATAAGTTACGCTCAAATTGAAATATTAATAAATCGTTTGGAATATTGAAATAATTAATTAAATGAATAAAGTTAGATATTAACACTTGGAAATCATAAATCCTGGTCAAGAATATTAGAAGTACTAAAAGTTGCCCAAAATTGTGTGCGCGCTATTTCATCGCGCAGAATTCGGCAAGTGGGGGAAGCACTAACGCAGAGCCCGGATTTGGGCCGCTCATTCTTCCTCGGGGCCGGTCTCCTATACCGGTCTCTTGGAAGCACCCCTCTTATTCATTTCTAACCTTCTTTTTCTATATTTATTTCTTTCTTACTTCTTTATTTCTTTATCTTTCATTCTTTACTTTCTTATTAATCTCTTTCCTCATTTCTTCTCCACTTTTATAACTCTATTACTTACTTTTCTACTTCTTGACTTCTTTATTTTTATCTTCCCTTCTGTCTTCTCGTTTCACTCTATTCCCTCTCACTTTCCATTGTGCTGTCTTGCTTAGCCTATTCCTTTGGTCGGGTCGAGCATATTCATTCGAGTAGTCATATAAGGGTAGTCACCCTGTAAGAGTAGCCAGACGTATAGACCATGGTGTAGGAGATGCCTTCCGCCTCATCCGCTGAGCTTGCTCCGTGGGTCGGGCCCAAGTTGTAGCCTCCCGTTAGCGACCTTGAGCCCTCTTAGGGTACGCTACAACTATGGTCTTCCGTATAGTGAATCTGACCAGAGTGTCTATCTCTCGCGTATTTAATATAATTTGTTCGCTTTACTGAAAACGCTCCAACATGTCGTTGACCCTTGAGTACTCGTGTGGATAGAGACGATCTATGTGCCGGCGGAGAGGTGCGGGGTAATCCGTTGGTTATCGGTAAAGTCCTGCTTGTGCTCTTGGGTCAGCTTCACTTGAGGTAGGTGCGGGTGCTATTGAACAACTGCTAGTCTAAAGCCATCCTCTGTCGAGGACTTTTTTCGCGGGAATCCATGGCTGACGGGGTCCGCCGCCGAAGGCGGACGAGGGTCTTTACGTCTAACCCACTGAGCTTGCTCGCTGTCCCTCGAGATGTCCTGGCGGTGCTCTCAATGGCGACATCGGGTGCTACGCCCATCATGGTCTTTCGTTGCGGTGAATGATCTTGACTAAGGGTAGTATAACAAAAATGTTTTTCTGTTTTAATTAATATTTTGTATCCATTGTATAACAGTAGCGGAGCAATTAGGAAAACATAAGGAGCATTTTTGAGGCATTACAAGAATATATTCTTATCCTTTGACGCTAACTTCCCGACGGTGGGAATGGTATAATATTTGAAAAGGATTGCCAGTTTATATTATGCTGATAAAGCCGCACATAAGAAGAAGTAGGAACTAGTAAGAGTTACCGTCTGTGGATATGAAGAATTTTGTTGCGTGTATTATCCACTATTACCTGATACCTTGTGCACGAGATCGATTGACCTTTTGCACAACAATAAACGGTTGCATGGATGTGATGACAGTTCCATGATACAAATCGATGCAAGTCGCTTGCGAAGTGCGTTGAATTTGTACAAGGAATTCAGTTATGGAAGAGAATAAAGAAACTGAAAGTATCCAGCCGCACGATGAAAATACTTTAAAATCAGAGGTTCAAAATGAGGTCCTCGAAAGTAAAAAATCTGATATGAACTTCGACTTTCTTAATCCACCCGGAGGTGAAGAACCACTGGCTCAACCTGTTTATCAAATTCGACCACAGCTTTTTGAGAAGTATTTATACATTTTTTTCTTTAATAATAATTACTCTTCATAATTATCTTTTGTCTAACCTTGCAAGAGAGACAATAGTAGCTGTAAATAATAAAAATTTATCTCTGCGGGATGAATAAATGATTACTTATGAATCTTTATTAGATTTCGACCTTTGAGTGCAAAAGAAGTTATACACACTGTTTTGTTTGATTACTTATCTACCAAAGTTTATAACGTAGAAGAGGCTGAACAATGGATGAAAGAAATTGCAGATTTGATAAAAGAAAAAATTAAAGGTAACGATAGGGTGTTAGCAGTCTACAGATTAAAGATGATCAAGAAAACTTAAATGTTTTCAGAATTAAAGTTTGGTCGATACAAATACATTGTAAACGTAGTTCTTGGTGAACAACACGGTGCTGGTCTAAAAATGGGTACAAGATGTATCTGGGATGCCGAGGCGGACAGTTATGCTTATGACAATTTTGTCAATGTAAGAAAATTTCTAGGAGTCTACTTAAAATGAAGTTTCCTCAATGACTTTAAGATACATTTTCCAGGACACTATTTTCTGCGTGGCTACAGTATACGCTGTATATTTTTACTGAAACACTCGACAAGGTCTGGTTTCCAGAATATGCAATTATCAAGAATACTATTACTGGTATATTAGAAACAGCAGTCAATTTATTAGCACGTAACATATCATTACCATACAAGAAAACACATGCGCTAAATACATGTTGTCCAATGGCACAAGATATTTTTACAATCTGTTAAAGTTAAAATCCACGTATGTATATTCTGTAAAATATATATATATATATATATATATATATATATATATTTATTTATTAAGGATACAGCACATTGCTCTTAAATTCACTAGAGAGACTATCATTATTATAGCACCATAATTCACGGTATCGCACGACTGTTAAAAGAATTTGACACTCGCTGCTCTTTTAGGGCAACTAATGCCGCAATTTGTTTGTTTACTCGAGTTATCTGCACTCGCTAGCGATTAATTAGTAAAAAAAGATAGACAGTTAATAATATAAAAATTTATCAGATCTATGAGTACGTTTACACCTTGACTGAGAACAATCAAATTGAACCTCATCACTTAAGATCGAGAGTTTTGCTTTACAAAAACTGTAGAGTATTCAATAGGTTTTGGTATGTCACTATCCAAAATAAGGTCCAACACACTCTCGAGGTGCCTGAAGTATTTCTTGAAATAAAAAAAAAGTGTCTGAACGCGTTCATCTTTTCATCGATTTCAGGAATCAAGTAGAGATGAGAGCTATGAAAGTATAATATAATGTGTTAATATACAAACACATTGACAAGACAATAATTAGTATATTAATCTACTGTTAAAAAAAAAAGTTAGACATTTTCGATAACCGATAATTTCACATCACAAGAACTAGCGCGTCCTGAAATCAACCTGAAGACGTGTCTCCCAAAAATATTTTTTAAAAATATTGGGCACATTTTATCGGTGACCTTTAGACCTCGCTGGATCTTCAAACAATTTACTATAAAACATAAAGGCACAAACTAGTAAGACTATTAATAGAACGATCATACGGTTTCATAAAACCATTAGATGCAGTGATGATGATGATAACAATGACAATAAAAATAATTGACTCGTGAGGGGTTCCTTAGATTAATTAAATTAAGATTATGTAAATTCCAAGAATTATTACAAATGAAGCACTGCTCTTGAATACACACATGTCATGTATACTTTACTTTTTGATTGGCTGCTTATAGCTTAGCACAAAGAAAAACAAAAATATTGCAAGATAGGTATGCCACACCAGTTAAACAAGTGAAATAATTAAAAAAATCCTATTGTCAAAGATAATTGACTGGACAATTGTAACGTTGTTTATAATGTAGGACTTTCCATTGTCATGTTACAGTGATAATGAGTTACAATATAGCACAAGGCAGAGCGCAGCATAGTGGCAGACATACGGGAACAACTGCGCCTCCGCTGCTACTTTTACTTTTGCTCTTACTTCCTGATTCGTATTCGTATTTACTACTATTCTTTTGCCATCCACCCTGTAATAGTAACAAGATGTTATAAGAAAAAATTATTCATGTACTTAATGTTAACATTATTTAAGGTACTTACGCTGGATTGTGACATGGCAGCACTGGACTCTTCTTTTTTAGTGAACTCTGCAGATCCTGGGGGATAGTAAACAGGTGGTCCAGCTACGTTCTTGCTCTCGGCCTTTGGTGGAGTGTGAGCTATAACTTCAACTTGTTTCTTCTGACTGGTATTATCAGTATCCCTCGTCTTTCGCTGCTGTTGGTCCTGCTTTGCAATGTCAGCCAAAACTTCACGCTAGTGAACAATAGTTTAGTATAGTTTTATATTTTTCTGTATAGCACGATATTATGAGAATTGTTAATAAATTAAAAAGAATTTACCTCGGTGTCAGAAAATGATGCCATAAGATCCTCCAGCTTCGCAGGCGGTCCTTGTCCATTGGTAGGACTTGGTTTGGCATTGGATGGATACACTTGCACTCCATTGGTTGGGAAGGGCTTTGGTAAAAGGACTTCATGATCCTCAGGATATTTGTTCGGTGGGACAGTTGTGGTGGTATTTGAATATTTATAAATAGTAGTGCTAGATTGGGGTGGATTGGTCTGCGGAGGTGCAGTATAATAATTGACAGTTGTACGAGTCGGAGTACCAGGTTTCTGACCTTCAGGTGTATTCTGTCTGCTGCTGGAGGGTGGTCTGTTGCTTGAGGAAGGACGATTAGGATAATGTTCCTCAATTCGATTTATTGTCGTATGGGTTTCGTTTATGGTCGGAGGTTGGTTCTGGTAGATAATGGTAGTATCGCCAGGATGGTCAGGTCTGTCACCAGGAGCATGTGGTCCATGTCCGTTAGAATAGTTAGCATTGACCTGATAATATTTCTCATCCCTCGTTATACTCCTTGTAGAATCAATATTCGTTGGTGGTGAACCAGTGTGATAAACAATTGTTGTGTTTCCAGGTTGAGACTGTTGACTTCCCGGTGGATAGGCATGCTCTTCCCTATAGAATTTGGCTTCCTTCTGAAGGCTTGACGATTTGGATATAACTTCAGTTGGAGGAGGACTCGCATATCGCATTGGACTTCCTGGTCCGTCTTGACCAGAAACATTCGTTACACTTTGAGTATGATAAGTCACTGTCTTGTCAGTGGAACCTCCTCTAGGCAGAGTATACGTAATAGTCTGATCACCAGGAAGTACCACACCTCTTGGCAAACTACTTCCTGGTAGATAATTCTCAGGTGAGCCAGGAAGTTCGTAAGTATAGGTTTTTATGGTCGTGGTAACCTTTGTATTAGGACCCGGTGCTAGATTTATTGGTATTGCTGGCGTAGGCGATGGTACCGGTATGTACTCTCGATTTCCATACTCTTGAGAATTGTCCAAGCTGTGAACAGTTGTCACTGTATTCTGAACCGGTCTTGGTTCTCCTTGATAATCTGAAATAAATCCCAAAGGAATATTATATTCCACTATTACTTAAGCTCTTCGCCTAAATCAGCTTTGTCTATCTTTACTTCTGACTTGCACAATCAGCTGATCCTGCACAGTCAGTCACGGTCATTTAGTCACACTAGCAGCATTACAAGTCAATGTCATTTACATACTAGAAGATTCATGGATGTACTTGACGTCTCTGTACTGGCCACCAGGTAGTGGAGACGTCTGCCTGGAACGAGATGTCGTAGAGCCATCACTGTAAAGCTGTAACATGATAAATTAAATTCAGTTTATAAAAGATCATTATATCCAGTGTATCACGGTACATTCCAACAAGAGATAAAACTGCTTACTAATTCTCTATTGACAGTGGACGTCTTGCTGGATGGGTCAGGACTACGATGACGTCTACGTGGCCTGTTGTCCTCGTAACTGGACTCATGAATCTCTTCGCTGTCAAACAAAATAAATAATTCTATTATGTGCTCTGCCTTCCTCATGAATCCCATAAGTCGGTGGTACTGTACTGCACGTTTATTTTCTTACTATACTGAAAATTGGCACGAGTCTAGAAGAAAAACATAGCGCACAGGTACTAACAGCAGCGCGCGTTTCACTTGGCAAAAGTTCAAGACTATTTTAATATTTCATCTATAAAATACTCACACGAAAGGTACGCTGCTACTGTCCAGAATGCTTTGGTTGACGTTGCGTTCGTCTGAAAAGATTGACAAAGATCAGTAAGACAGCAAGACGCTGGTTAAATAAAATTATTCCGTACCGACAATTGACGTTAAGCCATAAAAGCAATTGTTACCAATTGTAAACGCATATCAGCGTGCCTACATAAGCCTTGATTAAATTGCCCGTCATTGAGATTTTAATCTCTAATCCGTGACCTTCAACCCTTTCACCTAGCCGCCCTCGCGCAGAGAGACGCTCGTTCCTACTCGTCCCCATCGGCGAGACAGAGAAATCGGGTCAGCCTTCATCCGTAAACCGGCCTAATATGGCGGGGACCTGTTACGTGTGGCAAGAACACCAGCCTCTTTCCCAGGACCATCACCGAGGCCCACGTAAAGATACACACGATAGTAAGAAAAAAAAGAAATTTGTGAAAATCTTGCGTAATAGAAATTTTTTTCAAATATTTTCACCCCTATCATCGTCGTGTACTATCTGACAGATATTACTTATCGCAAAACTTTAATATTCCAATTAAAGTCTGTCTAATCTTATCAGAACTCGTGAACATGAATAAAAAACCTATCCTATAGTCATTGCCTGATGCATTCTGTTATTCTACGTTCACGGATACCGTAATAATCGAAACATTATTTTTATTTCCTCTCTACCTACCCTATACTTTTCACCTCAATTAACTATACACCTGAAGGCCGTCGCGAACCGTAAAAGGAGCGGCACGACCGGCACCAACACGAACAAGTCGAACGCATTACACGCGTGTGAATATAGCGACAGGTTATTTTCTCTACGCTTCCTTCAGACCGCAAGTAACGCCGTGGAATGTTTGATCCCCGTTCGAACCTCCATGGAGCTTGGTACTAACCTCAAAAGTCAAAAGAATAAAGTTACGTCTTACCAATAGGTTTTCCATCCAGGCTCTTGTTATACTGATAGGAAACTTGTTTGTAAGCCACTGTCTTACTCTGACCGGGTTGTACCTGATAAATGAGAAATTAAAAAATAATTTTCTTTTCAATTAAAAGTTTTTAACGATTAAACGACAAATAACGAATAATCAAATAAATAATTATGTAATAACGCTGTGCAAATTTTCGAGACTACCACTTAAGAATGCTTATACTTTTTCTTTTAATTTTCATGAAATATCTATGGAGAGCTGTATCAATGAATGGACATACGTGTCGAATTATCATTATAATGACTACCGTGGTGGGCAGAACTGTCCAGCTTGCCATATAAGACCAGACTGAACCGTGAATACATTCACGTCCAGCCGGCGTTGGCGGATCGGTAGCATATTTAAATTTCACGGAATTCCATTCGCCAGGTCGTTGATGAATATTTAATTGAGATATTCAATGAAATTTGAATTACCACGTGGGCGACAGTGCACGTTCACGCTATTATCTTTGTGCGTCAAAAAAAATTAATTCAACAATACACATGGTTATTTCTATTCCTGGAAATACCACAAATATTCCCTGTAATACGTTCTATTATCAGTCTGCGAAAATTCTATTTCCGATAAACCGGTTATCACTCGTTACGTAGTATCAGTGAAATGAGCGTTTAATTTAACCGCGTGAAGTCATTGCGCATCCCGTCGCTTGACTGCAAGTTACATGAAGTGCCGTTTTCATCGGACGGCGCTTATATACCTCGTTTTTTTCTGTGTACACTGATATCTTCAATGCAACTATATATGATTCTCATTTCTTGCATACAGAGGAGTAAGAGAGAAAGAGAGAGAGAGAGAGAGAGAGAGAGAGAGAGAGAGAGAAATGCTCAAAGAAAGTCATGACGAGTACAAGAAGAGAATAACGAGCAAAGATCACGTACTCACGGTCAATCTATTTTTACTTAGCATTAGATCATACTCCACAGATGCAACCACTTGCGAGAATACTCATTCCGGTAAGTATAAGAATGATATCAGCTATGTGAAATGTGATCATGAAAACCGCAGTATATTTTCTGACTGGCATTTTCATCGAATTCAAAAATACCTGATAAAAATTATATTTTTTCATGCCGAGATCAATTTAACTATATAACGTAAACAATAATCTCATACAGGAGACAAGGTAGTGACAGCGATAAGGTGATAACGAGCTAACGTAACTTGGCTTACTAAAAGAAAAAAAAAACATTAAAAAATTACACTGATTAGAGTAAAATGCTTGTGCTTCCCTTTTGACAAATCCTTATAATGTTTTTAATTTGCATGCACCTGGCCCCTCAAGGACGGACGCAATAAATAAAAAAAATATATATCAAAGAAACTAGTTTCTTGTCACCGTTGATATCTCTCTCCCTCGTTTAATTTAACCGTTTCGTCTCACAGGGAGGATTTAATCCCTCGAAGATACTTCGATGAACGTCCAAGATAAGGACCGATTACCCGTGTATCCTTGGTTCATAATCCTGGATGTATAAATTGAGAGTGTCAGGATGCAATTAACTGAACGTCCGCCAGTCGCATCCTATTATCGCGTTGGATCATTCGTCCAAGAAGATCCGTTTCCTGTTTCAAGCATAGATAACGAGTAAAAGAAAATAAATATACGTACATTTTGAAGTTCGGCATCCAGCAATTCCAATCCTGGTATGCCACTGGCCGCACCGCTCGATCCTGTGGTTACGAATTTTTCTGTGGTCTTATTGACAGTGCGCACGGGTGAGTTGGATCTAAAAATATCGTTCCTTTGGTAATAAAAACGAAATAAAAGGAGAAGACAAAAAGAATATTCAAAGAATCACATTGAATTCACCCACTAATACCAACCTGCCTTCGGAGAGGACCCTGGTGGGATTGGCAGCAACTCGATATTCGACCTGGGGCGAGAGTGGCCTACCTCCTTTGCTAGGAGTGGCAGACCTGGACACAGTTGTCTGAAGATCTTCCAAAAGAGCATCTAAAAGAATGGAGGTACCGAAAATCATTATATTGCAACATAATAGTTTGGCCTTACGCGTGCTGACGACCTTACTGACTTTTTTTTCTAGACTCGAACAAGAGTCCAAAAGAGGATAGGGTTACAGCTACGCGAGGAAGAAACCTTACCTAGGTTGTTCTCGAGGCTGCTGGCTTTGGTGTGTTCGGATATAGGTCCTCCATGACTCACCGTCTTTCTGCTCACGTGCGAGCTCTCCCTGATCGTCGACATAGTGGCCTTCCCGCGCCGGCCAAGTCCAATCGAATCTGCAACACGTAACGAGACGCCATGAAATCCCATCAAGTACTCGAAGACCCAGTCGACCCAGGAAAAAAAAATGTCCTGACGACGATTTCAATAGCTGCGAAAAACAAGAATGTAAAATATTTCAATTGACACTTTAACTTCTTAATGGAAGCTCGCTTGACCCTGAGTCGCAAAGCTCGACGAATTTGTCAGTGGCTGCACTGGATGCTAAAACGAATTTTCATAGCCGCAAGATCCGTCGTTTCTATGTCGTTCGGCTGTATCTAACTGCCCTATGTTTATTCCGGTAGCGATTTGTCATGCGAACGAGGCCAAGGAGCCAAAAAGGAGGCTTTCCAAGAAGCGTTCAACCGCCGACGCTACAGAGAACAGCTTATGAAGTCTCGAACGATGGAAACCCATACGTATTCAAAAATTTATAATTAATCGTACCAGTTACGATGAGACTAGCCGAGCATACCGCCCGATGTGACCCAATTCATTATGCAATGACAAAATAGCGAACGGTACCAGAAGATGCAAAAAGGAGAAGCAATACGAAATGGAAATATTTTTTCGTCACCTACAAAATGATGTTCAGTAAACGTGATGGAAATCCCCTTAAACTCGTTTTAAGATCAAGTATGGCGTCTGGGAGTCTTCTTGGTTGCGTCATCAACCAAAGTACCATTTTTTTCAAGCAACCAATTTGACCAACGTGGTCCCACCTTCCTCAATGAGTGTCAAGGTCGGACCCATGTGGAACAAGGTTAAAGAACAAGTGTACGGTACACGCACGCCAGAATTAATATCAAGATCAACCTGTGCAATGAGAATTGTTAGCCTTAATTGTGATTTCTGACGATGATTTGAGCGTGTCTAGCGAATTTACTAGAAATATTATACCGGCAGTCAAGTCACGAACTCCATATCTAGTCATCCCGTGACTTCCGTAAGCGGGTTCTATCTGTTCCATCATTTTGCCATAATAATGGACTGGCCTATCGTGCTAATATCTTCTGTACTTAAGCAGGCTTAATCTATTCGTCTCACGTTCCAAAGAAACAAGTAATAGTTATCCATTGATAGCTCTTGCACAATTTATCAATGACAATGATTGCACGCTGCTGGTACATAGAAGAAATAATCAGTGAACTAGGTCAGTAGCTAGAAATATAATTATCAAAATTATCTCTGTCAAAAAGAAAAAATTTATTATAAATTTTTTATGTCTTTGGAAATAGCCATCCGTATCAGATACGTATCAGACTAGACCTATTTCTGTACTCGTTATATATATATATTTTTTCCAGACATAATCAGCTGTTACGACTGATCATCCAAGTTATTAATACAGAGCAGACGTAAAGCATCATTCACAGTTTCTGCACGGCGGGCACTAAACGTATCTGTCCGACTGTTTTACACGCTGAGCAATTAACATTGTGGATTGAAGCCCAAGATTTGGAGTCAAATGTTACTTCCGGTACAAACTGTGACACTGGTATCAATACTTGTACCCATGAAAATGATAATCTAGGTAAAACGATCAGTTTGGCCCTGGCTGTTGTATTGCTGCACAATGGCGTCCCTTGTGTTCAGGTTCTCTGGGCAAAATTTTCTCAGGCATTAGGAAGTACAGTGTGGTCGGAGGAAGTCTTGCAAAATGGCGTATTTATAGATGCGCCATTACAAGAAAGAACGAGCCTAGTTTAGTTATGTCTACGCAAGCGCACCTGGCATCTTTCTCCATCGTGGTTACCAGTTGAGGTACCTGTGATACCTGATGAACCAGCGCCGATCTAATTGGCTAAGATTATTGCAATTTTTAGTCAGGATTTCTAGTCTTACTACACGAAGTAGACACGAACTTGATCCAGCGTGGGATTTAGTTCCCGCAAAAGAGTAAAGCGGCAAAGTAAAAGACGAGCTGGCAGAATCGGATGAAATTAGCCAGCTGCGGCTCGTCCTGCTTGGCGAGGTTAGGTTAGGTTGAAGTTTACTTTTAAACTGCCGTCTGACTCACGCGGTATTTTATGGTTGTTATGCAGGTGGGTTGGAAGTTTGTTAAAAATCTTTAAAGTAACTTGGACAATTCTTTGTAACTACGGCAATTGAGTATTGGACTTTGTTGTTAATTATTTAATTAAACAATGAAAAATTGATTAGGTCATAACCAGTGAATTTATAAGGAATTCCATGTAGTATCAGGCATATCTTGCGATTAATCCTTCACTGGAATACCGAGGGTCTAATGTAGCTCGGCAGAACGTCAGATGATGGGCATTGTTCGTAATTGGCTTCACTTCCGGCATGCTGATAAAGTACAAACTCGTAGAATTGGTACTCTGTTGCTTTTACGGCGTGTCGGTACCTTAATGGTAGACCCGTCAGGTTTCTTACGGACCGTATCTCCATTTTTCAGTCGTTTGTACTTCGGACCAAAAAAATTCGATTCTTTGATTATATCACTTGAATTACTCGACTAATCAACGAGATAGCCACTTTGGGTATATGCTGATAGACTGTTTATAAGAGATATTTTTTTTTCACTTACATTTTTATTCACTTCCTCGAACTTTCACGAGATCTGAAGTCTATTCAATTATTTCCTTAGCTTTTATTTCCTATTCAGCAATTTTTTATGCAAATTGATCGGTTACTTGAAATTAATAAGAATTCACTATACCGATCAATATGCGGGAAGATTATGAATTCCGCATAATTATGAAAAGGCTGAATAGCATTTAATCATATTTTCTTGGACGAGGAAAGAAAAAATAATTCGTATCAAGCTCAATTGCCGCACGTCTAAATATATCACGGACATTTGACGATATGTCAATTGGTTATCGTACCAACTGTATATAACCAGAGGATAATCCCTGTAGCGCGATGTAAAGAGAATTATTTCATTTACTTCGTTAAAAGTCCGATTCGATAATATAATTATAAGGCATGTGAAAGCATAAAAGGGTTAATAGAAAGTCGAGGTTACTCCTAGTGACTTTTCTCAATGGATTCGTCGTCGTAATTTTCTTGTCGCAAAACTTACGAGAACCGATGAAAAAGCGCAATGCGAATCCGACCTAAGGATCACGGCTAATCTTAGTTCCCGCGTCATTCTGAGATCTTAATATTTATGTAAACTCAAATCGGTCTAATCTTACGTTCTTTATTTTCCACTTTTTATTTTTCGCCTCTCACGCAATCTCATTCTTCGCCAACTCCAACACGAGTGACGTACTCGGAAGTGCAAAGGCGAATTTAAAGACAGCGTAAGATCCGCCATTTTGCTTTTACTTAACCGCAAGGACCAGTCACTTCTTATATGTTCATTGAAAATTGGTCCTGAGCTCAGCACACAGAGAATCCATCCTGAGACGAGAGAACGTAAAAGAAAAGAGCGAAATTACATAGCTAACCGTAAAGCAGTATATCTATATAAAAATAACTTAATTACCTGACAAACAATTAGAAAGCTTCGCACAAGATCAGTCTAATCTATGACAAATAGAAAATGTCAATAGAGTATTTTCACTTGAGGTAAACAAAAGTGACAGCTTCACGCGCGCACATTAGCAAAGCAACGTGTAGTCAGCATACAAGAGCCTAGCTGTGTTTTAAGGGTTAAATTTAACAGTGACATCTGACATTACGTGTGGGTGGCAATGGTCCAGCAAGCTGGCGCCCGGAATCCCCCCTCTCTCTCTCTCTCACTCACTATTTCTCTCAGTTTCCCGTGAGACTCTCTCGAACCTCTCTTTCACTATTCCTAGCAGAAGTCCGTACCCTCTTTTTCACCCAGGGAGTAAATATAGCCCACCTATATTCAAAGTGGACTTTAGCGTGTATTAAATATACTCGTCTGGGCCGTAGGCAAAGATTTTAGGACACAGAAACCCTATTTTTCTTTTTTATTCTATAACCCTATCCGTTACAAGAAAGAACAAATAGCCAAGGTACTACGAAGGAAGTTTACAAGTGTTTTTACGGTAAATATAGAGTGTATGTACGCAACTAGCAGAATGCTATTACTCGGAAGAATCTCGAAAACCATACGGTAACCATTTACACATGAGAAACCATATAACTGACTAAAGGCAACAGTCGGCAAACGGATAATTTTAGGCGTCACGCAAATGGATGCATAGTCGCTGAGCCAGGACTATAAATTTGGTCGCAATGTCTCTGGCATAAGGCCCAATTTCTTTATATCCTTAACGTTTCTTTTTCTCACGTCGCCACATCAAATGCTTCTCTTTCCCGGAGACTAAACTTCTAAAGAGATCGACCGAACCTTTTTTTTTTTATTTGAAAACTCATTCAATTCATTAAAATACAATTCTGCTTGTTAATCATCCAAGGGAATATTACCACGAAATATTACCCACAGACTGCCATGAACAAGAAAACAAAAACGAAACATCACCAAAGATAGAAAGTAGAACTCGACACTAGATCATTGATACACAAATCCGTGTCACGATTTAGAAGAATACGACTAACAAAAAAGTTTGTACAAGTATGACAAGAATTTCACCTAAAACTTCAACAAGTCTGATAAAAAGAAGCCACAGGTGTTACGACGCGTATCGATAATAACCTCAAATAACAAACTAACAGATAAATACATGTACGTACCTTTTATCGAGACGAATAATTAATCCAAAACGTTTAACAGCACACTGATTTCACCACTTGATTAAATTAATAAATAACTACGTCAAATCGGTAGACGTTCGTCGAATGATCGGATTTGAACCACGAGAGATTGAAAGTGGCGTACAAGACCTTAAGGCAGTCCGGCCAGAACTGGCCTCGTCTACTGACTGGCTGAGAGCAGCTAGGGCCTCGAACACACGGATCCAAACACAATCTCAAATCTTCACATATGTATTCATATACGATCTGACACTCATATAATTTTACACGCTTACTAATCCAATCGAGCGATCGTTCGCTATCACGTACACATGAGAACCACTCTTGAATTTTTCTCTCTTACACTCTTTTCACTCTGTCTCTTTCTCTCACGTGCATATGTAATCCATCTCTCTCGGTACCTCTCTCATATGTGGGCACGTCTTTTAACTAACGCCTACGCCACCGCACTCCGCATTCAGATCCTGAGTCGAGGTTTTTCGCGTGAACCCATAACGCAATACAGCACTCGGCCATGCGAAATACTGAGAACATATGATGCACTAGGTCGTGAATTATCGTAAGGATTGTATTACCTCCGTATAACACATTGTCGAGATATGCCGTATTATTACAGAAAGCACGAAGTATCCCTGGAGAGGATATGGACCAGCAAGCGACTTGTCTCAGGGACAACTACGTACATATAAGGAACTCTTGTTCGCGCCATTCGTATCGTCATTGACGACCTACTCGATTTCCTTTCTCGGTATGTCTTTTAAGCTGACTCTAGTAGTCTCTCACGAAAGTCTACACACTGATTATAGAACGTACGACGGAAGTAAGTTGGATTTGATTTTTACAAATTTTATTTCTTGGTTATGTCCGGTTTCTTGTAGTCATTTTAAGAATTATATATGATACGGTGTAATTTTATTATTCTTTTGATACAGTTGGTAGCACGTAACGTCATTTTGTAATAATCGTGCCACGTGCTTGGCGCACGTACAAAACCATACATGGCGCAAAATGATTGTACGACGAATGACTTACCGGTCACGTTTGAGCGTCGGTACTTTATACTAACTTGTAACACGATAGTTCAGAACGGTAATGGCAGTTCGCTTACATATACCTTGTTACATCTACGAATCCAATTATGAATGTGTACCGTATTATACGTATATTCATGAGACCATTCGCATAACAGTGCGACTCACGATTCTGTCGAACGAAACCGCTTGGAGATTTGAATTCACCGAGGAGATTCTCCTTGCGAACTGTTTTCGAATTTCTTTACCTGACTTGGAGGAGGAGCTTTCTAGACACCCGGTATACGTGTATATTTTACTGTATAATATAATAAATAGCGATGTTGGTTCACAGTGTATGAAATGATCGTCCATTTTGAATATATTCTAAGAATAACAATCAAGAGTGAGTATATGGTAATGACTTAACGGGATTATTATTAAATCAGACATAATTTCGAAGAAAATGATTAATTATATTTCGAGACATTTGTAATCATTTTACTGGAAATATATCAGGGATTGGTTTAGAGATTATAATGATATGCCCATTAAAGTAGATGTGGTATCACTATGGTGGTTATGTCATTTATCTAACCGACATTGACATAGTCGAATCATTATGGTACTGCAAACGTCAGAATTACCACAAAAGGCTTATTCGTGGTGGATAGTCAGAAGAGTTAACACTGTTTGTCGGATTTCCTGTGGATGAACAATTCTCTGTTTTCGAAATGTCAACCGACAGCTCTGACGATTGCGTCATCGTCATCATTGAGCACTTGCGTGGGGATAACCTGTTGCTGACGTCATTTGTCTGAACGTCATGCATGCGCTGCCCGTTTCTACCTTCTGGTTCTATTGAGAGTGCCAGGATTGTTTACAAGTAAAATTATTATAATTATAAATTTGCAATGTATAGCAAATAGCGAGGAACGATGTGAGGACAATCTTTTGTAATTTCATATGAATTTTCTATTCCAAATCACTACTGACCCTATTGAAACCACGTAGTAAGCAGGAAAGATATAGTAAATAATGTAAAAGTGTTCCAAGACCAATCATGTGTGGGCTGCATGCGTAAGCTCATTTATGACTTAAAAATATGTGGGTGTTTTCATGTAGGCGATTACCAGCCTTTATGATTTTCATGAGTCCTGTAAACATTCTTGGATTTCAGGAAATTCTATGGACCATGTTATTAGGTGATAAGTATATCTATAGATTGATGGTGATTAGAATTTACTAGGTGGTGGCAAGTGCACTTGTATGTCAAGTGGAGTGGCAGAAGCGAATTTAAATTGACATTTTTTTTCCTATTGAGAAAGCCGTAATGGATACCATCACCAGCCCGAGACTCCTCACCGCTTGTACAGCCTTGACCGGTATATTTACTACTGGATTGACAGTCGTATCAAAGTGACATCGTGGAGAAGATATTGCACGGTGGTAGAAATTAATAGGTTAAATAGGTAAAAAACGTAGAAAAGGAGAGAACAATTCAGAAGATGACCGAGTGAACAATAAATCTCGGAAGAGACATGACAAGATGAAGATAGAGAGAGACACAGTGAGTAACATGGAGAAAGAAGGATGGAAGGACACAGGTATTCAAGAATGCGACGTAGAAAATGATCTCTCGGAATAATGAAGCTCCGAGCCGATACATTACACCGTATATCTGTCACTATCCCCACTCATTTGAATATTGATCGAGAGCTGCTGCCATCTTACGACACATTCTTCAATTACCGTTTGTATAGTACGCAGGGTATTGAACACAGACGAAATGCGTTTAGTGTAATTATCTTCAGCCAATGATTTTATCAACGACTTTTTGTCGGTGTACCGATAGCCGATCAGTCTAGTAATATATATATGACGTCACTTTTAGATTGATTCTTCATATTATAATTATAAAGTTTGAGTCTTTAGTGTAAATATTAATTGCTCATTGCGAAAGTTCATTTAAATACAGTCCGTTGCTATTGAGAATGCACGTGCATGGGACAAGTTTATATGGATTTTTATGTAAAAAAGTCCCCCGTATCGAACACTTGATTATGGATATCGATAACAGAGAATTTTCACCAATATTTACTAAATATTTTTGATCCCTAACAACGCGTCTACAATTTATCAGTATAAAACAAGCCTGTTACGAAATTCCATAAAAAAATATCTACACTTGCAACATGACGTATAGCCCATATGACGTGACTGGTACACAGAAAGTAATTGGTCATCTATATTATACATCTTCTGGATGTCATAGAAATAAGATTACACATTGCCGAAATCAAACAAGATCATCATACGTTATACGTTACGAAATCACATCTACGACTGTTGGTTCAAATAGAAAACTTTGTACTCGACATCATACCCTCTTGCGTGAGTAATTTTTTAACATTATTATTGAACATTTGTAAAAAAAACTATATTTTATCAATCATCCTTAGCTAATCACGTGTTGTAGCTATTTAACTCAATAAAGGCGAGCATGGAAAACAAAGGAAAATCAGCAGCCATGAGTACATCAGGAGGACATGGCGCCAATACATGAGATATGATGTGATGTATCGTTCTTGACAAATATTAACATTATCAACGTTTATATTTGACATAGTAAGGTCAAATAAAAGATCAAATAGTAATGACTTGACCTCTACGATACAGTACCATGCAGCGTTGGTTATTTGAAAGCATCTGTAACTGCTCTTGGACGTTCAGTCAGTTTGAAATTCGTGAACCGCTAGGATCATAAGAACTGTTATATAGCGGGAAACTTATTCGTCTCCTGGCGATTCGCGAATTCGATTGGGAGAAAGAAAAGAAAGAAGACGTGGTTGGCTGTTTATTCAACTTGAGTCTCTCTTGACAGTTGGAGTTACTTGCAATGTCATTGGTCGTTAGAAGTTTTGCACTTTGCCTTCTTTTATACTCAGTTTTAGACATAGGTCGGTGCACACATACATTGAAGCAAGTGCAAGTGGTAAGTTTTTTTGGTAAATAAATTTTGCAAAAATTTCTATTTATACTTATTTTTGTACTTTTCGTTCAAACCTTTGTGCTGTGAATTATTGTTTTTCCTCGGAATTTTAACACTGTACGTTACGCAATGTCATGTGGATTTAGTTTGTTTATTTTTTTAGCACTTTCTATAATTATGCTTTTTTGACCTTTAAATAATTTTTTCTTTCTAAAAGCTTTTCAGACATGGAGAAAGAGCACCGTTGAAAAAGGAAATGTATCCCAATGATCCTCATTCGGTATCGGATTATCTTCCTTGGGATCTTGGACAACTTACCAACGTAAGTCAATAATTTTTCTATATTCGAATCGAAGATTATGGATTGGCAAATTTTATCATACTCAAGTTAGCATTATATATATTTCGAGCAGGAGCGATAAAAATATGCTAATTATAGAATGTTTGGATTAATAATTTTTTTTACTGAATCAAAAAAAAGTATCATACGAAGCTCGTCATGTTATTTGCGATAAGTTCGAAGAATCATTTTTAAATGTAACTGTAGAATTATCCTCCTTGCATATATATGGCATACATATTTCATCTCGCTTATCACTTGTATGATTGATTTGAATTTTTCTTTCAGATTGGAAAACTAAGAGAGTTTCGTATTGGCGAGATGCTAAGAGCGCGTTATAACGATTTTCTTGGGGATTATTATTATCCTAAGGATATTTACGGACGTAGCTCAGATTCCGACCGTACTAAGATGTCCTTGCAATTAGTACTGTCTAGTTTGTATCCTGCGAAAAACTTTCAGAACTGGAACCCAAATCTCCCATGGCTGCCTATACCCACCCATTATGCTCCCGAGAATTTGGATATACTTATGAGGCCACATTTATGTACTCAGTGAGTATGAGAAATAATTGGAATATAACATTGGATTATTTAAATAAATACAAAAAGGTGCGATATTTAATAATTATAATTTTATTGCAGATTTACACAACATCTTGGTGAAATTAAACGAAATCCAACAGTTATTTCTCTGATTGCTCAGTACAGTGAACTTTTCGAATTCCTCTCAACGACTACTGGATTCAACATTACGACTACTACTCAAGTCTATGAGATATATAATTTGTTAGTGGCTCAAGTAAGTGTCTGTTGCAGTTTTTCTTTGATGCCATTTCTATTCGCTTAATACGAAATTATTTTATTCATAGAAAAGTATGAATCTCACACTACCCCAGTGGTGCACGGAGAAAATATTTGAGGATATGGGAAACGTCACTGTGCTTGAGTATAAAATTTTGTCGTTTGACAAACATTTAAAAAGATTAAATGGCGGCACTTTGGTTCGACGCTTCGTCGATAATATGAATGTTACAGGAAAGCGTAGTGGTCACAGAAAATTGTATCTCTACAGTGGCCACGAGGTAAATATTGCGGCCTTTCTTAGAGCACACGATATAACAAAGCCTGCATTGCCTGTATACGGTACGGCTGTTATTTTTGAAAAATTAGAAAACGCCACGGGTGACGTATTCGTTAAGGTGAGTAACTGAGGATATTTCTTTCGAAATCTTTTTTTCGTGGCTTGCGCAATTTTACTTTATAAACTGTGTAAATTTATTTGTTACACAGATGTTCGTTTGGACCGGTATTACAGAGGAGATTATTCCTTTGAAAATTGGTGACTGTGATTATTTATGTCCCATAGACACATATCTGAATATCGTAAAGGACGTTTTACCGTCGGACAAAGAATTGAATTGTCACCTGGACAAACTTAGTCATGAAGACTTAGCACATCTCTACGACGAGAAAATTAGTTTTAATTAGGTCAATTAGGTTGTTGATTATAAAACAATAAGAGTTATTTATTTTAATAATTGACTCAGCTACGACAAGCGCGGTTATATGATTCTATCGTTTATTTCGACTGTTGCTACATTATATCTTTTTAAATTACCTCGTACTTGTGTTTTCCAATGCAATTTATCAATTTCCAATAAATGTTCAATACTCTCACAGTTGTATGCGTATTTTAATGCACTGAGTATCAAAGCAGAAAATAGTGAAATTGCTAAAAGTATTTTGGAAAGTCGCAAACATAGAAATATGTTTTAGTTACATACATTATTGTAAGACAGTTAAGCTTGTTTGCTTGATTAAAATTAAAAAATATATTTACATCTTCCTACAAGATTCGAGTGGATTTTCCAGTATGATATCAGCAAATAGATTTCTGAAGGTATCAAGATGGCAGTAGATTCCATTACAACCTGGAATTTTCAGTTCCACTGCAGTATCCAGATTTTTGTGTAATGCCTGTAATTTTTATTTACATATATTAATTAACTACCTTAATTGCAAATGCATTAACATTTATAATATATAATAACGAATAACTTATACCCTGACAAAATATTCCTCGCCATACTTGTGAAGCTCTAATATAACGGAGCTTGCAAATTCCGGTACGTGAGGAATGAAGACATTCAAGGAATTCAAAATTCCCGCAATATTAATCTCGTGTCCGCTATAGAATAATGCACGATAGGTTGCCGTGCCGTTGATATAATTGTCGACATTGCGCAACCATTCCCTAATCCAGACCCCTGTGTATTGAGAGGTAAGAATAAATACAAAAATTTGTTTACTCAAAAAATACATACCTCCATTATATTTTTGCATTTCCTTCGTATAAGATTGTATAACATAATCATATCCAGCAACATCTTCGAACTGTCCAAAAGGAAATATGTCCTTTGTCCATTCAGGCATTCTATATCCCATTGTATACTGATTTTAATTGAAAACAAAATTTAAGTTATGAGGAAATTTGTTATTCATTAAATTTTTTCAAATCATTCACTTAATACCTGAGAATAAAGGTGCATGTATATATAGTAGCTTGTTTGTTGAGTAACATTTATGCCAACATGCTCACTAACGTACTCAAAGAAACCAGCCAATTCTTTTTGTCTCTTGAGCAAATAAGGATCGGACGTTTCGATTTCCTTCCTTAAAATAGCGACTTTCTCACAGAGGAATTGCCCGAGAAATAAAATATCTTGAATCAAAGGAACATTCCAAATAGGTATAGGTTGCCAGTTCAGTTTTTGATTCCATCTGCAATACAGGCAGGCTCCTTAATAGTGTACATACTTCTCTAGTTAACCTTTCAATAGTGAACAAACAGTTCAGTGACCAATGGGCGGTGACCGAAAATGTATGAATAACTTTTACACTGGACCTTTGGATATCGATCGGTGGGAAAAGTGCAGCAGCAACAAGTTCCGCTGTCATTTTAGTCCTGGATATATCACTGGACCGGAAATAGAATAGACTGTCAGCATAAACAGAACCAAGCCAGGCGCCATAATTTTTTTTCAAGAATAATCCCAACCGGTAAGCCCTGTCTTTTCCTTGCTGCAAAGTCAAATTTTAGTATTAACATTTATTAGAAAAGATGGTAATTATTGTCGCGTGCAATTGACTACAAGCGATGAGATTTTTAACAAAAAATAATCCTTAAATTTATTACGTTTATAAGTCCTCCGTAACCTTCAGGCCAATATGTTTTATTAATATAGGGATCGTTAGGATAATAAACTTGGGACTCGGCAACGGTCGTTCTATCTCCATGTCGAAATGTTACTTGAAGAAGTTTCAAGTCCGCATTGCAAACTCCGATTAATAGTACAATATTCAAAATCTGCATTCCTTGGGCATTCATAATTGTTAAACGGGAACTCTAATTTATTACCACGCATATGTACAATATTCTATCATTAAATAAAAAAAGAGAAATCAATCTTAACACTTATCACTGTAGACGGTTCGACGTACGGTTACAAACTGAACTATAATAGTTTCGGACTAGTCTTCTGCTTCGAGTATTTATTCTGAAATCTTTGTTACGTATTATATACAGTCATTACCAGAACAAACGAACTAATTTGACTTTAAATCTTTGTAAGTCCAATTTAATGCTAATAGATACTTGTCATGTGTAATATTATTATTGTTACTTTTTTTTTTATTATCAACGTTTATAAGGGATGAGTGATGTAAAATGAAGTTTATAGTGGGATACAAAAGTGGGACTGTGTTAGTTTAATCATCACGCTTTCTTTTATTTCTGCGTGCGCAAAACGTGGAATAGGTATATGCATAATGTAACGAGTGTTATCGGTCGAGGGATTCAGAGGGTTATAATCTTTGACACCAGTGGTACTACTGAGCCTCTTTCCTTTGCCTTCATAGTTTCCTTTCTTCAGTTCAGATATTGAGTAGCTTTATAATACTCGTCCCTTTCGTTCTCGAGTGTTTCAAGGAATAAGATATGTATTGGAGCTAAGCTACTCGTGAGGTAACCGCTATTCGTCTAAGCGCGTTTTCATGAGTCATATTACTGCACCTTCAATTTTGATTATCTCGAAATTTATATATATATATATGAAATAACAAATGCAAAAAAAGGTATTCCTCAAAATTTGTCAAGGAATGCCGTGTATTAATCCAGTGCGTTTTATAACGCACACCCTGTTTACAATTAGACGACATTCAACAAGAAAACCTGACTTCAAGCATACAAAAAAAAAAGATAAGATGAAACTTATATATGTATATTTTGGTTTATTATGTTTTATGGTATTTATCCATGAATTAAAGCGGTCGTTTGAATTTTGGAATGTCCTTATATAACTCTTTTATAACTGTCAAGTGTCAGAAATTTTATATTACTAATCTATAGTGAAGTAGTCAATTATAATGTGAGAGTGTGTTTATGTATGAATGGTAATTATATTTAAGTTAAATAGCATTGACTTTCTTTGATGACAAATAATTAACTGATTCTAGTATTGCCTTAATTTTCTATTGTATGTATTTAACATTGATAAAATTTAATTTTTTTTTAACAACAAGAAATTTCTCTGATAAAAAATAGGGAGAAATACAATACTTATAAGTTAAATATGTAAAAATAAATTAAGTTCTTTTCCTATGATTATTATTGTACTACATCCTAATAAATGAATACTGAGTAACAAAAGAAGCACTTTGTACGGCCTGCAGTAGCTTGACGAGCACGAAGAAAAAGTAAATGCATTATCAAAGTGTCATTATTTAACCGTGGACTTCGTTCACATTTGAAATAATATTAATTTTCTTTTAAAATCTATAATCGATAATAATATTTAATCTTTGGGTCTGCAATTATAATCGGTGCAGTCAGTAATTATCATCTGTTCTGATAATTACTTTGATAAATCTGTATTCCGAAATATGATATTTTAAGCCTGCAATAATTGTTTCACCTATGGGACACAAAAGCTTGCTAATATCTACAGATAAAATAGTATTATATAAATTTCTAATCTTAATCACGCATCTCTAAATTTTACATTATTTCATATTTATCCTGCATTCATTAATGGCAGCTTAAATTAATGTACTGTTTCTTTCTCTTACTCGTTGCAAGTCCCCTGGAATTCTCGTCAACGAACTAGTAAAACTGACAACGTGCAAAATTATGAATTTGCACGTAAATCCTTTTTATGAATAATATCTTAGTTATCGTTAATGCCATAATGTCCTGTAGTACCTGAGAAAATGCTTTCGAGCAAACGTCCATTTTGTTTACGTATTTGAAACAATTAATGGACTTCACAAGCTACAGCTTTTCCCCATAATTATTTATCAATGAAAACTCGATATCTTTCTCGCTACGACTGTGACGGCCAAATTTTTTGAGTAATAATTTTAATTAAATTTTCAAAAAATCCATTTTTTCCACTGGTTCCTTGTGTAGGATCAATCACTTTTGCTTTCTTGCATATCAGTTCCTTATCAGAAGGTATCACGTCAGATAACAATTCCAAGTACGTATCCAACGGGCAAAGTACATCGCATCCCGGAATTGTTTGCTCTTTTAATGATGACGGAATACCAGTATAATATAAAATCTGTTTAACAAAAAGATATAATGAGTATTTGATTAATTGCATAATACTGACACTGTACAGACTATTTTCGGACGTACCCTAACGTAATAGGTACTATTAAGCTCTAAAAGCTCGAATATTTGGGCACTAGAGTATTCAGGAACATGAGGTAAATAAACACCAAGTGTCTGTTGAACAGCAGCGATATTTGTTTCGTGCCCACTATATAAAAATATCTTGCGACCTTTCTCAAGACTGCCATCAGCGGAAGCGGCCATATCTTCACTGATCTTGCGCACGAGCATTCCTGTCAAGTAATAAATTATTTATCAAAAAGAATCCTAAGATTTTTTATGAAAATTTTTTAAAAAATTATTCTCACCTCCATTGAGCCTCTTCAATGCTGTGTTATAACTAATAATATCATACTCAAGAACAGTGCCATCGAAAAGATCTCCATGGGGGAAAATATCATTCGCCCAATCTGGTAGTGTAAGATCCATTGAAGATTCAGCCATGAAAGTATGATAGAGGTAATAAAGATCTACAGAGTTGCTAATCTTTTTTCCGGTCAATAATGTCAAGTTTTTCATTAAATCATCAAAAACGGAAACCTTCTTTCTTACTTCTGGTGTCTTCTTCACCCTTTCGTATTCCGCCAAATACCTGAGGAAATAAAATCAGTTTGAAAGAAAATTCGAATTATTTCTTTCTTTCGCGTTTTAGTCATATATCGCATGCATTATATATTATTTTCATTGATTACAGCGGACATTCCTCAGGTACAAGAAGATTATCGAACTCCTCGACTACATAAGAAAATGGTATTGGTTGCCATGGTAATTCGTTATTCCACTTCTGAATACCTTCCGGTGGATATAAACTACTAAGTACCAACTGCAAAGACATTTTAGTCCTGTCGTAATCCGTACTACGAGCTTTAATAGCCGAGGGTATGTAGGTGGAACCAAGGAACTTCGAATATCGAAGTCTTAAAACTTCACCCAAACTGAATTCCCGCCGTTTTCCATTCTGAAAATTGAAATACATTCTAGTTTCTAGGTTTTTTCTATTGCTTCCAGAGAAGACTTCAATGCTGGACAAGATGTACGCGAACAATGTATTTTTATGGAGCCATATAAATGAAAATTTTTCAATAAACTGCACTAAATTATAAAAGCATTGTTTGTTTTGTCACCTTGAATTATGAATTAGAAAAAGTTGAAAGAAATCTTTGGAAATTTTCGTATTTATCTTGTACTTGGCAATATTTATATGCATCTGATGTTCCATGATAATTAGGAAGACGCTTTAATGATTTTCGAAAATTGATTCATTGATTGTACAATCTTTTTATAGTTTTACTCACATTAGTCAATTGTCCTAGACCCATGGGATAGAAGGTACAGTTGACGTATGGATCTTTAGGATACATTTCTAAACCATTGTTATCGGGTGCTCGATCACCGTGTCTAAATACCTGCGGATTTGTTATATAATAAATAGAATATTGATTGATCAATTTTACATTGTTAATTGTGATTATTGGACTTACCACGCTGACGAGTCGAAGCTCTGGCTCGATTGCTATGACGGTTGTGATTAAGCTAACGACTAGAATAATTGACCGAGAACCAAGGAGATTGTTACTCGTCAACATCATGTCTGATACAGTCGTCCCACGAATTCTGAAATTTTGAAAAATCAATATTCGTATATTATCAGAATTTGAAAATTAAAAATCACTCTCATCGAACACGTTCAACTCTCCCCTAAGTATCTTACTCTTAATTACTACCAATTACGACGAGTTAGAAAATATTATACCAACAGGGTATTTGAGTGTGATAAATTTGCTAAAAAATTTTCTTGTACTTCAAGTTTTCAAAAATTAGTCAATTCGACCTCGCGAAGTATAATTTAGCTGTTACCCAGTATGGCTATTGTTTTTGTGCTAAAGCTTATCGCATGCAAATTCATTCTATGTGGAACGCTTATCCGATAACAAATTTTGCCGGAAGCATTAGAGTAGGAAGTTGCTTCAGATAAAAAAAAAATTGAAAAAAAATTCATCAGTCGTTCAAAGTATCATCGCAATCCAGCATCCACTAATGTAGCTGTACCAGAGAATCTATAAGTTACAATAATTGGTATAAAGTGTACGATGAACAACAATCTTTCATCAAAGCCACATAAAAGTGCAATTAAATTACCCTGTTGTGCAATAGATGGAAAATACGATAATTCTTTAATAAATTGTACGACGTACAATCTGCAGCTTTTTATTAAATCATAAATTTGGATTACGTATAAAAGGCAACGCAATACTCGCACCATACCGTATCAATTATTCCGATATCAATTTCGCCGAGGCGACTTTTATATTTGACCGTGAAATTAAAAACAGCTGATATCTTGCGCAATCCCATTTACCAGTAAGATTCTCGAATCTGTTATGAGTAATGACTATAGTTTTGTAAATCATAAAATATACGAGTAACGATTGAGTGATAAGACGTAGGAATTTAAAACATTTTTAAATCCCTCATCGACCGTAACGTCTTATAAGTACTGACACTTTTATTATAACGAATAAAAAATGTGGTTTACGAACTCACAAGTATTTCCACCAGTTATGAAACGTAGAGCAAAAAAGAATATTACGTGCCATACTTTTTATGTCAAGTAATAAAATAAAATGACTACCGTAAAATCGTGAGTACTTTCAACTCTACGTAAAGTAGTAACTATATCAACTGGTTAGTATAGTGCTAATAAATATAAATAATAGCCTCGTAAAGATCTCCTCTTCGTAACTCTGTGTTCGTATCATTAAATAAAATTGAAAATCAAACACCTTGACTCGTAAAAGCTTCTAAGATAAAAACATTAATAAGCACAAAATAAAATTGCACGATCCTACGCTCCAAAGACGTAGCTGCTTCGAGCAATAAAATATTTCCAAACCGTCGATATTAATTTTTTGAGGGTGTAAATAAGTTTCAAACGTCACTGTACGCAATGCCCAAGTCATAATATGTACTATGAAAATATTGAATCATTAAGTATAAAATGTCCCATTTCGAAATGAAAGTACTTGAGGTAATCGAACATTTCATACTTAATGATCTAACATATTACCGACACAAGGTACTCTACTGTGATATTATTAGTGTAAATACAATCGAATCATCTGATAAACGTGAAGTACTCACCGAAGAGACTGAAAGAAGAAGACAAAATCGATTTCCGGTGAGGAATGAAAGATCGGAAACCGAAGACCGTCGAAGTGGCCCGACTAGTGTCTCGATGACAGTTTGGTCAGTTCTGGCGACGCTCGTGAATATTATAGGGGACCTTATCAGACCTCCTCGTGTCCCAGCCCCTACTAGACACCCTCCTTGACAGTCTTGTAAACTGACTCGGTGACTGTCAGTATGACAGGAAGTGTTACAGCATGACGAGGTTCGCGAATGAATTCGGATTCCAAACGGGACTTCCTAGTCCCTACTGAAATCTTCAAGATTCGTAAGTTCCGCCAGCCACTCGGTGGGCCAATGATGTCTCTATGAGGAACGACCAATGAAATATATTCTACACTGAACTAGTGCACCGGGAGAGACAAGATAGCAGACAGCTTCGCATTGCGACTCGTTTCCTTCGGAGGAAAATTCATCCCATTCACCAGGCAGGACTAACTCCCGGTAGGTGGGAGTAGATTGGCTGGTTGGTTATGTTCGGAACGACTTAACCTAGTTAATAGATATTTCAATAAATAATTCTTCATTCAGGAACGTTTTGACTAGATTTTTGGAACTCATGGTGGCGATGATTTACGTGTTGGACACCTGTGTGAATTATGGCGAACTATTTTGAGTGAGTCAATTTATCAGCTGTTTATTTGTATACCTATACAACTGATTACAATTATGATTAATATATTAAGCATTTATTATAGAAATTTTCGAATTTCCTGATTTTTTCCTTGTCGTATGTGTCACGTGCTTCCTTCGGAATTAGGCGTAACATGTGGTGATAGTAATACAAAAAGCCAAAATGAAGCCTCTTGTAATTTTAGTAATTATTATCGTAATAACGTTTGCTTGCTGTTGTTGCGTGAAAACTTTAGCGACTAGTGATAATGGTTCGTTCACGTTAAATTATCAATCATTCGGTGACCTGATGCAAATTGAAACGATTAGACATATAATATAATACATAAAACATGCGTGAGTCGGGTTTATTATTCATGTTGGTTGTAGTAGGGTAAACTAACGAAAAGAAGGCCATACAATCAGTGTTATAACGCGGAACCACCCGTCGACAGAAAGTTTGGCTTTGATAACTTAAAATTATCGAAAAACGTGGTCACGGTGTTTGCTAATTTTTATTTTTACACTGGTTTTTATTAACGAAAAGCAACGATATACACTACTTCGTATCGACGATGAAATTTAATTTTGTATATTCATATATACAGTTTATGATAAAACATGAGCTTTAATCGATATTTGTGCAATCGAAGAAAAACTATCTCTGCACCTCCGCTTGTTACGAAATCACGGACAGCATGTAGCTACGTAAAATATATTATTACTCTGTGAAATCTTGGTTATATATTAAAGTGAACTGAATCGTTTCGAAACAGTTGCCATATATAGGTATATAAACACAATATACTGAGAAATACCACTATCGCTAGTTCGAACTTGCCAAATATCTATGTCAATATTTACTTACGAGTGTCAATGCACTAACAATTGAATTCATTGAGTAGTTGATTATATTTTACATAATGAAATACTACTATCAATGAATTTTTTTTTATACTTTCCTACGAGTCGCATTGAAACGCCGGTATCCCGTAACAGATGATCGATCGAATCAAATTAAATATAATTAGCATATCATCAGCCGGAAAAGTTATATCGTAACTGAGAGAATCGATTATATAATTAAATTTATCACCATTGAAAATTCACGTTGACCTTGCATGAGTATATTTGATAAGATACATTTGGATAGTTCCAATGTAATTAACTAATTATTCTTTCATTTTCATATCTACAGCCTGAAGCAAAACGTGATGGTCTCATGATATTCATACGAGCAAGAAGATATGACGCACGTTAGTGCGATATGACGTGCTTCCTGAACAAGGAAACCGTAATTGATGGGAACGGTTATTGAAATTTTCCCCGAAGGCGAAAATATCTAATTGGAAAAACATTGTCAAATTTCACCTGGAGGGAATCCCGTACCGTACAGAAAACATTGAAAAGACAACCGTTCCGTGTAATGAGTACGACAGTCATTAGAGTCGCCAAGTCATCAACTCCAATTCATTTAAAAATCATGACTTATGTACTACACTCAATTATCTTGGTCAACAGTTTTTAACTTTGTCATGGAATAAATAATTGGTCAATCAACGGTGCGAAAGTAAAATAAAAAATGTTCTTAGGTAAATACAAGTACTCTTCTTTAGCTAGGTGTCATTTGCAAAGCCATTAATAAGAATGATAAATAACTGAAATTACACTATGTATAATAAGTCTAGTTTACAATCAATCAATTCGAATAGATGAAAATTAATGAAGATTATTAAATGGACAACCTAAGAAAGTATACAGAACCGTATTACGCACGGCTGTATTGTTATATTTAATTTAAATGTACATGTGCATATCAATGTAGAGTTTTATCAATGGCGCCAAAGCTGCTTAAATGATTCTTAACGAATCTGGAATTCGACCCATTCTCCAGATCATTATATGACGAATATTGTCTGTGTACTAATAATAATTACAAATACGATGACATACTCACTGACGACCTCTGATATTTTTATGTTTTCGCATTTATTTTGCTTTTAAGTACCTAGCGACTAATTAAAGACATTTCACCATGTATCCTTTCTTATGCTTCTTTTTATCACAAAGTAATCACCGTTGCGTACAAACTTCATTAAAACATTGGTACAGGCGTTGCAATACTGTTTTTGCTGTTGACCTCGGTGTTATTTTTACTGGAAATCACACAAGTTCACGGCGTAACTAAATCTCTAACATTAAATCCACTTGAAATTACATGGCGACTGTCATAATTAATTTGCACTGACGCATCATGTGCGCATTGATTTATATCATCAATTGCACGACTGCAAGGTGTGCAGAGTTTGCTGATTGTGCATGAATATGACGCGTTGTATTATGCAGTCATTGTATACTTGGTTCTTTGTATAAATACAATTGAATTTTGTACGATCCATAGGTTCCATATGATCTGTACAATAATATTATAATTTTCTTTTTTTTTCTCTCATAGGAATAGCATAAAAAAGTTATACAACACTGTATCTGCGTAATTATTGTAAATAGCATTTAGAATCTTATGCAGTGCAAAATGTATCTGAATGTTTTATGCAGTATTTCATTAATTAAAATTAATTAATCGATTCCTGCAATTGTACTGGACATTTTTTACACTGCATATTATGTAGCTGAAATTATGTATGGTTAGTAAAATGTATACGAGGTTATATAGAGTTTTAATAGAGAATATATTCAAGTGACAGAGATAGTCACGTGTTGCATAACGGATGTACGACGGTTGTTCCTGCCTTAATTATGAATAAATCCGTGTACGACTTGTAATATCAATTCAGTGGCTCAGAGACTGATAAGACAACCATATCTCTACAGGGGCTATGTGACAACTCTGCTGTACTACTCGTGACTAGTCTGCTATTAGAAAATTTGTGAAATTTAGTAGACAGAAAAGTTTTAAAGTGGATTCTGTTATTTGAGATATGAAATTAATTATTTGCGATTATTTGTGCTCATTGTTAGATAAAATTTTAATGACCGTTCTAAACGTACTTTTATTTTTCATTGTCATAATTTATGAAATTTATTTTTTTCAATTTATGCGCGATTTTGTAAAGCTAAGTTTAAACGCTTAATAGTTATAATGTTCTTTAAAGTCGGTATTGTACTCATTATCTCTTTAACAACCATTTTGGCTGTACAAGAATTGCAAATGATTCATGTGGTGAGTATTCAATTCGTGATATACAATTTTATTAATATATTAACATTTTCATATTTTTATAATAATTATAAATCATTCTTTATTTTAGGTGTATATGCATCAGCCTGCAACTCCTGTGATAAGAGTGGATGATTCAATAACCAGTTCTTCGGAGAGTCCTAGCTATATTTTGGACACTAATGAAACTATGGACATGACTAATGTAAGATTTAATATTGTATATATATATATATATGTATTATAATTGCGTAAAAAATTAATTACGATCATTTCAGAAAGAGAAACTCATCATGTATAATTTGGGTATTTATTTACGTAAAAAGTATGGTGAATTCCTCGGCGATATTTATATGCCTACTATATCAAAAACAATAACGTCAGATAGCAGTTTTTCGAAAATTTCTGCACTTCTGGTGAACGCCGCTCTCTGGCCACCAGTTGGCATCCAACGTTGGAAGGAAGATCTGAACTGGCAGCCGGTTTCAATCTGTATGATATAATAATTTCTATTAATTCTTATCGCAGCTACTAATACCAGTTACAATCTCGTATTTACAGCTTATGAACAAAAATGGAATGATACCTTGATGCTAGGAAGGTTATGTCCAAACTTTATAACGGAAAAGGACAAAGTCGATAAATCTAGTCGAGCCGAATACGTTGTCCAAAATTTGTCACAGCTTTTTAACTATTTGCGCGAAGAGACTAAATTTACGGTGGAAACTATCTCGGACGTAGCTGCTCTTTACAAAATTCTTCGGACCAATGTATTATTATTATTATTACTTTTCAATAATGATACTACTGTGCTTACTCAAGATCATTAATATCTGTTAATATTGTTTAGGTCAAGCGAAGCGTTACACTTCCTGCCTGGAGCGACGATATATTTCCTAATGGCCACATGTTGACCTTGATGGAAGTTGATTATGAATTACTTGGTAAAACTAATTTACAACGACAACTGAACGGTGGTGTTCTCTTGAAAAAAATCATTTTAGACACCATTGCTTATATGAGTGGAGATAACAATACAAAAATTTATCAGTACAGTGGTGATGACATTAATTTAATTGGTCTTTTGCACGCTATGAATATCTGGATCCCTTATGTACCTCAGGAAGGCACTGCAATTATCTTTGAGGTCTACAAAAATACGGAAAACAATGTATACGCGATAAAGGTTGTACATTTTAGTTTGCATTAGATTAATCCGATTCTATGTCACTGGTAGCATCGTGAATTTAATTATTTTTCTGATTATTTATTTTCAGATCAATACTTACTCTGGAGATATTAAAGGGAATGCTTCTTACTCATTTCCACCTACTTCTGATATATTGTATGAGGTTATACAGTTTGCACGTTTACATCAAGATTATTTGTCTCTCAATGAACAGAACCTTTGTGGTTGGGACGTCACTGGGGATGATGATGAATTTTCCAGTGACGCGATTAATGAAAATAGTTCGTCGTTATTCAATTCCAATTTTCATTTTATTATGATCATCGTCGGCTTTCATATTGTTCATTCTTACAATAAACCGTAAAGATATTAACTTATTGAATTTGATAAATACTTTGGATATTTTGTTTTTTGTACATATGTATGTTATACCGAGTTATTATGTATTTACAGACTTATTTATAATTTAATCTTGCTGTCTGATCTTAATATAGATATGCATTGCCATACTAATACTGTAATTTGTGGATAATTGTCTGCACTGGCAACTGCCAATTTTTCCAAAATGTGCATCCAAAATTCTGCTCGATTTTCATCCTGGTTTCTTGTATTCTGTTGAATTTTATTGGTTCCCCATCTTTCTTTCCACAGCTCAGTCACTGCTGGTATTCCAGTGCTGGCACTGGATTTGGTTATACGACATTCAGGAGCCATTTTTTTGTATTTTCTAAGGACTGTTTTCAAACCGTGAAAAAGAAGACAGAATCTTTCTAGGGTATTCAGTGTTTCTATGAGGTTTTGATCTTCGTCCATTCTTCTTGCGACAACGTCTGTCAAATCTTTTGATCTCATAATTAAATAATCCACAGTCTCGTGGCATATCACAAAAGAATTGCAGAATTCCAAAATAATTGATATGTGATGTTCCGAAATTGTTATCTAGGGATAATAATGTTCTATATAACTTTTAAATAATCTCGTTTTATTCGCGCGAATATACTGACCTTATTTTGACTATTTAGAATTTTTTCAAAAATTCTTTTTATCATTCGAACAGTTTCATTTTTACAGGAACTCGGTCCACTTTCCTCCTGTAGGAGATCGACTAAATTCACTATAGTCTGTACAGCCTCCTTCTCCATAGAATCTTGCCATTTCCTATATCGCGAATATGTCGTTACAATAGTCTCATTTTCAAAAACACATAAGATCTTTTTTGTGCAATGTAGCAACACGTCATTAGTATTTGAAGTCCGTAAAACATGATTAAGAGAGACAGATGATATTTTATCATGAATTCCTTTTGATTTTTTAAACGCTGGACTGTTTTTTGATTTTGAATGGTTATCCTTCTTCCTCTTAAGATATTTCTCACTATTTGGTACTGTGTTTCTTCTATTAACGTTCCTAGTATCGCTGATAACTTTATTTGGAAAATCGGTTGACTTTGATCCGATTTGTGCCTGAGGAATCATTTTCGAATTTGAAGTCGATGCAGTAAGAAACTCCGAGGGTTTTTGAATTGTCAGAAAATTATTGACTTTTTCGATTCTTAAAAGTCTACGTGCATTACTATGTGTTTTCCGAGTAGTCGCTAACTTTTCACTATCAGCAAACTGAATAGATGACAACAACAAATCTTGATCTTTTCTCAATCCCACAGACAATTCAGACATTTTTAAATCTATATTCTGGGTAATGGAATTTACGTTGAAAGTCTGAAAGCCGCTATCCTCAACATTTGCCGTTGATGTTATTTGTCTCTCCTTGCACTCCTCTCCAAAACTCATCTCAGGACTAGTCATAGGTTCTATGTATTTGTTATTAGCTCCAAGTCCAATACAATTTTTCTGAATATTCAGAAAACTGTTCATGGCTTCATTTCCAGGACTGCACTGAAAATTTGTCTCCTCGTCGTCTGTATTATTCTCCAAGTTGTTCGCGCAGTCAATTTTAACAGCTTCTGTATCAGAAGCGACAATCAGATTGTGTTTAGCATTACTCAAAAAGTCAATGCTATTTTGAGTATGGAATGACATTTCATCATCCAAAGCTACACTTTCGTCATCATCAAAAGTATAAGAATATGGTTGTTGGTCTCGATTATCATTAATTAAATTTTCTAACTGTTGGCCTTTTTTTAATTCACTTTTTTTGGTAGAAATCTTAAAGTTCTCTTGTACAATTGAATCTTGATTGTTAACAGTTCTCCAGTGTTTCCCTAAAACCTTTTGAATTGACCTCACTGGAACTTGTTTCATCATTGTTATGGCTGATTTAAGCCACACGATGGCTTGGATAAAACTCAGATCAGTTTTGTACTCATCTAAGGATGTTGGTGAATTATTAAAGCTGGTTCCTGATTGATCCTTGATTGTTTTCATACGATTAGCACACTTTTGACATTTTATAATATTATCTCGCCTGTGATCTATTGATCTAGTGCGATGTTGGGCATTTAACTCCAACAATAGATCATCCAAAATTGTCGAATCTGAATCCGTCAGTGACTCATCCTCGTTATCACTCGCTATTTTTTCTCCAGCTACAATATTTTTTATCAAATGAGCATGATAAATTTTTTAAATATATAAAAATAGTACCTCTATCGTTAACGTTACATAAATTTGAATCGCCGATGGAAAACATTTCACATAAATTTTTAACAATTTTGTCTCTCTCATCAGCAACAATCTTCCGGTTGATCGGATTGGTTGTATTATCCTAAATATGGATAAAAAAGATATACGCCCATAAAATAATATGCATTTCACAAGATTCAAATAAAAATAGATGTAAAAATGTACTTTCATTTTGCCACGACGTTTTGAATATATTGTGCAGCTTTTCTGCATAAGCTTTTGGAGTCTGATCTTTCGGCAATGTTCTTATCACTGCGACAGCACTTGCGATTAGAATTTTATCAAATATTGTTTGTACTAAAAGTCAAAAGGAATATATATTCTCTGTGCTTATCATTCACGTGAGAAATGTACTTACAATAAGATTTTATTTCTTTCTCGTCGTGCATTTTCTCTCGGTACACAGTTTCATCAATGTATTTGATTAGTTATTATTTACAGGTGTATCTTATTTATTAATTATTGATCACAATGATCACATTACAAAGATGGATTCAACAATTGACGCTTGTTCAGCGCGCAATGTAACAATTGATTAATATAAAAATTTAGGTTTATATTCTGTCGCTGTTTTGGCAGCCATGCAAGTTAATTTTCCCTAGAGATATATCGATAAGTATCATCTCTGACTTCACATGCTTCCGCTTTTCCGAAGTACCGGCGAGGATTTTATAAAGAAAACGCTAAAAGTGTTTACCCTTTAAACCTTTACTACGAGTACAATTTATTTCACACGAAGATGGATTCGTTACAGGCAGGAAATTTATCTGGCATTCAAAAAGACGAAATAATGGAACAGGTTAAACAACAGATTGCTGTTGCCAATGCTCAGGAACTACTCACGGTAACATTGCATAATTTTTTTTTCCTTACAGCACGATTATTCTGAATGAATCCGATATGTTTCTCCACATATTTACAGAAAATGACTGAAAAATGTTTTAAAAAATGTATCTCGAAGCCTGGCACCTCGCTGGATAGTTCCGAGCAGGTAAGCAATTCATAAATCTAAAACTAACCTCTTTATAATTTGTGTATACATACTTTCTACTTTATCTTCCAGACACTTGTATTAATTTCCTTCTAGTGAAATCAGAATTACATTTTTTAATATTTTTTTAAACAATTCTTATTGAACATCTATGTGATGCAAGTGTCGTGATAAAATAATTCATTTTGTACTTTTCATACCTGTAAATAAGGCCTATATTTCATCATATTTGTTTACAGTCTTTATTGTCTAATTACTTGTTGCTTTCTTTGATCTTTAAAGAGATTCTGTAATATCGAAATTCATTATTTGTGTTTCCAGAAATGTGTGGCAATGTGTATGGATAGATACATGGATGCTTTCAATCTAGTATCAAAGGCATATAGTAACAGACTTCAACGGGAACGCCACCGATTGTAAATAGATAGAGTCAAATGAATAAATTGTTTTGGTTGCACTGCATGTAGTTCACTAGTCAATCGAAACTACAATACTGAACATTCACCTGATTAATACGCAAGAAATTCCACCTGGTATTGAACGTTTATTCCAGTTTATGTAAATAAGAGGAGAACGTTCAACATCAATTACAATACATGTAACTACATAGCATTAGTCAATATTTGAGTGAACATTGCATTTTATTGTTAATGAGAATTGTTCAGTGTGCTCGCTGTTACATTGAGTAACAATGTATAATAGACGAAAGGCAGTTTAAGCAATTCATTAAAGATCAAAACAACTTATTATTAAGAAGTTGTAGGCCAATAATTATTAATAAATTGGAAAAAGCTATACAAACTAAACAAAGTTATTAGAAATATCTACAAGTCACAGACCATTGCATTGAGAAATAGAACTACCTTAACAGCATGAATACAAATACAGCACGGTATGAGAATTGACTTCAATATGTTAAAAAATAAATTGATTATTTACAATTAATTTGTGTCATTAATGTTAAATCTTGTTTAGCAAACCACAAAGAAAACTGCTAAATAATCCTAAATCTGTGTAAATACATTTTTTTATTCGGAATGTTGGATATTTTCATTACAATCATCTTTACAGATTACATTATAGGAACAGCGACGTCGGGTCCGCATTGCGCAAATTATTATCCAATAGCAAAGAAAACAAAAGACATGGCAATTCCAGTAGAAGTTCAAAAAGTATAGAAGTACCTATATTTTACAATATATTTGACAGTAATAGTCTATACCCCCAAGAAATGAAGATTTTATCTCACACATTGGATATCATGATGCGCAAGGCGGTCCGTTAAATTGTAATTAGTCTGTTATACGTAATAAATATACATATTGCGAAAAAATCGTGCCGCGTAGCAGCCATCAGCCTGGTACCTGCAGTATACAGAGAACTCTGATATAAACTATCAACAGATGACGAGGAATTTGTACTTTAAAACGATGTGACATTTTTCAGAGACAATATTACAGGCAAGTATAAAGATCGATAATTGACATAAAAATTGGTAATAAAAAAAAAGTAATCAAGTGTGACGCGTCCTGTTTGATCCTTTTAGAAAATACGACATAGAACCCATCTATCTAAAATTTTAATTAAACGTGACTAACTAATTTGGCTACTAAGATCGAATCGTTTAACACCCCTACCCCACCCACATACATTATTTTTAATATCTCTAAATTTTTCATGTATTTCCATTAATGTTAATTCTCAATCCTAAAACACTTTTTTTCTCTCTATACGTAACATCATTGAATTTTTGCCCCTTAAGTAGTTATGCGTCACATCGCTCACTTACCAAGCACCATGAGATTTCATGTGATTTTTCCTTCCTTTGCAAATATCTTTAAAAACGAAAAAAAGAGGCGCTTTTTTGTCACGGTACACAGGCAATTTTGTTTAGTATAAGCGACCGATTTTTCAATCCGATGGACGACAATGCCGTAGCTCGTAGAGCTTTTGAGCAGTATTTATTATTACATTATGAATAATTTTATATAGTGAATCCAAGGCGAAGCCCTTCTACCAAATGATACAGTGGTTAATCGAATGCTTAATTTACTGCTAAATTCCGCATTTCTCCTTTGCCTACAAGCAATCTCGTGTTAAAAAGGAAAGCACAAAAAAAGACACGATTAAATCGGTAGGTAAATGGAAAAGGAACAGTTGAGTTTAAAGAAAACGGATATAATCATGTACACGTGAATATAGACAAATAATAATAAAATGTCAATGGATGTAAAAGAGAGGAAAAAAAGATCTTTATAAAATAAATAACAAATACATTGAATATTGTTACATCGTATTATCCGTAAATCATAAATAATCGGAGTATGTATGTGTCTCGTAAAAACCTACAATTCCACAGTACTTATTCGCGTTACGTTTATAATAGTATATTTCATACACGCTAAAAGGCACGATATAGCTACCAATAGTTCAACGTGGTTACAACATTCATTATCTGTGATTTATCTGTGAAAAAATATTCATGAACCATTTCATTAATGACACTGGACAGGTCCGTCCAACTATTTAATTCTATCCGGTTAACCAAGAAACAATCAACTATGGCTACGCGTATCTCATTCGTTATTCCCTAATGCATATTAAGACTCCGGTGATGGCCGGACAAATTCATCATTGACCATAGCAAAGCCATCAGTATCCAAAGCCCTAAGATATGTTGTTATATCTGGTAAAAAATCCGAGCATAAGGAACGACATATAAAAACCATTGGCAGTAGTCGATTTATCATTACAGGTTAGATTGTCCCCATAATAAATGACACAAGACGGTTTCGAGAAGGACGAATAGTCAGAATACAGTTAAAGTCACGAGAGTGAACGTCATTATTATTTTTCATTCTTTTCTATTTTTTTTGCCTCTAGCAGAAATAAAACTGACCACCCTGCAATCAGTTTCCCGAGTGATACCGTAATTCATTGATGATTAGAAAAAGTGCGAGAAGCGCGAGAAAAGAGTTTTTTTTCTCTTTCACATTTTGATAAGTCGTATAGGATACGGAGCGAATCTTTTAAAGAAAAATTAAAAAAGAAAGACAAAATAAGGTACTACACACAAGATCACTCCTTAAAGCACTCTCTTACGAGCTACAGTGAAAAATACTTATTTCGTACGTACGCGTGCTTGTTGCTATTGCTAGCCAATTAGGGATAAGAATATCTTAATAACAATGGAATGTGTCTGTTTCCTACTATCTAAACTTTGTGGGAATGTTCAGTGCAGTCGTGTACTCGTTAAACTTTCATTCGTTATACTTTTTTTTTCCATTTTCCATATTTTTTTTTGTGTTATTTGATTATAAGTTCTGTATGGATAATAGACTGTAACCACGCTGATTGGCCAGGAACACACCTGTTTTAATACATGTCCTGGGGCAAATTTTAGGATTCAGACCAAGCGATTTCACATGACCTGGCGATTGTATATTAAGTAAAGCCAAGGCAATGACTCCAAGCAAATGATGCTTAGTGAGACATTATTGATTAGTCATGAAAGTTTGTCTTTGTATAAGGTATAACGGTAGGATATATTGTGATAATTGAAATTACTGCCGACAATTTCAAGTCTCCTGGAGGATTCAGAATGTTGATGTAAATTGAAGTAGTGGCTACTCGATTGGAAACAATTCGAAATTGTAGTGCGACAAAGATAAGCCTGTTTCTTTTACTTTGTTTTCTCTTAAGAAATCGCTTCGTTTGAAACTCGCCTCAGTGCGACGCAATCGTGTAGGATTATAAGATTCTACCCAAGAATGAAGATTCTTGTGTGAAGACAGCAAACTATACATTTTTTTACAAAGGATTTTGATTTGTCAAGCATCCAGTTGATCCACCTTGAATTGTACTTAGTTATTGCATCTTATTCGGGGCGTAGTACTATATTCATAATATTTCGATATTTTTCATTGTATTGGATTGCCCAAAAATCAAGGTTTGCCACTAACAATAGTACTTTTAAACGTTAAACATCTTGCGGAGATGCCGATGCAAGAAAATATATAAGCACCTAATCGCCATTTCTTTTTCTCGGACAACTTTAACTTTCATAAATAATTTTAGCTTCAAACACTTAGCACCACTGTCTTTCCAAAAAAATAATTTTATGGATTCGTACTTTTTTTTGAGGCAATCCACTGTCAGACGGATGATTTGCTGATAACGCTTACGATATCATACCAGTAACTTTAGTTAAATGAGGTAATGCACAACGTTCAGTCGTCAAATTAGACGAAGGAATTACTTTGACAAGTACAAAAAGAAAATGTCTCTACTAAAAATTCGTGCAATTAAACATAACTCTCAATTACTAACAAGCCATAATCTAACTTCATACGCACACTCACTGCCTCTCTCTCTCTCTCTCTCTCTCTCTCTCTCTCTCTCTCTCACTCTCACTCTTCCTTTCCGATCCGTAAAATATTAAACTCTCGCTTCTTACATAAATTAACTGTAAGAATAGTAATACTAGGCGCATCCACAGAATAACGTAGGAGGAATTTTGTCCAAATGAGAGTGAAGATAAATCACAAGCGATAATTCTCAACAGTACCTATAGTACGGATCAAAAGCTACGCTTGTTAAGATTTAATTACATAACGATTGGATATCTGTGATAAGAGAAAAAAATTATTAAGCCCGATTCGCGTTTTATGTCGCACACAGTGAGATTTTTTATCGTGATACAATTAGCAGATGATTACGGCTTTTTTTTTCAAGTTTTCATACATTACGCAACCATCACATTTATATTAAACGTATGTCATCTTACGCTACAAAAAATAGAAATATATGTTGATTAATCCGGTTTAAAAAAAACTGTTGTATAAAATAAGTAAAAACTCGATGCCTGCGAGATAAATGCATTCAGATTGTTTCCTTCCACGTTCTTTTGTAGCGCAACTTAATAAGTATTGAGCCACATCTGGCAGTGTATTGTCCCAATGATTATGGAGACAACATAACCGCAGGCAAGTGTCTTGTCCCTTAATAGTAAAAGACATAGACATCGTATGAACCGTCCGGCTAGGATGTAATTAATCAAGACCCGAAGAGAAAAGGAACGAAGAGAAGACTAAAAGTTGAAGTACACTTTCTAATCGTACTTAGATTAAACCTAAAATGAAATCATGAAAACTTACACCTCCTTGATATAATTCGTGGTAATTACCACAGAAAAATTCGATATTATTATTATAGTCCATTATCCCCCGATTCAGTTAGAATAATTGACGTATCCAATTACGTCAGCTGCATGGAGATATTATAAATATCCCATCAGTGCTTGTCATTGTGAGACATTACGAATTTCTAAGTTCCATGAAACCAGTGGCTTCCTTCTTCGTCAACAGCTCCTAATCACACCATCCACTATCGCACTAAGGTTTTTGGCTCTGCGAAAGAACATGCTCTACACTGCAATGTGATCACTTACGCAAGAGGTGCTACTGAGCATCTCATCCAATTCCTCGATGTCCTCACTTATGTCTTCGCTCCTAATACTCTGAGCTCGATCTTCCTTTTTATTTTGGAGCTTTGTTGGACTCTCTGCTTTGTCTGGTCCTTTCGAAGGACTCTGTTCATTAGCACTACCAGATGCTGAAGATACAAAGTCCTCTTCGTAGTTATCTACACTGTCTGTACCTGGAGTAAAGTATTTGGGTAGTTAAATAAAAATTTGACTGTAATCTTACGAACTATATATAGAATAAAAATACGCTAATCTTACCAAGTCCAATATCAATCAATTCTTTCAGATCATTTATATTAGTTTTCTTAGCATTCAGCGGTGGCAAGTCGCTAAATATTGAATTAGTTTTTGGAGTTAACGGTGGCAACTCTCCTAATAACAATTCAGTTTTGTGTACTGCGCTAACTTTTTCTTTCTTTCCGTCAATAATGATCTCGTCGAAGTATACAGTCTTGCTCAAATTATTCTCGGAACTTATTTGTTTCTTGTTTTGTACATTGTTAGCGTTTTGTATTTCTGTACTATTCATTATGTTTTGCTTAGAGGCATTCTCATTTTGATTAAGTTGCCCTTGGTCGAGTATAGATTCGTCAAATTTTATTAAGGGTTCAGTTTTGTTCAACAAATTCGTCTCGTTTAATACATTTACGTCAGTCTCTTGCGTGGCATGATTAGACACTGCGTTTTTCTCTTTTGGACTTACAGGGAGTTTATTGAAATGTATGTTATTGTTCCCTTTACTATCAATTCCGTCAGCAGCGGACATATTTTCAAAATTTAATTTATTATCCCTGAGAGAATTCTTTTCGATCTCGCAAGCGGACTTATCAGTCGAAACGTTATTCAATGCTTGTTCACTTTTCTTTTTATCTGTTATTGTCACATTTATTGGAATCTTTGGACTGGATTCTGATACGCTTTCGATTTTTTCAGAGGAATCATTGTCATTTGATAACGAAACTGAATCTTTGTGTAGTATTTTTGGAATAGTAACTTCAAACGTGGCATTAGCAAAGTTTGTTGATGTCTCAATAGACTTACTGAGCCTACTATCGCTCTGTCCATTCTGCAAAAAATATCAGATTGTTAGACCAGTTAGCTATAATACAAAAATTCTTCAGACGAATGAAAAGTACCTTCTGGGAATTATTAAAGGCACCATTTATACTGTTCTTCAGAATCTCTCCGAGCAAAGGTTCACTTGAAGTGATGCCCAATTCTTCGCATAGTTTGTTTCTTCCCATATAACTGTACTCCTTGCCAGAATAAGTTTCTGGATCATACACAGATATGGTATAATCAAGTCCAAAATATTCTAGAAACTCCCTAACTAAAGAAAATAGTAATTTTCCTTCTGAATTTGCCAGGTACTGCTTTACTGTCTTGTTCAGGAGTGGCTCAGGATTCTGTAATAAAAACACCTTTATAATTTTATATAATTATATCAAACTAAATTATATAAAATTCAGATTCGAAATAGTCTAAAAAATTTTACTACCACTTTTAATATCATTGGGTAAATTACTATTGTCAAAGGTCAAATACACCACTGTTAATAATTGATACAATGCATTTTCATACAGCTGCAAATTTAAATACTCAGACTGAAAAATTTGATATCTTATAATCTTTCATAGAAACAAATATATTATGGAATTGTTCTGTTCACTGTATTTAGAAAAACAATAAATCCCAGTTTCCTCGATTTATATTTATAGCACGAGACCAAAATATCCCAGATTCATATCCCAAAGAGCACAAAAGCTATAACAGAGGTGACTGTAAACAGGAAACAGCTTTTTTTAATTTTATTGCTGATCATAATTTTAACTCACCATCACGGACTCCTGTTCCTCGAGAGCCAAAAAGACGCTAGCCCTAAGCTCCGCCTGGAAAAGTATGCGAAAAATTATAGTAGTAAAGTACAACCGGAACCTGTGAAACTCTTAATTGCACTGACAAACGGCACGGTATAACCTATAAAAAATTTGTTTTTTGTATCATTATTCTCTCTTACCCGCACTTTCGCGAGTACACCATTATTCTCGAGGGTTTGCACCACCAGGTCCCGCAGCTCGGTATCCTCCTCCATGGAAATGTTTCCGTCTGTCATTGTTACAAATAAAAATTACCCCCGTAAACACTCAAAAGATGTAAATATTTACGCATCCCATCGCGTGCCTTCTTTTCGCGGATCCGATCAGAGTCCATCGTTCCCCGATCTAGGGGATTTCTCCTCGATCATTCCATAAATTTTAAAATTTCCCTAGACAAGAATCATGGAACGGAAATAAGAAGATATCACTAGAATATTTTAATCTCGCAATGATAAGAACTTTCAGGAGAAGGAAAAAAGTATTTACATCAAAATCATTCAAAATATTATTTATTCTATTGCACTGTCGAAGTCAAAATTCGAGTAACACCGAAATTCATTTGCTAGATTATTTTTATGATGAGGAATGAAATTACATACATTTACATCCAATAACCTCTCTGCCAAAGAAGCCATTATTTCCCCTTAGAGAAGAAAAGTAATATTGTTAGGTTGTTAATATGAAATATGGTACATTAATTGTAATAATTACCTGTACAAAGTATAATCTTTTTTTTTGATAAAAATTTAATAGTGACAGCCGTTTTCATTAAACATTCCTCTGATAGAAACGGTGGATCAGCTATCACAAGATCAAAATAACTGGATAGATCTCTTGGAATGTCCAAGGGAGATTTATAATCGTATGGAATAAAATCTGATCCATATACAGCAAACCTTTGATCATATTCTAATAGAACAACTAGAAAAATAATTTTACATTGAATGACTTTTTACATTAGAAGGTACTAATATTTATTTTTCAAGAGCAATAATTACCATGTCTTTCACCAGCAGCTTTTTTCATTCTACTATACAAAGTCGGACATGATATTAATGCAATTTTACCGTTTGGTTTTGTTGCATTCATTGCTCCCTTAATGAAAGTTTCAACAGTTTCGTCATCGTACCAAAACTGACTCAATTGCTGTAATTTTCAATAATTATTATTTAAGTTTTAAACTATATTATAATACAGTCTCAATTTTATTGTGCGTTTTCTTGAAACACGTGAGGCAACTTACCCAATCCTCATCGAATGTCACATCCAATGTTTGATTGTGTTCCACAATGTTTTTCAACTGATTTTCGCGTTCCTCTCTCTCTTTATAAAATTCTTGAAGTGCAGTGAGTGTACTGGATGATAATTGTGGCATGTCTTCATCGTTCTCTTCCATTTTACCAATAATTATTTACAATTTTATAGAGAAAGTGAACTCGTGTGCACTTGTAGGTGCAGGGTTTTTAAAATTAAGTTATTTATGTTGGGAGAATTGTTAACGTCGAATACTTCAAGGATTTCAACCTGAAGTAATATTTTTTTCACATTATATAAAAATAAAAAACTGCATATAATTATGAATAATGTAAGGTTTAATTACTTTTTAATATTTATGGCTATTTCAATAAATAATACATTTATATAATTAAACTACTGTAATTAATTTTTTATACTTTGAAATTCTTCCACCTACGTCAAATCGATTCTTTTGTATGTGCAGCTATGTTCACTCTAGGGAATTGTCTGGCGTGAAGTGCACAGAGCTTCGTGATTTCTTTTCCAAGTGCGAGAATGGCGGATACGTAAGTGCATTTTATATGATAGAGAAATCATTAAACATCGATAGCGTTAAAGCTAAAAATATTCTTATATTCTCGTAAAATCAATTCTTCTAATATTGATATATAATTTCTATAATTTAGTTTTTGCAATATTTTATTCTTTCGAGGAATAAGACATGAATGTGACAACCCATTGGGTAGACTAGGCCTCCACATGAAACATTGAACATGTGTTCAAGCATAAATGTAATAATTCTAAAATTTCGAATGTATTAAAATACGACATGATATACTGAATATGTGCAAAAAAGAAAAAGGAATCTTGGAAGATGCCTTGTGTAATGTTTGTTTGAAAATAAGTAAGAGGCTGCAGTTGATGTATTATAACCTAATTACTTTTTGGAGCTCTGCTTGCTACTTTGAATGAGGTAGTCCTTAAGAGAAGATTGTTTACAATGGTTCTGTTTGGCTTTTCAGGCAGAAGAAAGCTCCTGCCGCCCCAGCTACTCCTGCTGCACCAGCTACTCCTGCTGCACCAGCTTCAGCAGCCCCCAAAGCTGCTAAAGCTGCCAAAGCTGCTCCTGCAGGGAAAAAATTGCCGGCCGTTCCTGAGTCTGTACTCAAGAGGAGAAAGCGTCGCGATAATGCTAAAGTTGCAGGACTCCAAGTATCGATCAAGGTATTTATAATATCAATATATCTATATATACTTAGTAAATTTAGTATTGTGGTTATTATTTATTACCATTATCAGAGTACTTTGATAATAAACGATTTATAATCATTTGTGTCATAGCGCCGTGCAGATCACTACAAGAAGAGGAAAGAAATCTTCAAAAGGGCTGAGCGTTATGTTAAGGAGTACAGAACTAAGGAGCGTGATGAGATTAGGTTGATTAGACAAGCTAAAAATCGTGGAAATTATTATATTCCTGGAGAAGCTCGTCTTGCTTTTGTCATCCGTATTCGTGGGTAAGCAGGAATCATTAAACATTTGTAAGTGATCATTTATGGTGTGTAATTAAATATGTAATTACTTTTTAGTGTTAATCAAGTTGCTCCCAAGGTCCGCAAAGTACTTCAGCTTTTCCGTCTGAAGCAGATTAACAATGGTGTGTTTGTAAGATTAAACAAAGCCACTATTAACATGCTGCGAATCGTTGAGCCCTACATCACCTGGGGATACCCTAACCTGAAATCTGTTCGCGAATTGATCTATAAACGTGGATTTGCTAAGATCAACAACCAGCGAATTCCGATCACGAGTAATTCAATCATCGAAAGGAAATTGGGTTAGTAAATCTAGCAAGATTGCATTAATAATTTAACTGATAATCTTCCATTTTATTTGACAAGTCCATGGGAGTGGTTGAACATTAAACTTCTTCTTTCCATCTTGTCAAACATAATAAGAACTCTTGAAAATATCCATCCTTAAAATATGCAGATGGGTCAGACAAGAGTTCGGACACACATTTTAACTTTTCTCAATGAACATATTACTAAATTTCATAATATTAATACCTCTAATATTTTTATTATTTTAGGTCGCTCTGGCATCATTTGTACTGAAGATTTGATCCATGAGATCTTTACCGTTGGCGTCAAATTCAAGTATGCCAGCAACTTCCTCTGGCCTTTCAAGGTACAATACATTGTCTATCAAGTTTTTCTCACGACATAGGCATGGTGGTGGAACCAACCCATGTTCTATTACCTCCTACTATGTCGAAAAGTAATACGAGATTCTTTATTTCTGCCAATCAACACTTCTCGTTGTGAGGTTAAAAAAATCTCAAACAATATCAAAACCAACAATCAGTTTACTGCTGCTTACAATAATCGATTTGTTCGAAAAAATTATAGAAATATAAACATGTTTTTATTATAGCTAAACACCCCCAACGGCGGATGGCGCAAGAAGACCAACCACTACGTCGAGGGTGGTGACTTTGGAAACCGTGAGGACAAAATCAACGAACTCCTCAGACGAATGGTTTAGATTTACAATAAACTTGACAAATAAAACTATACGTCCTAAAAATCAATTAACTCTACCATAGCTACACCACACTTCCCAATGATCATTCCTTATTGTTTAATAGCCTTATTGCAACCAGAGTATCAATGAACAATTAAATGAGATAAAAAACTAATTGTATATTATATGTTATACAGTATAAAACTGAATATTACCGACATCAAAACTAAAGGCTTCTACCATTACAAACATACGTGTATTCGTTACTTTAATAGATTTTTGAATTACGTAATTCAATGTTTAATTCTCGGAAAAATATAATTTTTTTATGCGATATGCAGAGAAAGTATGAAATTAGTGCATGGCGCAAGAGCATGCGCATATATTCTGGATTCATTGCATACTATACTAACTACCAATGGAGAAGTCAATTGTGACGTAGAAAGGAAAGGTCGCAGGTTCGCGTCCCGTATTCAGAATTTCGACGAATTTTATATTCTCTCTGCAAATATAATTTTTTCTTATCTAATATTTAATATCTTTCTGTAAATCATGCCGGTTGTAATTACAGTATCATGTCGTTATTTCTACTGTTAGAAATAAACAGTGATAAACCACATGCTCAGTGGATTGTATTCGCTGGTGTAACCTTTCATTTATGCTGAAATGTAAGTAATATTCGAAGTTTTAATGATTACGTGGTTATACAGTGGTAATTATCTGCATTGCGAAAGAAAGTAGTGGTTTAAATATTTTTTTTGCGTTTTTAAAAACTTGTTACATCTGAATGTCGAGTTAACTTATGTGACCGGTTATGACTTTGGTGTAAGTGGCATGGTGTTCGTCTACGTCTTGTTAAACTCACGTTCGATTCCCATTAGGAATATTTCATCTTGATAGAATATTTGATATGCGATTTTCGTGAATTTTGATTTTTTTTTAATATTTAATTGATTCCTTTTTAAATCTTGTATTGTATAAGTTACTTGTTTATTTAATATTTAGTATGTTTATAGGGGATAAATATTTCTTTTCAGAAGAATTTTATATTCACAATGAGTGGTCTGGAGAAACCTGGTCCAAGTATATCTCCAAGTGAAACAGATTCACCAGATAAAACAATATTGAAATTAATGGATCCTAATAAACAGAAGAAAATGTTTATTCTTACACCCACTGTGTTACAAAGTCTTAGACTCAGTGGCCAAATTAAGAGTGGTAATTATTATAATTTAATTTTATATAAGATTGACTACTAAAGTTATTTGTAATAATAATATGATATCATAATTTATGAATTGTATTCCCATTATAGTAAAGGTATCGACTATGGACAGTGATTCCTCGAAAATATCTGTAACGCCCAAGAACGTAAGTGCACAAAAGAGTAACAGACAATCTAAATTAATGTCTAGCACATATTTCTCAAAAAGCAAAAGTTCCAGTATTGAAAAAGAAAGTGTTAGTAATAAGATCCCAAATAAATCAAAGGCTCCTACTGTGATAGCTAATGATCACCAACCAACTAAAAACAAGCAAGATGATGCAACAAAAATGTTACTATTGAATCCAAAGGAATCTAAAACTATTCCAAAACATGAGAGAAAATCATGCAATAAGAAAGTGTCACCCACAGTGTTGCCCAAAGACAAAGAAGATGTATACTCTGAAAAAAAGAGATCAATGAACATCATTGAAAAGAAGAGTAATATCCAAGTTCCAAAGCTATCAAGATCAGGTAGTAAATCCAAAGATTCTCGCACTAAATCCTCGCTTGAAAATGTTAAAAATAATTTTGTCCAGTTACATACAGAGGTACAATCTATTGAAAATAAATTATTGGATGATAATAGCAAAATGGATTCATCGGAAACAATAATGAGAGATAAACGCAATACCAAAGACTGTGCGAATATTACTTCATCGAATACAAAGAAAACGAGAAATAAGAAACAATCTAAAGTCCTTGAAAAAATTAACGAGCTTATTCCAGCCAAGAACAATGTTTCGTCTAACGTCATTACTAAATATCCGACCAGTTCTCCAAGACATATATCACATAACGAGGCTTCAGAGTTACATACCGAGAATTCTGATGATGTTAGTACTAAGCGAAATGACACACAAAATGATTTTGACCTTGTTTCTCCCGAAGTGCATGATAAAAAAGCGTCAAAGAAAGTAATTAAATGTATTAAGTCAGAAACAGCATCTCAAAAGGTTTCAAGTACATTAGAATACAATAAGAAGAATCGTATAGTTCTTTCTAAGAATAAGCGAATGAAATTTATATCAAATACTGCAAAATCAAACAATCCTCATATTCTTATGAGCGAATCGTGTGAAACACTGAATTGTACTCCTGAAAGTACAATTGCTAGCGAAAATCTTCAGAACAATTTACATAACACCGGCGTTAGTTCACCAAATTCTCAAAAAACTAATGCTTCCAGTGAAAGCCATCTTAATAAATCAAAACTAGATGGAACATTATTAAATAATGAGGGGAAATCTGCAAAATCTCCTACTGCAAGTTCTAAAAAGTTTCTTATAAATTATTTAGAAGGACGCAAATCATTGAATGATACTAAATATAAAGAGAAAAAAGAAAAAGAAAGCACACAGAATAAAATTAATTCTGATAGCAGAAGTCAGGTCTGTTCTATTAGGACAACATCAAGTGATACAAATAAGAGAGAGGAATCTGCACAATTGAATATAACACGTGATAGAACTTCTCTGAGATTTAACCAAAGTCCAAATGCAAGTACTTCAATTCAAATTAAAAATACTACGAGCATATGTGAAATGATAGAGGATAAGAAGATGAGTAATGACAGAGAATCAGTGCTTTCTGACAATGATAATAATTCTGTCAAGAATGACAAAATAATGAAGGAACCTTCAGTTCAGAATAAAATACAAAATCCTGTTAGTTCCATTAAAAAACTACGAGGTAAACGTAAACGAGTAGAATCATCAAGGGATACTAATGACTGTTCAATAAATAATGAAGTTCAAGTGAACGTGCCTGTCGATAAACAGTTCTCTGAGAAAAATTCTGAAGATGCACGAAGATCACCTGAAACTGAATCTGTTAGCGAAGATGACAGTGCAGATAAATTAATCATAACGTTTCCACTAATTAAACGACATCGGAACGGTCGTAATGAACTTATTAAAATGAATGAGGAAAATAAAACTGAAATATGTCAGGAAAAAATGATTAATGATATCGACACGAAACCTCCTAATGTGAAAAATAAACCGCCTGTAGATTCTATCAGAGAATACGAATATAAATCTTCTGAAATTAAGAAAGAAGCCTGCCAAGAGATTACTTTACCCGTTCGAAAAGCAAGAGGAAGACCAAAAAAAAAACCTTCTAACACTTCAGATCCTCAAACGACTCATGAGGCTAATATCGTTGAGCAAAATAATTACCAGGAATTAAAGCACGAATTAGATTCAACTTCACCTCAGGAAAATCATAGTCGTCCGAAACGATCTGCAAGAAAAGAATCACATCTAACGGAAGTTAAAGAATTAAGTGATGAAAGTAATAATGAAGAGTCTTTTCATGAAGAAGAAATATCGCCTAAGCGTAGAGGTCGACCTGTAGGTAGGAGGACAAGGGGCAGAGGCCGTGGTCGTCGTGGTAGAGGACGAGGACGAGGACGGCGAGTTGATACAGAATATACCCCCAGGATGCCAGGATCTACTAAAGCCAAGGAACCCAGTAAATCAGAGATAAAGAATGTTCCATCTAACGAAGAAGTTAGTTTTTCTATATTATTTAGGATTTTTTATATCTTACTTTAGAAGTCCTTAATGTCTACAATTACCACCATTGTAGGTTTTAAATGTAAAATGCGTTAAATGCGATGCAGAAGTAATGAAAAAACAATGGACCATGCACAATTTAAAAAAGCACAATAACATGAGCTGGTGTGAAGGAGATGAACCATTGGTGAGCACATACGGAATTTTAAACGTAACAAAAATTATCAAATAATTGCACAGGCACTTTTTAAAAATATATTAATTGTCATTATTCTAGGATTTGGAGAACGACACTAAATTATTACAAAAAATTTTGGTCGATGCTAGAAAATTGAAAAAAGGTATACTTACCTGCGAAATGTGTTCAACGACTAAACGTAGTGTGAATGGTTTTATATCGCATATGCTATTTTGTGGGAAATCGGGGGATGTAAGTACAGAAATAAATTGTTATCGATGAGATGAAACATTTTGAAATACAATTGTTTTATTACAGGAAAGAACAGCTTTACTGGTGACTTGTAAAATTTGTAATCGTACTATGATGCCTTCTTCACTTGAAATACATGAGCGAGCGCATAAAACTAGTGATTCACAATCAAAAGAATTATTAAAAATATCAAATACTGTAAATGTACGCACTAGTGGTAAACGTAAAGCTGCAGAAAAGTAAGTACAATTATGGAACATACAAGATAACAATATATTTGATAAAAACATATTAATTAAAACTGTAATTCTTAATTAACAATAGGGCAATAACTAAAATTTCGGAATTTACTGCACTCGTGAAGGAGGATGATGGTCCAGCAGCAAAGAAAATGCGAGTAATTTCTCCTGCAATTGTAAGTCTTTCATGACATGTTTCATTGTTGTAATTTTATAAATATAAAAAAAAATCATCCGTACAGAAAAATCTCATAAAACAACCAACTGGAAAGAAAATACCTGGAATTTTAAAAACGATATGGAACAAGGAATTGTCTTCGACAGGAGCTGCTGCATGTAAGCATCCTGGTTGCATAGCCACCTTTCCTTCGGTGAATCTTATCAGCGACCATTATCTCAAATGTGAACTTTCACCACCTACTGTAAGTATAGAGTTCATGATAGTCCTAGGATATTATTCGTAGAAGTGACTGACAAGTTTTTGTATTTTGCCTTTGCAGAATTACACATGCAAGATTTGTCAATTTGAAACGGAATGTAAAAATGAAATAGCAAGTCACGTCATGGAAAAACATCCTGATGAAGTTCTCGATTCACAATCGGATTCAGATGCAGGCAAAGAATTAAATGTAAACGAGAGCAGTGACAATTATGATGACGATGACGATGAAGATAATAAAAATGTCTCATTAAATACAAAGCGTGAAATAACCACGAGAAAAATAAGTATGATTTTAAGAATATGATGGCTTCTGAATATATTGAATGAATCTTTTGACTCTAATCACACTGTTTTCATTTTGCAGAACGGACTGGTAATAAAATGGAATTTTTAACCTTGGATGAGACTCGATTTCCAAGTTGGAGTAAGACTTATAGTCCGGCATTTTATTGGACGTTGGAATTGTATGTATTAATAATTATTCTTTGGGAATATAAGTGACAAAAAGTTGATCGCAGTTTTTTTTCTATTGCTAGCGAATTGAAAAATTATCGATTGAATCTCTATGAGACATTTGTCCCAAATAGTTTTACATTACTAAAGAACCAAGAGGCTGCACAGTATTTGCCAAATGTAGAGAAATCTATTGCTGTAAGTTCAATTAAGCCAAAACCAGAAAACCGGTCTAAGGAATCAGATAGAGAACATAATTGGAAGCACTTCAATAGATTCGAAGCAAGTCTTGATACTGGTAAGTTTTTATTGATTTACTGTTTCTATTACTTCATATAATATCATTATATTTTTTACAGGTGTACCTATGTTTTTCGTGGGTGGTCCAATATGGGCCATGGCTTGGTTACCAATACCAACACCGATGTTCGCTGACAATGCAAACCAATATTTAGCTTTGAGTTGTCATCCCTCTATGAAAAGTGAATATACTGTTGGAAAAGCATATAAGGGGAGAAACATAATACAGATATGGAATATAGGCAAATTGGATCATGAGTCAGTATTACTTCTAGCCATTTATAATATAAGATTTATAAATCTTTCAACATTTATTTTGTTACTTTTTAGATCTAAAAATAAAAATTCTCTACCAGCGCTATCATATGCAGTTGCACACGATTATGGTACAGTTTGGTGTATGGAATGGTGTCCATCCGGATGTTATGAGAATGAGAAATTATTCAACTCCAAAGAGAAAAAAAATACATTGAAAAGAATGGGACTACTAGCTACTGCATGTTCCGATGGATGTGTACATATCTATTCTTTGCCCTTTCCAGAGGAGTTAGGATTTGTTCATAACGCAGCAAGCAAGTAAGTGAATTTGATAATTAATTCATTCATCTTCGTCATTTAATTAAATCCAATAACGGAATTATCATTGCGCAATTTTATTTCAGTTTACCCATTTACAAGACTGACCCAGTATTAACGCTAGTTGTGAATAATATTATGTACGAGAATGGAGAACAAAATTGGCAGTGTACTCAATTATGCTGGACCAAAGAACAGGGACACGAGTAAGATTTTTTCTTAACGGAAAATATTAATGACTACTATTTTAATTGTAACAATCCATTTTATTTTTTATTTTAGTACCATTGTTGCTGGTTTCTCAAATGGTTATGTAGCTTTATGGGATCTTTTAATTCTTTCGCCTCTGCTCACAAGAAAACGTGGAACAACATTGTATTTCAATGCTTTCCAGCACTTTTTTGCTCATGCTCATACAGTTATGAGTAAGTAAAATTTGCTCAATATATGTGTGAACATCTGTTGGAAAGACTAAAAATTTGGGCATTGCTAATCAAATGATTTTTTAGTGGTATCATTAGTTCCATATAGTGGCAAACGGTTTCTGGCTACTGGTGGCATGGATGCGTGCTATAAATTCTGGGATTTAGAAAATACCAGCGAACCACAAAATATTGTGAAAAAAGGAATGCTAGTAAGTGGTACTTGGATGACTCATTGGCCAGCAGCGGTAACAAGTTACGATGATGTTTTTGGGTATTTATTTTACATGTTTATTATGACTTACTTTTTATGTATTTTCCTGTTATCCAAAAATTGTATCAACATATCGTTTCAGTCTGAATCACACAAATTCATATCTTATTCCATTACGTGAGCATGGATACAAGATCTTTCCTCTTCTAGTCACCAATTCCACAACTTACGTAAGTATCTAATACAGTTCAATTATAAAGTCTTGACGAGAGTGAAGTAAAAGTATAAAAGTAAGTATATTTAATCACAGAGTATAAGCGTATCCGACCCGGCTAATGCCGTGGCACAAGGAAATCTCGCTGGTGAAGTAGTGACAATTTTTGCTGGTCAATTACTCTATGGTTTAGATATGGAGAAGAAACTTCCAAAAAGAAGAGAGGTAACTATATGATTTTTAAATTATTTTTGTAGTAATAAGAGTATATTCAGAAGAAACCAGAAAAATATTTTATTTTTATGCAATCAGGTATCATCTTTTGTTCAAATAGTCAATTTGAAGAAACCAGAGGAAAATGTAATGAAGCGGAAAAGCAAGAATGAAAAGTATAATTATATGCCTGACACTTACGAGGGATTCAAAAATGATTTTGGAATTATTTTTTGTGAACCAGCTGCGGTTAGTAAATTAGAACGAATGGTTGTAGTGTTATAAAGTTATACTAAAGCACAACTTGGTGTTATATGTCATTTCCATGATACTTAGTATAATTTTAAAAACGTGTAATTTTGCAGAGCGAAAAGAAAATCCGTACGAAAGGTGGAAAAGCACAAGTGTTAATAATAGATAGACTTACGCCTGTGAATGCAGAACAGTATCCCATCGTATCTGTTAATCGAGTAAGTAAATTACTTTGTTCTGTGAATTATCGCCTTTATATCAACACCAGATAGTTATTTTTCTATCCTTCAGCTCACATGGAATCCAAATACCTGGAGTTTCTTATGGCTCGCAACAGGTCATCAGTGTGGCCTAGTAAGAATTCTTGATTTTAAATCAATGAGCCCTATAAAGGGGATCAAGGATTTATTGTCACAACAAGCAAAATCTATGCTTCAAGAAAGTGTAAGAAACAGTGCAGAAGAAACGAGTAATACTCTGGACAATGATACATACGTCAAAATTCCCAGTATGACCAGCAATGGAAGCTAATGACGTAAGATCATAAACGTAGGCTTGAAAAAGTTGATCAACATACACAAATTGAAATTGTATGCTTACATTTTTCCATATATGACGCATATAAATAAACTGTTTTTTAAATTTCTAAGATGAATCATAAATTAATCATCACACTGTGCTTTTCAAATTTACACTAGCAAATCAGGGACAACCGGCTGACATTATTCTTTGGTAAATTATGTATAATATAACTTATAAGACTAGCATATTAATTTATATAAATTATTAACAACAGTCACCTGGTATTCATAAGACCACAGGATGGTGCCTTGCAAATGTCATTTAAACAAGATTAAACAACCGATTCTATATTATGCATAATTCACATTATCTGGATAAATATTTAACATATTTATTTAACCTAAGTAGCTCTGCTTCCATGGAAGGATGATAAAAATGATTATGTATTGTGACAAAGCATTATTTCTAACAACTTAAAATGATGAATGCAAAGTACAATTTGATTGTAGTATAAGAAGAATAATCGCTACTATTATATAAACTTTACACTAGCATGTTATTACATTTATTATTATCAAAATAAATAATTTCCTTTTACACAAACCCATCGTAATATTTATTACTTTAATACTACTTTGATACCTTCAAAAACAAAATCTTCTGTTGGCCATCATTCCAGCGATCGGTCACTCTATTTCCAGCGCGATTCCATGGAACTTACGTTTTAGTCTTTAGCATAAATATTTGCACATATAGAATTCATGCTCATGTATGCGAACCATGAAAATCTGTAGGTAGGTCGAAACTGGTCAGTCTCACCTCAGGACTGCTCAGTCGACATACTTGACTTGATTACCTACGAAAAATGCGAGTGATCGTGAACTTCATCCAAGATCTACAATATCCATTTACATCATTTATAGTGTCAAAATAATTGCAGAAGTTAAAAAACATTCCATTTATCCATAGAATTCCAATTCTTAGATAATCGCCAGTTTTCTTTCTTTCTTCCACCCTTCATTTCAGACGAAGAGGATCAAAAGCACTGGCTCCGATTCCTTGGAAGAGAATAAATAGAAAATTAATATTGGTGCATATCTTTCTCTTCCGTTGTCAAAGAGAATGCGTCGAATACGTTTACGATCTGTTGTAACGCACCCGTCATCTTCAGGGCCGTCTACAAAAGGAGCATTTGGAGCCCGCGAAGAAGGAATCGGAGAGGGTATCGGATTTCATTATCATCATTACTACCAGCACCAGCATTATCAGCATCCACAAAACCATCTAAATGAGAATGGCGTAGAACTTCGCTGGCGGAAGTTATACTATCAGCTGCGCGCTGGAGAAGTTGTGCATAAGCATTCAAAAAGTTTTGTCGAGACTAAATCCGGAAGTGGACCTCAGAGATCAAGTAATAATAAATCCGGTAAGCATGCTATTCGTTAATTTTGAATTTGCGTATCTTATGGATGCACACATATGCTTTTATGACATCACACAGATCCGTTCTGTCGTGTACCATCTGGCTTCTTTCATTCTTTGTAATACTGGTTCCGCTGTAACTTATCGTGTACAATAAATATATGAATGTGGTTATGAGAAATGTATAGTATACTTTATTACTACCGAGATCGGTCTTTGGACATTAATAGGATTATAACAACTTTGAAAACTCTAATGATCTACCAGTAATGTCGGAATATTCGAATGTTCTACCTTGTTTATTTTAATTTCAGTTTTCTTTACGGCATCCGCAGCGGTGCTCAACTGTTCTGTTTTAGACATGGGTTTAAATCCGATGAAATGGAAAACCAGGACGTTGGCCTATGTTTCTCTTGGTCTCTTTGTATTCTATCTGGTTGCGATATACAGGAAGGAACATCACGTTTCATTCGAGATGACCATAAAAAATACTCAGGCAGAAGATGTTTGGGAATTTGTTGCTGATTTTAGCAATATGAAAAAATTAAATCCTACCATGTAAATATCTGGAAAGATATAGATTTATACCATCTTCATTTTACTAATTCTTTTTCTATTATCATTACAGAGAAGACTTTGATATTATTGCTGACACTGGCAATTATGATCATTGGAAATACTCGGCAAGATACACAGAGCGTTTGAGTCATTTTCCTATTATCAAAAACACAGCCCATGGCCATTTTGTTGTAAGACCCGATGAGAAAGGATTTTTGATCAGTTCCGAACATCGTACTTGTTTCTTCTATGGCATTTGTTGCCGTGAGTTAAATTTTATCATATTTAAATGCAGTCTTATCTATTTCAATATATTATGCATACGGGACTGGCATGAAATTTAGATGCTGGTCTATCCGATTTTAATCGTGTTATTTGTCTTTCAGTGAACTCCGTGTCAGAATTTAAATTCATTGACGAGGGAAGAGATACAAAATGTACAGAAACAGTGCAGTACCAATGTCCTATACTGTATTCGACATTATGCTACAAGGAAGTGATGTATCAGCGAGAAGAAATCATGAAAAACTTAAAATCACATTTTGCACTGACAAATGTGCATAATGAAAGTGATAAATAATATACTTTAAACGGACACTAAAACCAAAATCTTAATCCTTACGTTGCATTTATATTATACTCATATGAGAGTAGTGATATTAATATCTTACCGTTTTATAAGTTTAGAATATATTCTGTAATTGAGCTACGGTTCCAATGTTGAAAAAACCAGTCGATGTAATTGACTTTAATAACCGTATCCGTGGTTCAATTATAGAATATTCCTTTAATATAATCTATGATAAACTTTGTTAGTATGGTATCTAATATGTATACTCTGTGCAAATGTGAATGTGAATATTTTATCACAGTCTTGATATTTCACTAATAAATAATGATCCAAAGGTTTACCAAGTGACATGTATAAATTTTTGTATTTCTTCTGTTTTTGTATATTTTAAAAACAGAATTCGCGCTATTACGGTGTTACCACCATTCAAGAATAATATCACGGAGTAGAAAGAGACCGACAATCCAATTGGCGGCTGCAGAAACAAGAAAGAAGAACAGTAAGAGAAGTGTTACAAGAAGCTTTTGTATTTTTATTCCTACGTCTTGAAAGACATTGTTTATAGTATTTTATTGATATTCTATATATTTATACCTTAACCGAAACATGTCCAACAAATTCGACGCGTAAGTGACATAAGTGCATATGCCAAATTGCCATGTCTCTTTTTTTTATTTACATTCCCATATGTGACTCAAAGGTTATGTCCTGCATGTTTTTACTGTATAACTAAAGTTAATTTTGAAATAAATTTACGAGAATTTGCAGGACTATGTTTTTTATATATTTCAAAAGATCATCAGTCCAATAAGTACTATTCTCATACAAGTTTCCTGTTGTATATTTGCCAGTAACATACATGAATCTATGTCCATTTTTTTTACTACATTAAGCACGTTTTATAAATGGAAATTATTATTACAATGATAACACCAATTACTTTGTAATGTTAATAACATCATTTTATAATACATGAATTTCTTTTGGCTGCGTAACGTTTTTGGAACACAGCTACTTACCTTGCATCCATTTTTTGTATTAGAACTTGCTAAATTGATTTGTTACATATGCATTGTTCTATGGTTGTCTCTAAATTTCTCTTATGTTTGTTTATACATTGCATGAAATTTCTGTACTAATGCGTGTTATCTCTCTGTCATTCATTAATTTCTTTTAGGGCTTACAGGTTGAAGACCAGCGATGATAGTGGAGACGATGATTCTCAGTCAAGAGAGACTCAGAAAACTGACAAAGATATGGTATGGAAAACATAATTTGTTAATTGATATGATATATATGAGATGGTCTTACTAATGAATTGCAATTATTTTTAGCCTGTTATAGAAATAAATCCGAACGAGCACAAGTTACAGTATGCATATGCATTGTGGTACAGTAGGCGCAGTCCAGGTAAACAAACTAACATACAAAGTTACGACCAGAATTTAAAACTGGTTGGTAGGTTTGCAAGTGTAGAACAATTTTGGGGCTTGTACAGTCATTTAGTAAGGCCTTCAGACCTTACAACACATACAGATTTTCACCTCTTTAAAGTTGGCATCAAACCCATGTGGGAGGTTAGTGAATATAAAAAATTGATTCATTTAAAAGTATACCTAATTGCGACAATTGAATGTTAATTTAGGATGAAGCAAATCAACGGGGTGGAAAGTGGATTGTTAGGTTAAGAAAAGGTTTGGTGGCAAGGTGTTGGGAGAACCTTGTTCTAGCAATGTTAGGTGAACAGTTTATGGTCGGAGAGGAAATATGTGGTGCTGTAGTATCTATAAGATTTCAGGTATGTATTTATGCTTATAACATTCATCCTGTAAAAAGATCCTGTAGGATTTACGTTTCTTTGATGTGTAGGAAGATATAATTTGTGTATGGAATAAAACTGCATCAGATGTTGCGACGACAGCACGAATCAGAGACACATTAAGACGAGTATTGCATCTTCCAGCCAGCGCCTCCATGGAGTACAAGACTCACAACGAAAGCCTAAAGTAATATATTTTCCCATAAATTTCGATGATACTACGTTAATCATAACATGACCATTAACATTCCCTACGACTGAATTGCAGGTACCTTAATATGATACCGCAACATCAACATCATTGACTGAAAATAACTTGACTCACCAACTATTGAGTTAATTTGCTGACAAGGCAGCACAGAGAAAACAACAAATACCCAATGGTTAATTACGCTCCAAAACAGATCACAATCGGTGTAATCGGAAAGCAACGGGCTGCAATTTGAATTATATAATTATCAATTGATAACACCTCTCTTGCCGTTACTTTCAAAACTTTTCATTCGGTTCATGTTCATATAATAATTATATTAATAATAGAGTTCGAAATGCATTGCTAAAGCGATAAAATCGATGGAACAATAAGGCATCTTCACTTTTCCTAAGAGATTTAGGGGGTTGGATGTTATCTGTTGTGTTTTTTCTTTCTCGATGTACGAATTGTTGTGAATGAACAGAATGAAGTTATGAAATATGTACATTTTCCCAAAATTTTCATTAAATCAAAATATACAAAAGTTATAAAATATGACTTTATTCAAAGCTCTATATGTATATTCATCCACAGCCCGGTGGTACCTTTGGGAAGCTTTGTCATTCCTAGAACACAGGCAGACCGAGCAATGAAAATAGTTTGTCTATTATTTGTTTGGACTTGTGTCAATTGTCACCGATTATACACAGAGTCATTTAATTATTGAGTTTTCTATACCTGTGTGACATGTCCTATGAAATATTGCAGTATCAGTTACTTCAAAATGCAACAAATCCCAAAAGTAAGATTCCTGTCCTATACGCGTCAAAGTAACAAGAAGTCCATTGAATGGAAGTATTTTAAATCCGAATGTTTTGTAAATAACAAAATTACTTGTTAATAATAACAATACAGCTAAACGTGATAAAACCTTTCCAGTGTTTTTATTTCACTATGCTAGATGCTACATGTTTCTAAAACTTCAGTAGTTTCATTACTTTAATATATGGCAGTATAAATATTTATTACACAATAAATAATACATATACACATAAAATAGGCCGTACCAAAAGATGGGTGGGATTCACTTAAATACCAGCTGCATAATTTGTCATGTAAGTATCAAGGTGAACCATTAACGTCAGAGAAAATGACTAAAAATTTCCTAACTGAGAAATTATATTTCTTAACTAACAGATTTGACTAACAATTTCTTAGGCACAACTGCTACGTACGGTATTGAAGCAAGAACTCTAGAGTTACATCATTTATAGACTTCATTCAGACAAGAGTTAAAAATCGTATTTGATACGATAACTTATTAATATTATGATATGAAAAGGTAGCCTTTCATTTATTAACTATAAAACAAAGAATCTCAGTGGTTCGAAAACTTTAATCGCTGCATTTGCACAGCTGTGCCCAATATAATGAAAATTAAATCTTTTACTTTCACTACTATTTTATCTCAAATTTCACGTGGGAAGACACCCATCTGTTCACACACAAGATCATAATGTTTTAACATTTTACATTGGAAATATGACTTGTCGTTATTAATAACGATATAAATTATCTACGAGAAATGTCGTTTCATCGTGATACATGTCCATGAATAATTTAATCTATGACAATTATTTTTTAAATTCTCAAGTGAGCTATTACCAATCCCACATAACTAATATTAAGATTATCATGGAAGTTTTTTTTTCTTTTGTCGAAAATATAAAAAAGATTTTTCAGCACTACTTACAAACCGTATAGAATTTACAATTATAGGATGTGTAGATACTCCATTGTATGTAAATCATGCGATATCGAATAACACTAATATGAGTAAGGTACCAGAGTCTTTACTTTGATACTACAAATAAATAAATTGTGTCATCCTTGATCGTGTTGCCAGATACTTAATGTTTACAGACTAGTGTCAGGTATACTTGATAACAAAAGAAAGACGGAATTTAAAAAGGAAAGTAAAATGACCTTACATTAATTGTGCATTCCTTTCATGGTTTTAATTGAGTGTAGAAAACTTGTCTCCTGATGCACCATAAATTCACAACCTTAAGACAATGATTGTAACCATACCTGTAATCAAGAGTAAAATGATATTACCCTAATCATAAATAACAGCATGTGACACTTATTCTGATACCCACCTAAGACGAAGGAAAATATAAGTTTGAAGTTTATGGAAAGATGCAGGTAATCTGGTACTCTGTGATTGCGCTCTCCTTCAGTAGGCAAAAGTAGAGCAACTATACAAATGATACCTGCTATAAGAGCTACGTAATTTGTTCCTTCTGAAACGTGGGAGACAATTGTAATTAAAGTTAATGACAAATTCATTGTAAACAATATTTGACGATCTTTTCTAATAGAATATTATGAGGCAAAATAAAGTATAGAAGAGGGTACGTGATCAATGGCAGAATTTGATGAAACGATACAATAAATACGGTAGTTTTCACGATGAATAACTGATAACGTTTCATTGCGTTTTGAAATATTTTCTATGTAGGTTGATAAATTAAGCCCAAATACTAACTTATTAACCTTTGTCCACAATAATGTATTGGGCATCTTGGGAGTTTGAGTGGAGTAACATATGTACGCTTTTTTTTCGCATGGGTCCTTTAAACAAATGGTATTGTACGTTGGGCGCGTTTAGAAATATCTTGGACGTGGGTTCTGTAATAGCCAATAAAAGCATTGTGCTATCAGTGATCCCTAAATGAAAAATGATAACCGCTAGCCCTCGACTATTGAACGATTCTGTTTTTTTCATAAGATACTCACTATCGACTGCCCTATTTTGAGCTAAGAGTGTGTACGACTGTTGTTGTCTGTTTTCATTAGTCGGAAGTTGTTGAAACATTTCATGGTCTGGTGTTGCTCTTCCTGTAGTTTCACTAGTTCCGTTAAGTAGCCTTGCTTCGACATCTCTTTTACCCATGACCTTTAGATTATTATGCAATTGTTTTAAAAATTAAATAAAATATTAAATATTCCTTATTAATCCTTCTTACCTGTTTTGATGGGTGTTCTTGCATTTGTATCCTGAACTTGTCTGTTGCATTGCAATTTGCTATTAAAAGTGCAGTATGTCTTACTACTATATCTACACAACATCTTGCTTTTATTGTACCCTCTGGGTCTACAACTTTGTATTTGTTTGGAGCAGTACATAGCACTGAAATTAATATTGTAAAGTTTAGTACTTTATTTTCTAGTATTCTATTATTGTATATAACAATAAAAGATGTTAATGTTTTATATCACCTTTAAATTTAACTGGAAAATCATATGGATTATATAGGGTTAAAACTTGTTTGTGTGTTGACTGGTCATCCAAATAAAATGTAATGCTCTGTGGGAAGACAAATACTGGTAATTTGCGAGGAGTTGTTGTCAACTGTGGTTGCATTATTCTTAGTTTGCAAAATACAGTCCATGTACCTGAAAATATTGAATTATTTATTATTTTCGATATGGCCACGAGCTCTCATAGTTATGAGCCAGCACAAATGTTAATTAATAAATGCGAGTTGATCGCAGGTTATAGTATTTAATTGAAGAATCCTATTATTTTGCATTCTCGAAGAAGAAAAGTAATATTAAAATTAATGAGATTATTCTACAGAGATCATTGAAATCTCTAGATTTAATTAGTGCACTTCGATGAACATTCAATATAGATAATATAAAAAACTACCAACAAAATGAACATGTATGATTGATGCTTAATTTAAAAAAAATAATTGTTCACGTACCTGATGCTTTAATTTAACTACACCAAAATAAAATTTTCAAGCAGTTGTCTACGTCAATACTGATTTTAGTGCCTAAATTATTTCAAAATAAATAAAAATATGCGTGAATAATGACGTTTATTTTGCGAGTAACTTTTTTTACGAGTCGCAGCTGGTCGCAGCGTTGCCGTCAGTGCGATGTATGTTAGAGCTGCCAATTTTCGATCTAATTTCAAAAAAACTCCCTAGTTCATTTCTTCTGAAACGCATATTTTTATATTTATTTAAAATGTGATAATTACGATACTTAATGTTTTTATCTTTTTGATGAATCATAAAGGTTGAGCATTCATGTAAACCATACAATAATTTATTAATGTATAATGTTTAAGAATGCACAAAAGTATGTACATTTAAAAACTCTAATGAATATAATTACAATTCAAATATACCTTCCCTAAGTATAAGCATATTATCATCAATATAGTCAATTTAAGATTAAAAAATTTGCATCAATTACTCCAAATAAATAACATACAGCAAAACATCATCTTTGTAGTGCAGATATTACAATGACGGTCATGTAAATAAAATATAATATGAAATTCATTGTTTAATATCTGTACAAACTATGAAGTATTAGGTCTGTTTCCCTCATTACCTACACTGTACAAGTTTCAAAAAGTGCAAACTCTTATTGGATGATATTTTTAAGTAACGAATGAGAATTTGCACTTTTTGAAAAGTATAGAAAGTGTAGGTAATAAGAACAGACCCACTGATGCAAAAATTCATGGCTATATTGATAAATGTAAATCACAATCCTCCTATGAGTCTAGTTAATCATTATCATATCTATGCTTCACAGTGTCATATTATTCATTAATAATCAAAAGATAAAATAAAAGAGAAATTAATTATATATTAATAATACATTTGTTTCTCCATACCAGATTTAATGCGCAAGTTAAATAAAAGGACTTGGATACCACTGGTCAAATAATGTTAAGTTTAGAATTGAAAGCTCTTGTTATGACTATCAATTGATCTTTAGATCAGTATTATATTTGAAGAACAATATGATGTTACGGGATGACCATAGTTTATACTCAAAAAGAAACCTATGCTAAACAACATAACTCACAGCCATTGGTATATGAAATTATTTAAATATTTATTCTTTAACATTAAACATTCTCATGATCCTGGATCCCATCGAAAAATCTTTCCAAATCAGAATCTTTAGGTATTCTCCTAGAATTCAGAAAGACAATATCACATTATCATCTTATCCAATTACGTATGAGCATTTAAAAGATAAAGTGTACATAAGCATTGATATTAAACAAGCTTCAAGAAATTGTATCAATTAAAAAATACACTGTCACTTCTTTGAAAATTAATGTGGAAATTAGTCAAAAATAGAAAATTCATTACTAAAGCAGAAAAAAACAAAATTCAAGTTTTGACTTATGACAAGTATCTACTCGTTTCATAATTTATCCTGTAACGTAATATAATAGTGTTATTAAATAACTGAGATGCAGAAATACAATGTTGAAACACGCATTCCTCACTGATTATGACACTGATGAATTAGTGTGACCAAAAAACGGTATTTGCGAAAACTTGTATATCGCATTAGAAAGTGAATATTGTTGGTTACGCATTAACAATAGATAATGTATTGATTGACCTATACTTGGCCTTAACATTCTTTTGTCTTCTCCTTATAAGGATCATAGAAACCAGACCAGCAATAGCAGTGATAGTTATTAAAATCCCGATTCCTGTAACTAAAAAATTATATTTATGATTTCAACAGTATGTTAATCTTCAATCGTGTCATTTATGCAAACTACCTAATTAATGTAATTCTAACTACTATCAATAATTTTCTTTTGATCTTACTCATTACTACTGATGATGAAGCACCGTCTTTATTATTAGCATATTTTGTCAAACATTTTGTCAATTTACCCAGCGTACCATTGTTACGTGGACAGTTTAATTCAAGAATTTCACAAAACAATGGAACTAAATCGACATTATCAAACGGTTCAAGTTTGCATCGAGGTACAAATGCAGGTCCCATTGCAAAAAACATGGGATGCATTTCCTCATCTTCGTTATCATAGCCATGCATGCCAAATTCACTTGCATTAGTAGCTGAAAAAAGATATCAAAAATACAATTCGCATACTAATGATGTTGTGATTTTTGCACATATTGAAGGAATGTTTACCTATAAAGTTGAACTTATCTTCGTAAAACGGAATTGCATTATATAATTTCTCGAATGCATAACCTACGTCAGCTATAACAAATAAAGGTCCTATTCGTGTGTTATTTCCATAATGATATTTCTTAGGTATTTCTTCCTTTTTGTATACTCTAAAGTGCGGAATATCATGTACCGCTTGCAACAAACCCCGATAAACGGAATCGTACTTTCCTGCAAAATGCCAATTGTATCATGGATTATTGAATAACAGTAACAATAGTCTCTTCAAAACTTAGGAATAGAATAATTACCAGGATTAGGAAATATCTGCATCCCAGATGCTGTGCCTGCCATCTTAAAGTCACTATAGTTGACGTAGTTTGTCAAGTTAATAATTCTATCCATAGCAACATTTGCCATTCCATGATCACTTAAATGAATTACATTAACATCATTCAAATGATACTCATCCAATTTTCTATGAATATATCTTGTAAGGTTATCCAATTTTTCAAGAACATTATTGAAAACTGGTCCATTTATTCCTATCGCATGTCCCGTTGCGTCAGGCTCTTCTATGTACAAAACTCCAAAATTTATTGGAGTATTTGGATGCTTGAACCAAGATAATAATGTATCCACTCTATTTTCGAATGGAATAGTTTCATTGAATACCTATATAGGCAAAATTTTATACAACATTACATATTAAAACGTTTTAACTTTAAAATTATTACCATGGAATAGTATTACCTGAGCATATTTAGGTGTTGTGTTTTGATATTCAAATGCGCTACCTGGCCACATCATTGTCCCACTATGCCTCCCTTTTGCAGCCTTTTCGTTAATTGTCTATGGGATCCAAATAAAATAAATTAAAGTCAGTATAGAAAGGACTTTTACCAACTCCACTTTTTTTAACATACCCAAATAGGTAATAAATTTTTATTGTAGTGAAATAATTCATATGAATATGGTATAACATTCCCATCATCAGGATCATATGCTTCATTATCTGTGACACCATGAGTTTCAGCATACAACCCTGTAGCCATGGTATGATGGTTAGGAAACGTTTTAGTAATAAAAATATTCATCATGTAATCTGCGTATGCACTTTCATTCCTCAACTTGTTCATAAACGGTGTGACATTCTTGTTAAAATAGTCATATCTGTAAAAAATATATAAGAATTATATAAATAATAATACAATCATACGACCAAGTCTCAATAACCATAAATTTCATATTCTTCCATAATACGTCTAACGACGTGAAAAATCATCGACCAATTAAATAAATATAAATAAATGAATTATATATGCTGTAAAAATGTTTGCCATACCTAAATGCATCATATGATATTACTAAGAGTTTTGGATGTTGCGAAAGTATTAGCACGACCTTCGAATTAAAAATGATAAGCGCGATGCCAAGAATCCGGACTATGACATCCATAATTAATTTATTTTTTTAAATTAGCCTAGTTAATAAACGAACAACTTCCACGATTCGAACTGCACCCTGATCCGCATGTGACAATGAATGTCATATTAGAAAGTCGTACAAGAGTATCATCGGTGAGCGAATCACTATCACGAGACCCGACCGTCAATTTGCACCGCCAAGACGATACTAGAAGATACTAGCGAACCTTAGGAATAATCGGAGACATTACCAGACGTATTTCCTTTCTTTCTGCGCAGGAACCAATGACGTCAACAGAGAGTTTTCAAAGTGACATATTTGACCATAGTTGAAATACGCAATCGACCCTTAGATAACGATACCGTAGTGAAGTACGTTCCCTTTATTTAATTTAACAAGATAGTTTAGTATAAAAGAATTGGGACTATTATAATTCCTTTAAAAAATATGAAATTTCAGCATGTTATGACTGTGAACAAATTATTACTAAAGAAGAACAGTATTGTTAGATTTTTTTTCTATGACAAGTAGTGATGGCGGAATCAGTTAGAATAATTAGAGATAATAATACGTACGAAAAATTGCGAATAAATTTATTAATCATAATAGCCCTTGTATCTTCAGACTTCTTTTAAAGGGGGGTCCAGATTAAAAAAATACTTTCAAGATTTCTTTTAATTTTCTGTTCTCCTAGTTTTGAATATATAATGCCTGTCTTATGTTACACACTCCAAAAAACTCCATCTATATATACAGAATCCACTCATACATTGATTCACAATCAGTAATGCGATGTTCACATATTAGGTCACTCACCTATCAAGGCCCACTTGTGTGGGCTATATGGACTAATGTGGCCTATAGTATTTTTTACAAGACCCTTTCATACAATCGCATTACGAGGATTTACATGTTTGATTTCTGTTTGTAAAAATGTGAACGATCCAAATACAACTTGATACTATATATGCATACAATACAAATATATTAAAGAATTTGACGTCCTGAGAATCTCTTTTCCACATGGCAATGCAAATTGCACAACGTACAAGTTCCACGGTACCGGCATACTTGTGATTATCAAACATCAAACCAATAGTTGTCAGTGCAAATATATTATTTATTATTAAAGTCCCGGCATGGATGCTGCTCGAGTACTGGAAAAAAAAAATTATACAATGAAACATTGTACATAAGAAATTATAAGCCATTGTTTTCAGCTGTACTTACTGGTTTCTCGTCATATAATTGTATATGACAGTAAAATACCATACAGAAATGTATAAAAATGTATATCGTTTTCCAAGATGGGATTTTAGGGTTATATTTGGTCCTGTGTGTCACCTACAACAGTGGAATAGAAAAGGTAACCGTTTAGTAGGCAATTGAATTCCCGTTACTGATAAAATCAGTTCAATTAAATGCATTTTAAAGACCCCCCATAAAGTAGAACCAGTTGGCTTATTTAATCCCATGATATATACACTAAGAACAACTAACCACTCATTACGTATGCTCATATGTATGATTCCCGTATATCAATTGCGTAAATACATAAGTATAATTACAGGGGCGTATTGGAGTCTGATTTACAGCGTGCATTTTTTGCCTTCAAGAATACGTTAAATGACATCATTAATAATTGGATGGTAATATTATAAATGATTTTCTAATAAATATCCAGATACAATGACCAATTAAGGTACTCAGGGTTGTGGAAATTTGGAAAAATTCAAATCCAGTATCCTTAACTCATCATCGATCGAAATCAACAGTATACAAATATTCTGAAGGCCTTACGTTTATTTTAAATTCGTCGAGACCAAGTCGTGGGGCACTCGGGAACCAGCTGGGTCCTTTCCAGATCACAGCCAGCTTGTCGTTCAACGACTTCATACTGAGGCTTCTTTGGATCATTGCTATAGTGTAAAATGTCTGTAATGAGAAGCAATCCCACTCGTAAAGTCAGTTTTATCGATAAACAATATAATAATTATTTGAAAAAGTTACTGATCTACTTTATCTATTGCACCTTAATGACAGTAATTATTAACAACTTAGCAATGTTTGTAATGGTTACGTATAGTTGATTATACAATCTGTTTATATATATATGTATCCTAAACCCTAGAAAATCAACAATCGAATATGTTCTTCAAGTATAATATTAGCGCCACGGGACGTTAATTTGCAAGGTCTATTTACATACATTTTTTAACCCATTTTCGGTTTGATAATCATCAAAGGATAGCGCACATAACGTATTTACGTAAATAACGAATACATTTACATAAAGGATAGTCATTTTATATAACGGAATAATTACACCTTGGCTAGTGAGTCGTTGCACGTGGAAAACTGTTTGTCGTAGGGTTACAGTTATCTTGAGCATTACAACATGACATTTAAAATTATTTCTTATATTAATTTTAAATGATAAAATATATAGGACACTCAAATATACCAACTCACCTGTAGATAAATAGGATTGAACGAATTTGGACTGGAAACCAATCCAAATATAATATCTTCTTTAGGCCTCTCCTCCATAAAAGTCCCAAACAATCTATCCCAGACAATAAGAACACCTCCATAATTCTTGTCCAAACAATACAAATTACAACCTACGTAAAAAAGTACATTATAATAATCTTTATGAGAATAAAAAGGCTAATGCTATATTCATGGCTTACCATGGTGAACTCGATGATGTTTTGGCGTATTAAAAATAAATTCAAATGGTCCAAGATCTTTGATAACCGTCGTGTGTATCCATAATTGATAAATCAAATTAAATTGATGATGTGCCACAAAATGGGAGGGCGGTATGAACAATGCCAGCGGTAAGTAAAAGGCCTGTATATAACGAATTCTGTCAAATTACTGTTATCATTTTTTAAAAATTTAAATAAATAACGTACATCGGTGTTACGTGCGATACAAGTAACACGAGTATAACTTACAAAGCTGAGCCAGTGTTGCAAGACGGACTGCCGCAAGCCAACCACAAGATTGAATTCCTCGCTGCTGTGATGTACTTGATGCTGAGCCCACAAGAAATGCACCTCTGTAAACGATTGTAAAGGTTTAATTGGTAAAAAATGAGTATACATGTGGTCGCAGTAAATAACCATGGTTCGCACGATGCACCCAGTAGTAACAGAAGTCCACCCCAATCACGGTAACGTACCACGTCCAAGGGGAATCCCATGCTAGGCTGCATAAGCGATACTTCTCGTAAATCGCAATATATGCGTAGTACTCGACGCCACGGAAAAATATGCTGAAATTGCATGGATAAATGTAATTATTATTTTTGTTTCGCTCCCCAAAAATTTCTTGAGATTACATTATGACAGTTTCTTTGTTTAATTTTGTCGTTTTTCTTTTCAAATTATGAAATATTAATTTTATCTTGTGCACATTAATATATATTTATATCGTACCAGTTTACAAAAGCGTTTAGCTCTGGGGTGCTTACCGGCCAGATTCCTGAAAGATCCAGTGCGAGAGTGACGTTACGTGGTCGTTGAGGCGAAATGAGCTTTCATTCTTTGCAAATAGTATAACGTGTTCCAGGACGATCAGGATGAAAAATGACAACCAGACCTAAGTGTATTTTATTGCTGATCAATCGCCGTGAAAATATGACATTTTCATGGTTGCTCACAAAATAATGACGTCAATGGGTAAGTTTGAAACAATAATAATAAAGGTTTAATACAGTCGTATTATATTGAATGCTACACTAGCACGCAGTGCTAATTGAGCTATCAGTAATTTAACGTATAGATAATATATAATCTAATTTCTTATTAACCGATCTATGAAATTTTCGAGCAAATAATAGAATCTATTCAGTATATATAATTCGATAAAAAATGTCGACGGGACAAAAATCCGTGACACAAATACGTATCGATTGATGTCAATCACGTAACTGTACGTAATCATCGAAAGAAAATATGTTGATGATGTATTTGAATCGATATAAGAAATGCCGCGCCATTGTAAATTTTGTAGAATCAAATTGTCTCGCGTACAAAAAATTGATTTTGGCGCGAAAAAGAAGCCGTATCCCGTACGACGTATTTGAAATACGAAATATGTACGTTAATTCAGGTATCTATATGCATTACTGATAAAAATTGTGTACTAAGTAATATCATTCCCGACGAGCAAAGAAAGTGTAAGCAAGTGACGGTTTACCTGCTGCTGATAATCAGGCACGTCTTGATGATGTTCGAATGTGGTTTCGTACGGATTAATGAGGTACCATAGTTTCCCAGCATCTTTGAGATGCCCGAGATAATGATATAAATTCTTGTTGTAAGTCTCATTCATAACTGAAACACTATTAGTCGGTTAGCACGCTCGCTCTGACCAGTCGATCCAGATCGTTCTGACTGGGCGACGCACGGGAAGCAGCTTAATAAAAGCTGGTAAACTGCATCGACGGCATTCGACGCTACTTTAGCCGCTGAACTGCATGCATGCATCGTTATATAAGCTCTAGTGACCCAAGAACAACTACTAGTAGCATACGCTCGCAAGTCGAGTAACGTGCGAGCCTATACCACTAGATACTACATATGGTGTACCGTTCTGGCATACAGCAGCAGTTTGCTAGCGATCAGCATTAGAGATTTCATAACGCGAATCGATTAAGCATTATAGGAAGGTATAAATGATGCCATTATACATAGGTAAGGCATCCCTGAGACTAACAGTATCCAAGTACATAGACTTTACATAGGCTCTGTCATATTCAAAATTTAAAGTGAGGTTAAGTTCTGATATCATTTATACAATTCAAGGATATTTCTAATAGGATACCGTTACGCTGACAATATTTAAATGCAAACCATTATGCAGACTGACAATTGCTTTATGGCTCTTAATTTTTGAAAAGATTATGATGTATTTTAGAAGATGATAAGCACCGCTCATGGTTGCAAGAAAGGACAGAAGTTTCTACCACCTCTTTATCGTTACATGAGAGACCAGAAGGTGTTTGCATGTATTCAGGTCAATGAGAAACCGCAATCTTATTTACAACTGTTCGTGATAATGAATTGGTCTTCGTGTTCATCTTGTATAAGTTGGGATAGACGTCGGTAACTTCTATCGGTGGCGTCTTTCTGATTGCTGAGATGATTTGAAAGGTGTTCAAGAACAAATATACATATAATCTAATATACGGAAAGAAACGAATATTTAACAAATATTTTGTCCCTCATTAAATATAGGCATACCTTTATGGAGTTGAGAATATCTGAATACTGATGTCAAGTTGTTTAAGTATCACTGAATAAAATATTATAGTTTATTGGTCAATGGTAAATATCAATTTATTTATTGTACAGAGCACCTTTAGTTTTTAATCGGAAACACGGTTCTACATTGACTGCGATTAAAAGTTTTCTCTGGGACGGGCGTCTATTTATTGTTCACTGATAAGATAAAAGGTAAATAAGACGGTAATGAAAAAAGTAAGTATTGTTGATACAAATGATACGTTTTTGACAACGATTTATAACTCAATAATTCTTGCGGGTGTAATGTGCGATGTTTGTGCTTCTTGGCTATGTTTCCCTCGAAGCCAAGTTGAGAGATGATATATATATGTATTTTATAGGTACAATTAGTAAACTATAGATATGCATTCAATGTATTTTAATTTTCGTTCGACTCCTATTCAAATATAGCGATATTATTTTATTTATATGTTAGTATTATGGACACTTGTGATGCACGATATTTTTTATGAGAGAGATGACTGGCAATGGGTATCACTTTGATAAGGACTCTTTTGTATAACTGTTTACGGCTCACATTCATTTCGGCTGGCTAAAAAAGATTCTACGTGAGTATCACGTTAAGTAGTAGAACCGCCTAAATGTTAGCGCCAATCGCAACAATCATTATTTTAATTTTATTCTGTCGGTAAAGTAAAACATTTTTCTAGTTGACCGACAAGACTGTTTACACGTGGTCGTGAGCGCACTTCGATATACCGCATTAGAATATTTTTTACAATTTTTTGAATAATATTGTTTATCTGTGGGATACTGTGAGACTGTTTAGTTAAAGTAAGTAACTTGAATAATTTTCTTTACGTGAGACTTCTTAAACATGTAATAAAGATAGATAAAGCATTTTGTAAGGTTATGGCAAGCATGTTTTACTGATGTAAAAATAATTTTTATATCTGTTAATTATTTAGGGATTTTAAGTAATTATGAAGATAAAAAAAGGAAAAGCAATCAAGAGTGCTCGAAGGACAATAAAGAAAGTTGTCGCAAAAAAGAAAAAGAGTTTGAGCACTGTCAGTACAAATCAATTCTTTGAACAGGACTTTGAAAATGATGTAGATAGTAGTGATAATGATGATGAAAATATTCAGCCAGGTGAGATATTTCAAGCATAACTAATTTGAGGAATGAAGGCTTAGTACAGTATTTTTAAATTGATGATTTTCAATAGGAAACGCTAACAATGCAAGTAAAAATTCTGACAGTGAAGAGAGCGACATGGATCTTACAGATCATAAAAAATCTCTAATGAAATTGAAAGATACTGATCCAGAATTTTATTCTTATTTAAAACAGAATGATAAGAAATTGTTAGACTTTAATGTATCAGACGATGAGGATGATGACGATGATAAATCTTCTGTTAATGATGCAGATATGAAACATGTTCCAGATGAAAATTTAGAGGTATATTGTAAGATTTCATTTTTTATTCAAGATAAATGTAACAGTCACGTTTTGATTTTAAATTAAAAAGATTGCTAGTGACGAGAGTGACTATGAGCCTGAGAAAGACGATGCAGGAGATACTGATGGTCAAACAAAAGTCACACTACAGTTACTTAAAAAATGGCAAGAGGAGATTACGAGTGATAAGTAATGTTCTTTTGATACTAAAAATTAATTTATATTCTATTCCTTTGTTTATACGTATATAATTTTAGAACGTCTAACACTTTAAAATGCATTATGGAAGCTTTTCATGCAGCATTATTAACAATAGAGGAACCTGTTCAACCTGAAATGTTACCATACAAAGTAGATGGAAGCGCAGGTATAATATCTTTATATGTATGACGATAAGTAAAAATATCTTAAAAATGATATAATTGTCTCATTTTAGTATTCAATGGCGTCATTCAGTTATGCGTTCTTCACCTACCTACTGCGTTAAAGCGATTCTTGAAAATAGGAGCTCAATCACGATTCGAAGCACACAAAGCAAAAAGATTCATAAAAGTAAAAGGCGTATTAAAATCTTATCTCACAGATTTGATCAAAGTACGTATTTTTATAAACCCATATATTGTCACAAACGATGAATAAACCTAATAATAATTAATGCATTTCTTTTTTTTAAACTAGGTTTTGCAAAATGTAACATCTTCAAGTATCTTAACTGTCTTACTTAAACATCTTCATCAGATGTTACCTTATACTCAATCGTTCTCAACATTGAGTAAGCCATTGTTAAGAATTCTATTAAAATTATGGTCGACAGGTGAAGAAACTGTCCGGGTTGTTGCATTTTTAAGTATTTTACGGTTCGCAACTGGTAATAAAGATTCGACGCTTGAAACGCTTCTAAAGGTATGATCAAGATCTGCTACTTCATTTATCGAAATTCGTCTTAAACTTTGCTAATACTAATTCATCCTATTTTTAGAACATGTATGTTAAATACGTAGAAAATTCAAAATTCGTCTCACCAACAACATTGCCAGGGATCAATTTTATGAGACATTCATTGGTAGAAATATATTTGCTTGACAACAACCTCTCGTATAATCATGCCTTCCTATATATTCGACAACTTGCTATACACTTAAGGAATGCAATGACTTTGAAAAAGAAGGTGAGTTCTTTTTCAAAATTACCCTTTTGATGAATATCCAACAGTGATGATCTAGTGTTATGTGTATATATATTACAGGAAAATTTTCAAGCAGTGTATAACTGGCAATACATAAACTCATTGCGATTTTGGGCTGAACTGATAACATTATCAAAAAACCAATCTATGCTGCGTTCCCTCCTGTACCCATTAGTGCAGGTAATAATATCAGTATACCAAAAATGAGAACATTTTAACTGTATCTACTTTGAAACCTTATTTTTCATGCAGATTATTACTGGTACGATAAAAATGATACCAACGGCTCAATATTATCCTTTGCGGTTTCATTGTGTCCAAATGTTAATAAATATTTCAAAGCACACGGATACCTTTGTCCCAATATTGCCGTTCGTTTTGGAGGTAAGTAAAGTTATGTCAGATTAATAAAAAAAAAAAAATTAATTTCAATCTTCATAATCACCTGTCTACAGATTTTAAATTCATACGACTTCAACAAGAGGCATAAGTCCGTCACAATGAAACCACTGTCACTGATGTGTTTGCTGAGAATGTCAAAAGCTCAGCTCCAGGAAAATGGTTTCAAAGATAGTGTCATTGAGACAGTTTATCAATTAATATTGGAAAATGCATCGAAGGACAGTCACACGATATATTTTCCAGATCTTTATATCCCTTGTATAATGCAGGTAATTCTCAAGGAACATTATGCATTAGTATAATTAAATGTTATGTTAATTACTTTACATTGGCTGACGCTGTAATTTCATCACACATTTAATTGGCTAATTAACTTCTCGTTTAACCATAAACGCAATGTTTATCTATGCAAAAAAGTTGCGTATAATTTAGACTTAAGATTAGTATATGGTGATGTACAATGCCGCGAGATTAATTATTTTTAACAGCGTATATATATTTCAGCTAAAATCATTCCTCAAGAAGTGTCACGTAGCGAATTACTGTAGAAAGATTAAGCAGCTCATGGACAAGATCGAAGAAAACAGAAAATACATTGAGACAGAACGTATCAAAACAACAATTGATTTAAAGGATATAACACAGATAAAAAATTGGGAGAATGGCATAAAGAATCAGGGCACGCCATTGGAGAAATTCTATGTCTCCTGGAACAAGGTTCATCAATCCCAAAAATTGAAGCTCCTAACACAAAACGACCAGGAAGCCGAATACAATTTGCCAACCATCAGACGAGGGAAGAAGAACAGAATGCCAGATGACAATGATGAGGGTGACAGTGACCTGGACATCCCCGTGGAGGAGATGGAGAAGAAATTAAAGAAGGCCAAAACAGCTAAGAAGAAGAAAATCAGTCGCACAGAAAACGTGGATGATCTTCCACGAGAGAATACTGATATTGTTCAGGACATGAGTGTTAACGACTGGGACTAGGATTGATTTAAGAATTTTTTCATAGCATCTTTTTGCGCATCAATTCAGTGCTACTGAAAAATAAGTATATATTTAATAAAATGAAATTATATAAATGTCTCGTGACACAAGTATTTCCATAAGCATTAAGTTCATTCTACAACTAACAGTCTAAACTTCTCCTAGAGGTAACCAAGTCCTAAATTCACGTAACGGACAGGACAGCAAGCACCGGGTGCTGGTTCTATCAAGTAGCCCAGCGCTGTAGCAGGCATAACCGATTGGGAAGGTATCGCTTTCTGGTATTCTATTTTTACCAAAGGCGACCCAAGCAGTTGGGAAGTTGGTAGCAGCGGTTCGGCGCTATTATAAAGCTCGAACGTTCTGTTACGATAGTCGGCTATGTAAGTGAAAGAAAAAATCGGTTAATCAAAACTAATCTTTGGCATAAAATAAAGTATCACTGGTACAAGTGAATCAGTGATTTGAAGCGTTCATCCAAATATCCAGAAACGCCTTAAAAAATTATCTTACCAGGCTAAAAGGAACTTCTGGACGTACCTTATACACACATATATTTTATGTGCTCATAAATAATATTCAAAGCTCCACTATAGTCTTTTTCAAAAGTTAGTGCCGTGTAGTAGCTATTGTGTTCAGTTCGACAATCTGTTTTCTAATCTTTCACTAAGAAGCGTCACTGTTTCACTGATTCAGAGGAAGGAAAAAGAATAATATAAAGTCGGATCCACTTGGCTGGCAAGTGAATCGCGAAGAAACAGCTGGTCTGTGGGAAACGTAAAAGCGAGAGCGCAGGTTGCAGGCCTAATGTAAAAATAAATATTCTATCGTGTTTCCCTCGTTATACATCCATACAATATACCTGCATTGGCGTGCGCGAGGTGCCGAATATTTTGCAAGATGCAAAACAGTCTCGTCGACCACGACGAGTTTACATTTTTACTCCCGCACGAGGAGAGAGATAGAGTGCGCGCTTAAGTAACGACTGGGTTTACTCTGCTAAGTGACGATTACGTAAAATCACATTAAACAGAGAAAAAGATACGGATAAACGGGGGAAAGAGTGCTGACACTTTTATTGAGATGAGGAGAGCATCGTTTGATAAGTAAAGTTTCATATTATATCGTACCTGGATAGATTTTATACTGATAAAATTCTTTCCTTTAATTCTAATTAGCGAGTTCCTGTTTTTTTGTCTTAATTAAGTGCTAAATTATTTTCATGGTATATCTAATCAAACGGTATACAAGGATCAGACAATTTAGAGCAACAGAAGTGCACGTTTTGAATTAAATACCTAAACTGTCATTGAGACAGTGGAAAATGATTATTTTGTCTTTCACAAAAAATAATATCTGTAAACGAAGAAAAATTTCTTTAAATTTCTTCGAATATGGATTTTTCCGTTGCCGTCCGAGCAGAATCATATGAATAATCAAATCTATTGCGTTATTCGTTATAATAAAAAAGGGTGTGACGGGACAAAAAAATATGGACTACGAATTGAGGGAAAAAATTAATATACGACCAGCTGCGTTTACCAAGACATGTGGTTATCCGTTCGCTACGCAGTATTACATCGTTTCTAAATCTTACGCGACAAATGAAATCGTCACTAGTCTAAGTATAACTACAACGACAACATCCCTGCAAATCGTTCAGTCGTCTAAGAAACCAGAAGCGATATTTCGTATCTCAGATTTGCCAATAAGGAACCATCGATATATCAATAGATTATATAAATAACTATTTAAAGGTTAAATAATCTATCCACGAAACCGGCCGTTCATTCATCTATTAACCCCTTGAATAGGTCTAATAAAATGAGTAGCTTCTATCAAAATAAAAAATACAAAGACTGAGCACGTTTAAGAAAAGAAAAAAAATGTTGTTTGGTATCTCACTAACCAGTATAATATATCCAGCAATATATTTATTGTACGGGATCCAGTAGCATGTGTAACGCATCCACAAATCTATCAAGGTCTATAGGGACCGGTAGAAGTTGCGAGAAAATGGTGGGTGAAAATAACCGTGGAAAAGCCCGGGGAACCAAGAGAGACCTAACGGCATGTGTGCTTTGCAAGCAGGTTCTCCTTTCGGACGGTGTTCTCGATTCACGCTTCTGGGCTCTCGGTACTCGATTCTCATTCTCATCTCATCTTATCTCATCTCGTTTCTCTGTGGTTCCTCTAGCAGACTGTACTAGCGTAGCTGTGCCGAAGCTACGGCCGCCCCGTATTACGTTACAACAGATAAATTTAGCATTTCTTTTACACAGAACCTCGTTGTGCTCATGCCAATACCGCATCGCGGAAGTAATTGGTCGATTGCGCTGCTTCTCTAAACTTCTCACTATTAACGGTCTTGAGCGATAAAATATCTAATCGATTATCAATAGTCGAACATTGCCGCATCGAAATCGTTTAACAAATCACGCACGTCAGCGGTGTAAACACCTGTAGTTTTATTAATTATTCACGTATCGGCAAGGGTTCAAGAATTAATATTCCGAATATTCTGTTTGAATATTCAGGGTAGTCAGGTAACGCACGTTAACGGAGTGATTACTTTTTTAAGGTTCTATGACTTCTGGACTTGACATTTAAACCGGGAATAAGTGATGGCGTGTTTGTTATGGGCATTTTAATTGGTTGCGGAAAGACGCGTAGTACCGTCCTGTAACGCTTTACGTTGATAGATGTTTCTAAGATTTAAATACGTGTACATACCGTTTTTCTATTACTGGTTTTCAAATTCGCAGAATGCGCGCATAAGTTTGTTTTATGGCCAAGGGCGCTGCCGTTATTCTCAAAAAATGAATACTTTGCATTTCTACAGACACAATAATACAAAACGCAATATCCTAAGCAACGTGGCGTACAACTTCACGACAAACGTTAAAGATGCCGGGTTCAAGTGCATAAATTACAATCACCACGAGAGTAATTACTTGCAACGAAGCGTCTCCGCCGATAATGTTGTAATTCGCTCACGCGGTTTCAAGCCATCCGATAGACACGATCCGGTAAAGAGGAATTTACTTGAAAGTCTAACTTCAAAAATACTGCACTTCGACATGGTGAGTCAAATGAAGTTTTAATTTGACGAAGGATAATATTTAAAAAATTGATTTACGTTGGCTCTATTTTAATATTTATATTCGTATCTATATCTATATATATTATAAATATATATGGCTATACGTCATCGCTTAAAAAGCTTGCTATTGCTGATCTAATGCCAACAACTTGTAAATTTGAGCAGCTCTTTTGACTTTTTAAAACTTTGTGTTTCTTGTTCGGTATCTTTTGGTCAATGTAACAAGATGGAGACTGTAAAATGGAATTGTTTCAAAAGTTGTATGTCTTTACATTAATACTCAATGAAATACATGAGTGTTTTGGCGAAAGTTCAGAAAAGCGAATCGAATATAAATATGTATATAGAAAGATACTGCGTCAGGCTATTTTAAATTCATATATATTGCACAGAATGTATCCTGTTTATGCAGACCGTGCATATACATTTAATCGGATGATTGAGTTTTTTGTTTTTCTTTTTATCTACTTTCAGGAGAGCGGCGAGACGACTCCCATTAATCTGCAAAAATTGCTTACACCAGCATCCGACACGAATGAGCTGTTACATGCGAAAAATAGTGCGTCATATCTTTCTAACGTAGCAATTATGCATGAAGTAGTGGAATTTTTAAATTTTTCCACAAACGTCACGAACTATTTATTTTCTCTTTTTCTTGGAAAATATACGACAGGGCTTCTAGAAATTTCGATTAATTTTATCGCGATTTCTTACTATCTGAATCACTCAACCAGTCTTGGGTAATTGTTGTTTAAGGTTGAACGGCATCCTCGTGCAGAAATGTGTATACAGTTTACACGATGAACTCTAGATTTAAAGATGAAATGCTGATAAACACGAACTCCTTTAAATATTTATTTCTCTCCCTTTTTTTAGAGAAGATGTACGCATCATCTTATTTTTATGCACCAACCCATCCGACTGTGGAAGATCAGGTAGAGCTCGCACGTCGAATTTCCCATTCGTTGAGCGATGTGAAAAACCTGAAGAGCAAAGGTCAATCGATGTACGTTAATCGTAAAAAACGATCTGTAAAATGGATTCACGATGGGAACGGTGAGATGCTAACAATTTTCAATAGAAAATCTAATATCTGCAAATTTTATGATAATGCCATGAGTTTGATATTGTTCTACGATATGCTTTGAGCACAGGAGCCGAAGGCGAGGAAGAGTCATCTTCTCCAGTGCACAAGGTAAATGAAAAATAAAATAATTTGAATACATATAAAAGAAAATCATAAATTATCTACAGGACAAGGTGCCTCTGAAATGCGTGATGAATCCAAATGGAAAAGTATTGGATATCCATGGTATACAGGCATTAGGAGAGGAAGTAAATATAGAAACAATGCCATCCCATCCTGAGAAGCTTTTTGATATTGTTCGTGACCTGAATAATCAAAAAGGCCGTGGTAAAGAAATTAATTATAAAATATCCATGATTTCGTTATATGATTAACTAAGGCTATATATCACGATTGTCCTTAGGTGCTGAGATATTCGCAAAGCGTAGGAAAAGGTCTGAAAAGTGGGTGGTTGATCAGGAAAAATCGCAGACTCCAACGACTCCTGGTTTACCCAAAGTACCGACCTACCCCAGTAAACATGTGAGTCAACAGTCCACTTGGCACTTGGATAACAATGAAAACATTGGCTCGAGCACTATTGTTCTGTTACAGGACATGGAACTGAAGGAAAATTCAAAGTTACCTACTGTGGATCCTCTGCCACCGTATATACCGGCTACACCGGCTCCAGTAGCCGAGAACAAACCCTTTTATAATCCTTTCACACTGGACCTTTCTTTGAACGGTGTAGAACCACCTGCCACAGGTGAGCTCATGTGTATACTGATACATAAAGTAAGGATATATTTATGTGATACATATAAATATAAAATAAGTGTGTCGTCACTTGGCAATGCTTGTTGGCATCGGTGCACTAGTTGTATTTTGGATTCGCTCCATTTCGACTTGAATTAATACTGCATATTATAGAAATATTAAATCTTGGATAAACCCGTTTATCTATCTTATAACAAAATTATATTTCCTAATTAATGGATGGATTGATTATATTTATTATTGATAGAATGTAGTTATCTCATTAGCAACAGATATCGCTTTCGCAGACAGTGACAAGTAAATTGAACGTTGTATAATGCTTACAGAGATATGCATTTTTATATTATTATGGAAAACTAATGTTTCTGCAATGCTTTTAATATTTTTCCCAAGTTAAGCACATAGCCTTGTCCTAGCTGTTAATTAAAATTTCCAGATGCTCGAAAGCGCTTTGTGGGCACTAACAAAAATCGAGATGCGAAGAAGGTACATCTGCGGGAAGTCGCGGTCGGCACTGACATCGACTTCCTGGTTGACGAGCCAGGTGTAGAAAAGTCAAGGCGCATCAGCTTCGACGGCACTAACGGCACTTATGGCAATCATACGCTTAATACTAACAGATCTTGCAAGCCAGTAATTAATACTAACCCAGGCAAGTTGATCTCTATTACTAACAGCGACATCAGAAACCACAGCAAGCAGCAATACCAGGAATGCAATGAGGGCGAGGACAGCGAATACACTCCGGTGCCTGTGAAACAGCTGATACAAGAATTTGAAAAGACCTGTAGGCCTGTGATGCAGTACAAGCAAATAAGTACAAGGGTCATACCTATTGTTCAGCAGTGTCCTTTGGAGAGCGACATATCGCGCTACTTCGAGGCACGGGTGTCCACCAGGTACGACGAGACTCCCAGGATGCCAGAGGAAAAAATTATTCATAACTATGATGATGCTGATGATGATGATGATGACGACGACAACGACGACGATGATGATGAGTATGATGATCCAGGATATCAGCGGAATGGGCAAATTTTGTACGAGGAGGATGAAGATGATGAACTGGAGGATGGTTTCTTGCCATCGTCTTCTTCTAGAGTCAATGACGATCATCTGTTTCGCCAAGAGTCACCTGTATCAAGTTTAATTAATGGCAATGGTTATGTCCCTATGGAAGCAGTTGATGAGTACTACCGAAAACACATAGCCAATTCACAAACCTTTAAGTTAGATTCTGAACACAGAAACGGAAGTGACAAATTTTTAAATGATGATGGTGATCCGTTACCAAATGCAAAGTCCTTGCTTCTAGCCATGGTGGCTTCGCAAGATGATATCCTGGCGACAATAAAACATCTTCGCAGTACGCCTGTTCTTGAAAATCTTGTATCGAACGCTTCACCCGATTGCAAGTTCGCTGATGTCTATCCGGACGTAGGCAAGTTAACTAGCATGCGCTTTAAATGTTCTATTTAGTAATTCCGCTAAGAATACGTTAACGTTAACGACAATACACAATTGTTAATAACAAACTTATCAACTATGACAAATTTCTAATTGCTCCGAAACACTGTACACCCTGCTCAAAAATAAAATTATTTTGATTGGATTATATTTAAAATTATAATCCATTTACAATCGGAATGCAAATGCCCCCGATTGTCCAGATTGTCGTTGAATCTATCAGTGTCTATTGATTGTAAACGGATTTTCTAAGCGGGGCACGTAATTGTAGATCTACTGCCAAACACAAAATGTCAGCTCCATTTTATTCCTATTCTAATACTCGCTTTTACTTGCTACTCTTTTTTGCAGGTAATAAACTTTACGAGAACAATTACCAAGGCCCGAAATTATCGAGTTTCCAAACTTTGACAAACTACAATACTGCACCACGTGGCTGGAACCAGTCGCACACGTTCTATCGTCCTATCACGTTTGGCAAGCCGCAGGATACGATTGTATATTCCGATTTTTAAATATGAATTCGGTATGTTATCATATACATAACCTTAAAAAAAAACGCACGCAAATCTACGTGAAATTTGCTTCCACTTATCTGCCAGGGTTTCCCTGTAACGAAACACCGACTTCTCACAACATGCTCCAAGGTAAAATATCCATAACAAAATCACAAATCATAGGAGTCTCATATACAAAACTCCCATAAGCATAACATAAGGTGCAAATTAATTAACCTACGCTCATAAATCCACAAAATATTAAGGACCTACGACTCATTGACGTAAACCTTCCGTTAGCATAACGTATAAGGGCCAATCGAAGTACGTCCATAATATTGTTTCGTTATGTTTATGTAAATTTAGTGTGAGAGACTCTTTATATTTTCGGTACTAATAATTCTCATTAACAATATACAGTTATATTAATAACTTAAAATTCTTCTCTTCGTTTCAGGATTCATACCGAGATCCAAAAGCTTTTCACGGGAACATCAATTTTGCTTGAAGCCTTTCCACATAAAGAGAGCTTTCCTCCTAAGCCATACAACGATTCTCTAGTGTTTATATTTTATGGAAGAATCAATGCCTAAAATCTGTCCTAATATCGATACCAATGAGATGATTATATAATATAATAATAGAGCTTGAGCTTCGTTTTGCTTGGTATACCTACACGTATCTTCCTAAGATAAAATTATTCGACGTTAATCATGCTTTCTGGCAGTGTTGGATTATGGCATTTCCATTTATTATATGATGCGAATACACGGTGTTATCATAATGCCTCAAAACGTCTACTTTACATTACATTTATTTTGACCTGCATCTAATCTAAAAAATATTGTCATCAACCACTCAAAAAAGAATTACTTATTAATTAGAAATATATTTCATTATATCGCCTATTCTGGCTTTTAATTAAATTATCATCATTTTGTCGGCACCAATTCAAATTACCTGCCCGCATTTATTACAAAGATAATAAAGTCACACTAATTTTATTCCACGCGTCTACATCGTCCTGTTGTAGTCAGTGACTTTCAAACATTAACTATACTGTAGTTATATATTCTAGCTTAACTGTTATAAGTCCACACTGGACTTAGGTTATCATGAAGTTAACGATGCGATGCTGTAAAATATAAGTGTGCGACGACTTTGTTATTGTTTACGTTAGTCACCCTTATGAATCCCCATCTCCATCAATTTTCAGTTCAGAATAAAAATTATCATCTGAAAGTCTGAAGTTAGCATTTCATCTTGTTATTTTTACTGTCTATCAGTCTCTTGTTTTTTTATTTATTACTCTTAATAGGCATTTCGTCAGAGCCAACGAAGATGGTAATCCTGAACTTGAAACTTCAATTCCTCAAACAGAAGACATTCTTACGCCATTGCATCGAAACGATCCGGTTGAGTAGCTTTTCTTCGGTGTGTAAGTCCTACACAAAGTAATAGAAATCACACAGGGAAAGAGAACTTTCGTGGGGTCAGAGCACGAGGATAAATAGAGAGCATCGAGCTCAATTATCTTATTTGTCGTACACAGTCGTCCGTCGACTGATGAAGTAAGGTTTTTCGCCATGAAGCCGAATATTATTTCATTCCTTCTTGGTGTGCTGTTTATTCAAATTTTTCTCCACGAAAATTCTGCGAGAGTTCAACGTAAACGCAAAGAGAAAACACCGACTTGTGGTTATCAGGTAAAATAAAAGAGAAATTTTGTTTAGCTGATTTAGAGGCTAATTCAGTTTTTGTTTACAGACATGTCCCAAAGTGGATTCTGAAAAATTGAATATACATTTGGTACCCCATACTCATGATGACGTAGGATGGCTAAAGACCGTTGATCAATACTATTTTGGGAGTAAGAATGTATTTTCAAACTTGATATTAAAATTTGAAGCATTATTTTTATTCAAAATAATTTTTCTCTCAAGGTCGCTCTTCCGTTCAAAAGGCTGGCGTGCAGTATATACTGGATACAGTTGTACAAGAATTGTTGAAAGATCCTAGTAGAAGGTATAATTCTTAACTAATTATCATTAAATCGTATTAATTAAAATTAATTTCTTTCAGATTCATTTATGTGGAAACAGCTTTCTTATGGAAATGGTGGTCAAACCAGGATGAAACAGTACGCGATCAAGTTCGGTCGTTGATCAATCAAGGTCGACTTGAAATCATTAGTGGTGGATGGAGTATGAATGATGAAGCAGTCACTCATTATAATTCCATTATCGATCAATTTTCTTGGGGTCTAAGGTCTCTTCATTCCATACACTAATAACCATAAATATCAAAAAGACATTGTCTTGATTATACAAAATTATTATAATGATTCCAGACGACTGAATGACACTTTCGGATCCTGTGCAAGACCTCACATTGGCTGGCAGATTGATCCCTTTGGACACTCAAGAGAACAGGCATCCATATTTGCGCAAATGGGATTCGATGGGTTATTTTTTGGTCGACTAGATTATCAAGATAAAACAAAACGGCTCAATGACAAAACTGCGGAGTTTATATGGAAAGCCAGTCCGAATTTAGGTAACGTTTTTGTTATAATCATTGGTCTTCGGGTTGATGCAAGCTGCAATATCTATAAAAGTATCAGCAAATGAATACAACCAAACATGACTTCAACTTGGAAGCCTGGATATTAATTTGAACAATGGCCGCGAAGGCTTTAAAACAATGATTCTGTTACCCTTAAGAACCAAAGTCATCTAATTAATATACATATAACATTGTTAATTGATCTCACTGGATATACTCAGTTAAAAATTATAAAAGTAAAATTAATATTATATTTGTTACAGGTGAAAAGGCTGATCTGTTTACCAATGTACTTTACAACAATTATTCTCCACCTCCAGGATTTTGCTTCGACGTACTTTGTGACGATGAACCAATGATTGATGACCCTGAAAGCCCTGACAATAATATCGATACACGAGTACGTTATCACGTTAATAATTTTTATTTGTTATCACTTAATGAAAGTCCTCGTACCATTTCACGTCGTACAAAGCTCAATGTTTCTTCATATTAATATAAAAACTATGCTCGTGCAAGCTTTTCTACGGTTTATTGCAAAAAAAAATGTATTCATGTAATGTAAGAACTTTTCTGCATGCAGATCGATTCATTTTTACAATTCGCGGACAAGCAAGCTGAGCATTACCGTACGAAAAATATCATAATGACCATGGGTGGAGATTTCACTTATCAAGCTGCGCAAATGTGGTACAAAAATTTGGACAAATTTATAAGGTACTAAGTCAATAATGGCAGGTGTAGATGCGTAGATAAGTTTCAGTTTCGCCCCCCCCCTCCCCCCCACAGATACATTAGTTAAAAAGAATTTATTCGAAATGACGAGCAAGCGAGAATGCGCCTTTTGACCTCCTTTTTTTTTGGTAAGTCAAAAATGATACCTTGACAGGTGGTGCTGTTTCTGGCTTTTGCTCAAATTCAGGCAAGGTTCTACAAGACCAATAACATTATTCTCACTATGGGAGAAGATTTTAACTATCAAAATGCAGAAATGTGGTTCGTTAACTTGGATAAGCTGATTAGGTAAGATTTTTAAAGATCATCCATGACTTTTTCAAATAAGCATTTGAATAGTCTAGTAATATGTCATTGTAATACAAAACTTATGTAAGTTATGAACCACTATATGCACTATATAATTGTGCCTATAATTTATACAAAATTAATTAGTCAATTCCATTCTTCCTTATTTTATAGTAGAAACAAATAGTAGATACTTAAAAAAAAGAAGTGTACAAGTATTTATGCATTTTGAAATCTAGATACACAACTGAACGTAATGGATCAACTGTGAATGTTTTCTACTCAACACCATCGTGCTACTTGAAAGCAGTAAATGACTTGAATTTAACTTGGCCAACAAAAACTGATGACTTTTTCCCATATGCAAGTGATCCTAATGCATACTGGACTGGTTACTTCACATCAAGGCCTACAATAAAGTTCTTTGAAAGAATAGGAAATAATTTCCTGCAGGTAAATGCAATGCCAACCTATTAATAATAATAGGACGCTAAATGAAACGCATATTTATATTATTTCAGGTGTGTAAGCAATTGTCAGTATTGGCAAATCTCCAGTCAGTTGATAAAAACTTGGAAGAATTTCGCGAAGCAATGGGAATAATGCAGCATCATGATGCTGTAACTGGAACGGAAAAGCAAAAAGTTGCCAACGATTATGCTCGAATTTTGTACAAGAATATGTATCAAGGAGATGACATAGTATCCAGTTCGTTGAGGTAAATGACAAATAAGAATGTTGAACATAAAGAAAGGATACTGTACTGATGTAATATAATTTTTAACAGCAAATGGATACTCAAGAATAAGAATGAAAATTCAAGTCCTGTGCAATTCCATTCTTGTTTAGAATTGAATATTAGTTCTTGCACTTACACCGAGGAGAATACAAATTTTGTTGTCACCCTGTACAATCCACAAAGTCAGCCAGTTACTACTTATGTTAGATTACCAGTTCAGGGACAGTCTTACTCTGTAAAAGATTCTACTGGTAAACATTTATCAGTAATTCTAATTAATTTGATATTGAAACAGAAAAAACTAATATCCTCTTTATACAGGTACTGAGCAGAAAACACAAATTGTACCCATTCCAACACCAGTAATAAACATTCCAGGCAGAAAAAGTAAGGCGACAGTGGAATTGGTTTTTGCAGCTATTAAAATTCCAGCCCTTGGTTATCAATCTTATTACATCAGTGAAAATAATGCTGCGCAACATGTACATTTAAGTCATGCGACAATAAATTCCTCAATGGACAGTGCAGTACGTATTAGAAATTTAAAAAAATATATTTCAACATACTTTTATTCTAAAAATATTAACTGACCCAACATTTAGCTCTTCAATATAACTGTTAATGGAAATGGAAATGTTATTGTACAAGATAAACATCAAGATATTGAATATACGCAATCTTTCCATTACTATGAAGGTGCAGAGGGTAACAATAAAGTATTTCTTAATCGATCGTCCGGTGCGTATATCTTCAGGCCAAAAACATCGGATATAAAAAATTTGACAAACACTGGTTCTCATAAAATTTACAAAGGTACATCTACTAATTAAAAATTACCATAGTACACTGACGTTATTAATAATATAATGCTCGGTATACATATATTTATTCCCAACGTTTCAGGCCCATTGGTGGATGAAATGCATATAACAATAAATGATTGGATCAGTCAAGTTGTCAGAGTGTACAACAAAGAAAATTTCCTTGAATTTAATTGGCTCGTGGGGCCAATACCTGTAGGGTAGTATATATATATATATGTATATTTCTTGAATGATAGTAAAAAAAGAAGCATCATGTTAACTAGGTATTAATTATTTCAGCGAACACATTGGCAAGGAAGTAATAACAAAATACTCAAGTAACTTGAAAACCAACAAAATCTTCTATACAGATAGCAATGGTCGAGAAATGATAAAACGTATTAGAGACTTCCGTCCAACATGGGACGTGAAAATTGCTGAGCCAGTATCTGGAAACTATTATCCTGTGACATCAAAAATATTTATCAATGATAAGAAAAGGTCACTGAAGCTGAGTGTCTTGACTGATCGATCTGAAGGGGGTACCAGCCTGAGGGACGGAGAAATTGAATTGATGGTATTGTTTAATTTGACATATAACATATTGGTGAGACAAGGAGTTACACAATATTATATCCTACTATTAGGTTCACAGAAGATTACTCAGTGATGATGCTTTTGGAGTAGGAGAACCGTTAAATGAAGAAGCTTTTGGCACAGGACTGGAAACAAGGGGGCAACATTATGTAATCGGAGGTAGAGCCAGCGACGTATCTTCTATTGTCTTAAAAGAGAAGAAACTAGCTCAGAAATTAGCACTGCGTCCATGGACATTTATTACACCGGTCGAAGATATAACTTTTGAGCAGTGGAGTGATGCATATAACATGGAAGTAAGTATTGCGAACAATTTAATCAGTCAGACTTGTCTAATTCAATTTTTAATTACAGTATTCTGGTATCTCCAAAGCAATACCAGCCAATATACATATTCTAACATTGGAGCCGTGGAAGAGTAATAGTATTTTGCTCAGACTGGAGCACATTTTTGAAATTGGAGAAGATCCTCGTTATTCACAACCGACTGAAATAAATATTCAAGTTCGTGAACTTTTTTGACCGAATTTATTCAGCCCTTGTTCGGTTTCCTTGTTTTCATAATTTTTTTTTTTTCATTTTAGGATTTGTTCTCTACGTTCAGAATTGTTTCTGTGCGTGAAACGACCTTAGGTGGAAATCAATGGATAAGCGAGCTTAATCGTCTAAAGTGGAACGTCGAGTCTAATAACATTATAAATAATCAAAGTAATTATGTGCAAGAAATTAATCAAGATGGCGCGATTAATGTACTATTAAAACCAATGGAAATCCGTACATTCATTGTGGAGGTTGCTGCTAAATAAAATAAATGATTAATTAGTGTATAGGATATATTTTTAATAATAAGAATTCTATTAGGCAATGTAATTGTTTATGATTTTCACTGTATGAATTCAATAAATGTATTTCAAGATGGAGTACACAGTCTTCGTGAACTTCATAAAATCACTGAATATCAGAAAGAGTTCTGAATCATTCCTAAACCGAGAATAATTCGCGCCAAACTTTCGGCTGCTATTTTGACATCTTAAGTTTCATTTTTCATGTTGAAGAAGTTCGAAATTAAGTGTAATCATTTATTGCAATGAGGTTGGTACCATTCGCAGGTGTAGCTAATGAATTATAAATGTCATCAAATAGTTTGGTTTATTGCTTTACTATGATTGACATAGATGACTGAAACGGATGAAGAATCTTGGGCCCAGACATTGATAGCGATAACACCAGAATTCAATGGTCTTATTCGCACCATAAAGAGTGACATAACAATATCCGGTAAAAAGGATATCAGCCTTAAAAACGATCCCGCCAGTTTCTCAAGTAGAAAAACGATCTTCGCCGCGAAGCCAAAATTCATAGACGATAATGAGCTGGAAAAAAAGAGCTACAGGGATGTTGAGAATCAAACATATTTACAAGGAGTTCCAAAAGTTCAATTGCCATTTAAATATCGCGATGAAGCTACACAGACACTGTATTCGGGCAAAATTCGTCCCGAGATAAAACATTTTCAGGAAATTATAAGTAAAGAGTAGTTCCTGTTAAAAGTTTTCGAATAAGATTCGTGAAATATATTTGAATTGATGATTTTTCAGCTACCTTGAACGAGAAGACAATGCCACTGATGAAAATCAGTGAAATCACTCAAACTATTATTACGTTTAATATGGAATGCACTCAGGATGATGTTGTCCAGGAATTACAAAATGGTATTTCTGATGACGAAAATTATGATCCTCAACTTGTAGTCAAAGCTAATGAAGATGAGGAAACAGAAATAGAAGTCTCTGATATTTTAAATTTTATGATTGATCGTGTTATTTGGATTGGAGAACCTACAAGTACAGTGGTTGTGAAGAAGATGAACCAAGAGATCCAGACAATTTTAAAGTACCATAAAGCAATGAAGAAAATGTTTATGGACAATGAAACACAGACCGGTCTAACGTGCAAGCCTAAGGATTCCAATACAAAATTAATTGCTGAGTACAAATTAACTACAGATTATATGAGAAACTACTTAGAAGAATGTTTCCAACAAGCTGTACATTCACTGACTGTAGCGAATGATATAATTGATGACCTTGTCGATAAGTGTGCTGAGAGGGTCCATTTTCCACCAAGAAATGTAGCTACACAAACAATTGCACCGTGTAAAGTCCTGGAAGATAAGGATGATGAACTGTTACGCAAATTAAAATTGCCAATAACAATAGATCCTTTCGAATCATCCATCATAGTTATTCCTATAGCAAATGATATTCTAGAAGCAGCATGTAATATTGTCTGCCAAAAAGCACACCTTATAGTGAATGGTGTCATTAAAAGGGTTGTGGACAGATCATCATTAATTGGTATTAGATTAGACCAGATTCGCAAGGATTCACAGAGTAAGTTATGTACAAAATAAATTCACACTTTGACTCCTAACCCTTAATAATTATAAAGAACACAATTTCTTTTGTTATCAGAAGGAAAACCGATAGAAGACATTTTCACGGAGAGAAGAAGGAAATTAAGTAAATTAATGTTAAAATCTAAGACTGACGAAATATCAACACAAACTAGTATCGCTGGTGTGCCAGAAGTTACAAAAATACAAGAACCGAAGGAAACACTTTGTTCAGTATGCAAAAGAGATTCTATCTGTCATGTCTGTCTGGCTGCGGAAAAAGAAACTGATTTATCAATAGAAAATATTAAGATACTACGTACTCAGGATATTCTCCTAACTTATAATCCATGCTATGTAATAGCAACAAAATCAGAAACAGCTAAAAATCCAGCATTGGTACCAACATGTCGACCAAAAATCGAGGAAAAAGCTAAATTATCTCAAGCAAAATTAAATCATAAAATCGCGATCCCTTGCGAATCTGCTAATATTATCGATCAAAGTACTAAACGTCATCCTAAGAAAATTAGTAAGGAATCATTAAGTGGATGGTCTCACGTCGTTGACACATCCTTATCAAAAACGTGGTCAATGCAAAGTAAGAAAAATTCAAAAAATTCATTTATACGAATTGAATTTTCTACAGAAAATATATGATAGATATATGTATGTCGTACAGGTCCCACAAGTAGCGAGAGTAAATCTATGGCGAAGATAAAGGAATCTTCATCAAAATTTTTGCCTGAGAGATGCAGCATGTCCCAAGGGGGTCTAGCGTTACGGACGATAGAGGCGTTGGACATTTTGAAAAATACTTTTTGCACCAGGGAAACCTGCGAATCGGTATCGCTCTCTAACTCTTGCAATGCACGCTCTCGTGAAGACAGAGCGCAAGGAAAGTTAATTTGCAAAAGGCAAGACAAAATTCAGTGTGTTACAAAGGAGAGTAGAAATCGAACAAAGGAAAAACAGAGTGATGGCTTCAAAGTTATTCCAATTAGAATAATATCAGACTCCGATTCATAAGATGGGTCACTTTTCTAACAGAAATGTAAATATTGACTCTAGTATGTATATATAATCTTAAACTCACATTCCACATAATTCCCTTATCTTCTTTCATCTTGCAAAATCTGAAGCTGCAAAGGAAAGTTATTAAAAATTTAAGTCAAAGTAAGAGTACAGTATACGTATTAAACACTTACGCAAGGAGTCGTAAAGATTCCCTTCGAAGAAAGGGCCTGTAAATCCTTCACTACATTCGCTATGTCATACGTATCCTTGATTTTCTGAATGTCAATATAAGAATGAAAAAAGAAAACATTTATGACTATCTTGATAAAAAAAAATATTTTAACATTTATTTCTTTACATACCTGTAGAACGTATTTTTTATCATCCTCCGGCAAGAACGGCAGAAAAGCCGCAGCAAGATGCGGTTGTTCACAGCGGAAACAATATTTTATGATTTCCTTATAATTAAGTTTACTAGCGATCGGACATGAATGCAATAAAATCAAAGTTCTAATACAATCATCCATTTGATTAGGGGTCGGTTTCATGTTACTTTTTCGAAACGGATCAAGTATTACAACCTGCCAACTGGAAGTGAAGCCATTGCAATTGACAATGTGTGAGACTGTGCCTACTGCCGGCAGAACTTTTTTCAATTCCGTGATCTGCAGAAGAAAAAGAACAATTATTAAACTCACATATAATAAACGAAAATTTTTGGAGACGCACCATTAACAATTTAGCCATCTGCGTAAGAGTGGAATCCCACAACGAATAATCTTGTAATTTAAAATCCATACAGAGCTGCAAGATGAGTGAAAGTGCTCTTGGCATATAAGAATGTGCTCGCCATAATATTTGTGCTAATTTGTGCTTTGAGCAAACTTCTAATGTACTAATATTGTACGACATACCGATGATTTCCAATTCGCTCAAATATTGCAAACTTTTCATATATCGTCTGTAAGAAATGCAATTATTTAATACACTCTCCATGGTCCCAGAATTTCCTGTGCAAAAATACCAAAACCTTGTATGTACACTACCTAATATCATTTAAATTTCGTTTAGTCAAGTCCTGTAGCATATCAGGAGTCATAATGGACTGCAGAACTTGAAGAGCGCGATAGCGCATACCAGGTCTGTAATCACAGGTCTCTGTTCCTTCTTCAAATACAATATTTATCAAAAAATTCGCTGATAATATCAGATCACTGCACTCAATGATATAACAAGCTCTGCAAGTATAAATGTAGAGGAGAAAATTGAATGTTTATTTAAAATTAAACAATATTTAAACAACAATATGACATACCTAAGCAAATTGTCATCAGTGATGACAATATTGATGTCGGAACTGTACGATTCGAATGATAGAGACTGCTTGATATCCGGTTGCAGCCATTCCTGAAGCAATTCCAGTCGCAGCTTTATAACGTTGATATTAAATAAATCACCCAGAGCAGTTACGGCTGAATTTATATCAGGTTTCCTCTGCGCGGCTCCTCTACCACGCAATGCTATACTTTCATCCATATACAAATCACGAACAAGTTGTACCGGAGTCATAGTCAATGCCAAATAGCGATCTTCTCCCAAGCCATGAGTATATAAAATATGTTTAGAAGTAACTCGTAAATATTTATATTTAATTTTCTGCAATAAGGACAAGGATTTGCAAATAAATTTACAATCACTTATAAAATACCTTATTATAATTGCCTTACTTTGATCATTTCTTCATCTGTGTTACTGGATTGCAGAGCCCATTTATTTGCTAATATATAACATTCTTTAGCTGCTGCGACTTGATCAGCACCTTGTAATAAAATTAAATATAAGGAAGATAAATAAAAGTTATTTGTAGAAAGTTCTGTGCAGTATAGAAAAATTCACCTTGCGCTGTGTGATTTACAACGTAGTATAAAGCTGCTGTGCCATAGTACAGCGCTTCTTCATCTGTCATACGTTGAATACATTTTTTCACATCCTCCAGTAGAGAAGTATTTTTTGGATATATCAACCATTCATTGTTACTTCGTTCTGAATCGACATTACCCCATGCTTGAGTCACAGCCCCTTTAACCGCCAGTATGCAAATTATACATTCTTGTAAATCTAACACAGGCGCAATCTTCAACCATTTCTCATACGTCCTAAGGTTTAGTTCAGGGGCTGAAAATCAATGTTTAATAAAATATTATTTATATGATTTTATTTGCAAGTTAAATTAATTGTAATTACTTATAATTTTCCATTGATCGATTTGTGGTAGAAATGGAAGTCTCCAATCTGCGATTTCCGGCAGAGAATTTTCTAAGCACAGCTGGGACCATTCTTCGCGTTCCAACGCTGTTGGGCTCCTGTAAAAAAAAAAGCGTATTTTTAATAAAATTGCTTTACGCGATCGCGAGATACCTACAAAGTATTTAAATAAAAAGTTTACCCGACGCGAGTGTAATGTTTTAAAAAATAAAAAAGACTAATTTTCTTTTCATTTCTATCCTCTGCCAATTCATAAATAATGAGGAACACTTCGTAGTGGTAGAAGTTGATCTGCGTCAAAATCAAAGTAGTAATTATTTATTAGTTAAAATTTAATTAACAAACATGTATGACTCACTTCACTGGAAAGTGAAAGAATGTGTCGTTTCATCGCAACTTTATCTTCGATTCTTGCAGCGATAGTTTTACACTTTTTACGTAGCCGTTCCACTTCGACTTCGTCGATTTTCAATTCTGGCAATTTGATTTATCACATAATTATACAACATAAATCATTTCATTGTATCATTTATACTACTGATTTTAAAAAACTACCTTTCCGTCCAGAAATAGTAGTAAAATTTAATTGAGGACACCATTTCTTCAATACCACTCTAATATACAAAATAAAGCATTCGTCCAGATCAAATCCAAAAGACTTGCAAAATTCTTCTATTAGTTGCATTATATTTTCTTTTTCAGATTGCATCATTCCGTCTAAAATCTTTCGTTTGGTCTCCGTCGTGGAAGATTGTATATCTAATACAATAATTAATTAATTATAAAATACTTGATAAGCATTTGACGATATAAAAGATTGCTCAATGAATCACACCTCTGCACGATAATCCATTATCTGTCAGTTTTCGTGACCAGTACTGTAATACTCGTTGATGGTAAAAATTTTCTGTTTGCTTTTTGTCTTTGATTAGTCGGCAATACTCATAGGCCAGTTCCATCAGCGTATTGTGTCTGGTGTAATGACACCGATATCTAAATATCAATTAAAAAATACATATTATTACCATTGCTCATTAGTTATATAATGTGTATGCATAATAAAGTACTCACGATTTACATATGTTGTGTAGCCACGACAAAGCAGCAGTTTCAGAAACCATAAAGAGACAGGCAAGGCCTAAGTGCATGTCAAGGTACTGATCGTTAATTACATTTAGAAGTAAAGGAAAAACGCAATGCATTATCATATCATATGTCCGTCCGATAATTGTTGCATTATTGGGCAAAAGAGTTGCGCAGCTAAAGTATAACGTTTTTGCTATTAGAAGTAAACCATAGTTTAAATGCTCGAGCTGGAGATCTTTTACTCTGTCAAGCAAAGTCTTAAAAAGATTTTCAATCTCCATCTAAAAAGATAACGAATGATAATTGGTTAAATGTAACTTTCAAAACATTTAGAAATTGCACAAAAATTTTACTTCAGTCATGGACATTTCCTCTATTAATCCTGCAGTGCTGTTTGTTCTTGTCACAGCTATTTGAGAATTAGTTGTATCCAAAGGACCGGCACAGTATAAATAGATTCTGAAGGCATCACGTATAAAAGAAAATATTGTTTGGGGGATACAAATAGCTTTGTCTCTATAAATTGTAATAAAATTCCAATCGGTCTTCCCAACTAAATCGTATTTTGATTCCGCTTCGTTTGATACGTCGAATTCGCTCGTGGTTTCAAATAATTTCATCCACTGAATTGACATTAATATATCACGCAACTGATCTGTAATCATTAACCATTTATTAGGTGGCGTAAATAAAATAATAGTCAGGTAATGATTTAACTTACTCGGGTGACAAGAACTGAGCGCCGTAGCAGATAATTCTTTCAAGAAACTCAAAGCCTGTAAATCCTCCCCTGCGATAAGTATAGATGACGAACAAAGTCTCGTTATATAACAGATTTCACTTGCTGGAATACTTTCGAAACAGTCTTTCAGTTGTCTAATTAAAATATTTTTCCATTAGTTAGTCATTCGTGACAGACAAAGTTACGATGTAGATCTAATGTACGCACAGAGAACATTGCCTGATGACTTCCAGATTCTTTGTTTCCTCCAGTAATAAGCATGCGGCGAGAAAACTTGGGATTCCTAAAAGATGTGCAACTCTTTGCGTTTTCTTGTACACGAAACGTAATGATATCTCGCCATTTGTTGACTGCATTTCTGTTTATTAATTGGTATGCGATATTTAATTAAACATAACTAAATGTTGAATGTTTCTGACAGAATACTGTAAAGGATAGAACAAGGTAAAATATGCCTTACCATTGAGTATACATTTAATATAGTTGTTTAAAAGTTCTTCTTTTTCAGATTGATAATTTGCTAATGAGACATTGATATTGAATTCTTTCCTCAAGCAGTATATAGGACGGAGGTACGATGCAATTAAAATTGTTTCATTAAACTTCATTGTAAGTGGATCTTTTTTGGAGTAAATCTTTGATAATTTGGTTGTTACTATATTCAAAACCTCCATATAGTGCTCGATCGAAGCACTCATAATCTAAATAATAAAAAAAAAACCATATCAGGGAGATATAAATTAGAAATTTAGACCTTTAATTACTTCCTACCTTCAATTTAAAGTTCGCCACTATACGGTAAATTATCTGTTCACAGCAATACGCAGCAATATCATTATCTAAATTACTTATTAAAGTCATTGCCTTATCAATATCCCTATAATAAAATACATAAATGGAGGATCTGTGTGAGGATTTTTACATATATTCTTATCACAGAAACTCACCCATTAGATAAGTAAAAATTGACACACATAGAGAATGCCGTTGCTTTAAATGTGTCATTACGTTTTGTAAGCTCGCGAATGTCATCGATCATGTCATTTCGATTTTGTTTTATAATGTACATAATTAATCGCTGTAAGAAATAATTTATCATTATTGATTTTATGAGATGCTATCGCATTTTAAAATACTCACGTTATTCAAGGACACGTGCTCGCATTGGTACTTCTTAAGTATTAACTTTGTTGGGATAGAATCGCTCTCATTTTTAATCTCCATTGTTAAGGGATGATCGAACGCATAACTTGATTTGGCTAAAGCCACCATTGTTTCGCTCCAAGGGACAGGAGCTTTTCTAAGAATATGCAATGTCTGCTCCAAACGATTCTATGGAAATAAAATATAAGAAGCTCAAGATAAGAAAAAACATTATTTATAAAGATTATGTCATAGTATTACCTCAACGTTATGTATGAATCCAACAACAGTAGCTAATTTTACTTCACGTAGAAGATCACCTGAGTACCAGTAATCTCTCGGCCGATTCAATATTCTCTGATAGGATAAATGGTAAAACAGATTTACATTAAAATGTATACAAACTGCGAACTTAGTGTTAAAAACATGAATGACAATTATTTACCTGTATATAAGATATGAAGACGCTATCATTTTTCAGTGAATGATTGAACATATATTGTTGGAGAAATTTTAATGTAAGCGCTGAAGTTTCTTCGGATCTGACTGTGTTAAGAAGTAAATAAACCACTTCAATTGGTTCTCCCATGTACATGTCCAAAGGGATTGTGACTCTATTATAAACATATCCAATTGATTATTACTTCGAATGAAAAAATGGATAGTTAAAATATATTGATATTGACCTGTGATTGCTCTTTAACTGTTGCAAGTCATTCAGTGCTTGATTGAGAGTCATGAGGTGTTGCAATGGTGAGTTTCGAGTGGTATATTGTTGTTGCAAGTAAAAGCACAGCTGCGATTCTTCCAATTTTAATAATTCCATCAATCCACTGACAAAGTCTAATCCTATTAAAGGCCACTGAGCAGGATTTAATTTTTCCAATCGTTTTGTAAAGTTACAGCTCCATGGAATAATTTCAGAAAGACTGCTAGGGAATACAGACAGCAAGGACGGTATAAAGTGGCACAGCCACGGTCGTAACTTATCCAATGGAGTTTCCAGAGGAATAATATTTAACATATTTCGTATAATCCCAACATTTAATTTCGATATAAACGAAGGAAGATGTCTGGCCCATATCAGAGCTGCGATTTCTAATTCAGCCTGTATAAATTTGTAAATATATGATACATAAAATAAGATAAACATAAAACTTCATTAAGCGAGTGTCTATAGCATACTTACCCTCAACAAATATTTTGCGCATTCATCTAATAAATTTTCTTTTGAAAATTGTATCCATTCGTTATCCACGTGCTCTTTATCGGATTTTATTTTCTGGATTATTGTGAAAGTTTCAAGTTTATGCAAAGTACTATTCACTGTTGATAAGAGTTTAGTGAGATCGTTGTTATTAGACTTCTGTAAATAATAGATCGGAATAAAGCATATATATGGAAAATCATGTAGTTTGTACAAAATTAAATAATTACCTCAATACAATGAGTGAGCCTTTCGCGCGCATATAAAAGTAGTTTTCTTATTTGTTCGTGCTCAGTCACCAGAGCTTTAATACAGCATTGAGAGACGTAAGTAACGTCTGTAATTTTATCCAAAATATCAATAAGTGCATCTACTTTGTTCACTTGATCGTTCGTATTGCTCCAAGGATCGAATTGGCTCATAAGTAATGACGCTTTAGCATTGTATATGGGTTTCATATCCAAGCGAAAGTTTTTTGCAAAAACTTCTGCTTCATCGAACTTTCCTCTTCTTAATAATCGCGCCAAACGATACTCGGGTAGACACTCGCTTATAGCTTTGACACTAATAGTGTTTACTATATTTGAAGGATTGCGTAAACCTTCTAAAAATATTATGTCGTCCATGGCACTTCCATAAAAATCAACTAAATATGTTGTACTTGGAACTGTCATTTTAAATTTAACATCGAAATCTAGGGAGAATTAAAACAATTAATTACCTGAAATTTTATAAATGAATTTATGTGATAGAGCATTCGGTATATACCAGGAACAGTAAGGACTTGTAAGATGGTTGTAAGAGACCCTTCTTCAGGAACCATCAACATGAGTATTCGAGGTGGATCATTAAATTTTTCTTGTATAAGTATAAAGTCCAAAACAGGACCGTTCCAAATTTTTTTGCTCAATAATGTTAAAGGACACACCATGCTTAAACAATGATCCTTGCAAAGACATAATAAAGTGCTGTAAAAAAATTTTTTTTTAGTATATTATTTATTATAAGTTTTACTCAATACTGTGATGTTACCTATATTTTTGAAACTGCACTTTAATATACTTTTTCCATGAATCAGAGTAATAAAATTGGTTGTTCAACCATACAGTGAACTTTTCCCCACACATTACTACAGATGGCACGTTACTTATTGTACCAACTTGCACATGAGTTATCTGAAAATCGTACCATGTAATGTTAAATACATGATTTTGAAAAATATGAATAAGTGGAATTTACTTTGTTTTTTACTGTTGATGTCATCTTATGGAATTGCATGTTGTTTACAATATCATTAATAATTGAATCATCTTTCTTTAATAATAGAGAAGAAATGAGTTCCGCATTAAATTGTGGCATGCTAAAAAATGTGAATGATAAAGTGTCAAAATTAAAGATAATACTTTGGCAGTAATCATTGTTGTACATATTGAAATAAATACCTATAAATTGTGCTGTTACTGGCAACAAGAAATACATCCAGAAACTTATCATGCTGTTCGAGAAAGACCTTCTCTATTTTATTATTGCATTCTTCATCATTAAAAATATTCCTAAAATCATTAATCATTAAGTGACATTATGTTATCGATCAGCATGCGATAATAAGGAGTACATACTTGACAAAAACAAGTTGTCCTCTGGTAAGTAAATGTAAACAAGATAAACTTCCATTTGACAGTGTCAAAAATAAAAAAGATCCAACATCCGATATACAATATGATGTTACGTATGAATCAAAGCTAACACTCAATAGTATCTCCTGGCAGATCTCGTTGCTAAATATTGTAATGGTCTTATCAACAGCCACGCAAAGTTTTGCACATTGTATAGAAGCCTGCACCGTAGGATTTGTAGTAACCTTAGGAAACAAAGAATTATAATATACAATACTGTCACTACCTTTAAAGCTCATAAACAACCTGTTCATCCGACTGAATGGTAGCAAGAGTAGAAGCTTCATATATGGAGCCATCATTTTCAGCAACAGTTCTCGCTCCAAAATTTACAGTCTCTTCTTCAGGATCGAAGCCTGATAATATTTTACTCCACATAATATCAAGAGACTTTATTAATATTTACAACACTGACGATATTTTGCCAGAACTAAATTTATCTTCCTCTGACCGTTTAAATTCAAATACTGTCTGCGCGTTCCAAAATACAAATCTCTATCCATATAACAATACCAGCTGCAGTTGGAAAAACTAAACATCCTATTGGCTGCCAATCAGTCGGAAATTATTAGACATCCAATGACGTGTTGTTAATGACAATTAGCACTAGATTGTGAACAGTTTAAATATTCCTATTTTCTACAAAATGAGTGAATAGCTTATTGTTATTCATATATCCACAAGAATACATTCTGAATATATTTGTAAATATTTCTTAGGTTATGCAAAATTGCATAAACATTTATGACGGTTTATTTTTCAGGAAATATTGCGGAAGTGATGAATTGTACGTCGTACGAAGAGATATTGGACGAAATGGCATCCTGTTTACGCCTATGATCTCACAACTGTAATTTTACAACTAGAAAGGCTGCAATGCGTTGTTGTTGTAAATAAACGATCGGCTAATCAGTTGAATCAGTTTTATAACGAATAACGACTTATAGATCTCATTTATCTAATCTGAGTTATGTATTGTGGATCGAAAATTTTTATTTCTAAACCAGTGGTAGTTAGATTTGAGCTACGTTCCTGGTGCTGAATGAGAGTTATAAAATGACAGTGTAAAAGAATTTACGGAAGGTAACGGGCTATGATACCTAAAAACTATGTGAAGCTTCTAGGTAATGAGTTAGCCGAAAGATTAGAAGATTCGTTCGCTTTATATAAGTAATATTTTTTATTATTCATAGGCGTAGTGTCCAGGAACTTCTTTGGAACGTGGAGTTAAAAAAAAACTATTCATATTAAATGACAATCTAGATTCTTATCTATGAAGAGATAGATGGAGAACGTGAGTGTAACCAATGAATATAATTTCAAGAGTGCACGAGTGCACATATCGTTCGAGTGTGTCCAGTGTTAATTGTCTTGAAATGATATCGCGGGTCTCATCTTCGCGGGTTGTGTTTCCTAGCACAGGATCATGAAAATGACTTGAGAAACAGCTCGTCGACAGCGGCTCTCTTATACTTGGGTGTGTACTTGTTTAAGTTACCCTTAAAGTGATGATATGAGCAGCGACTCCCATTCCCGCGATAATCCTAGATTTGAAAACCAAGTGTAACTGGAAGCAGAGAACATGGAATATCGTCTACTCGACGAGGATGCCTGGTGTTATTGGGTCGTCTCCGTTGGGGCTTTATTCTCCTTCGTTGCCCTGGTTGCTGCTTGCGTCTGTAGCTGTCGCCGGAATGAGAATAAGTATGTTACTTATGTTTTACCTGTACTACAACAAAAAGGGTTCAATGCTTGTCCTATGATTGTCTAATGTACTCCTGTTTTTATGGTACTTCTTAAGAATGTACATATATCATACATGTAACGGACCTGGATGCTGTACTTGACAATGATAACTCTATCGTGACAGGAGCGAGTTTCTGGGACTTGCGGGTATGGTAACAATCGCCCATCCTGACAATGAAGGTTTCAACAGAGTGCCAACAACGGATGCTTCCCAGCCTGTTACACAGGATACCACTGATGGAGGAAAAAGGTTTCGAGCAAAGACCTGGCATGGCTGCATGTGGATTCTACCAGCTAATAAACATTTAACCCATATTGATTTACTGTAGAGCATTCCAATCGCTGTAATCACCCAAATTATTAAAATACTCTTCATGTACATATTTCCTTGCAGCTTACTATGGATATGGATGCTTTTCAAATAACAATGCCTTAATCTTTATGTCACTAACAGTGTTTATTAGTATCCCCCACTTCCTTGGGCGCAGGACTCACCACAGCATTTATAAGACCTTTAAGTGCCTTGCACAATGAAATTTTTATTCACACTGAACTGCATGAACAATTTTTTGTTGATCGTCTAAGCATATTTTTTTCATACAGATCCACAGGAGCAAACAGAAGTCTTCCAGACATTCCAAAGGATAAAAGTGCAGCACTTGAGAATAGGATTGAAGCTAACACCCAGGACATAATCTACGAGGCGAACGAGACCATCGGTGATCCATCTGAGCTGTATGCAACTGTTGAAGATAAAGGTACCTTAACTTCTAGATAGGAAATTTATTTTTGAACTATTTACAGCAAACAGTATTTTCATGCCGTAGGTGATGCAAGAAAGCATGTCAGAGAAATACCAAGCATCTCCCAACAAAGTTCCCTTGTTCAGGATGACGCTGTATCGCCATATGCAAGATTAAAAAGTCCCAACTCTAACAATGGTATACTTAAATTTCATATTGACCTTCTATATCTTCAATTTTTTGATTTAATTATTGCATGCTTCAGTGTACCTATCATCGCAAAAATTAATCCTATTTTAGATGAACATCCTTATGCCCAAGTTCAAAATATTCAGAAGACTGAGGCTAATTCACAAAATAGGTAATTCCAGTGCTATGCAGCTGGTACTGGCTTTGCTTTCGGAGGATTACTATATTCTCTAACAGTGACTAACATCTAATTGACTCTTCCAGGAATACGACCACCCACTTGATAGACACTAATAAGCCATCAACCTCGAGTAATCATACAAACTGCAATCCCGTCGCGCCGCCGCGAACTCGCAAATCCTCATCGCACAATTCTCTCCTGAATGTAGAAACTTCGTTAGACATTCAAGCAGCCAGCGCCATAACCGGTGGAGTCCAGGCCAATCAGGACTTGCCCTATATGACACCACCGATTCTAATGCCTCTACCGCACCCACCACAATCCCAGCACGAGAGTCCGCAGCAACATTTCAGCGGTGATTCACAAGATTCGAGTAAATTTTTCGCTGATTAGAAACAAAGAAAATCATAACCATCTATCGTAAAGTGTACACGTGCTTACGTCTTTTTGCAGAAGGTTATACAAGCATAAGTGTACGGGAACCCTTGGCCAATATAATAGCTCAAACTAAAGCAGCACAGCAGCAACGTCAATCATCGCGGACTCTCACGGATCCACATTATGCCACAGTTTCAGATGATTCAGGTAGCAGAATATTATGGAATAAGATATATCATTAATCAAACTATATCTCAATGAAATAATATTTTATTCAGATGAAATGTATGCTGCCATCGACGAACAGGATAAAGTTTACACTAGTGGTAGCGAAACCTATGCTCAGATCCAACCAGCAATTGTGGATCCAGTCAGAACTACTCAGAGTGATCAACCTAATGTCAATCAAACTTCACATCTTGAGGAGTCTCATCCGTCCGCTCCGCAGCCACCGAGCGTAGACAGTCTTCGCCACGTAGCTCATGCCCACTCCAGACAAGGTAAAATAAATCAACCAAAAGTAAAATCTATCTGTGGCTTAATCTGATGCCATTTATCTGTATAGCATCATCTTCGAGTGCCACCAGCTCCGTCGCCAATCTGGGTTCGCCAAAACCAGAGAAACGACAAGCCAATTCTCCTCTACCTCCACCACCCGAAGGAACAAACGACGTCTACGCGTTGGTCGATAAACGCGGTAAGGGTGGCGAGGATCGTTTAAGATCAAGCGTATCCTCAGGAAAGTCCTTAGAAGACATGTACGCTAAAGTCGTGAAGAAAAAGCGAGACACCGAAGACGAGGTACAGGATGCTGCTATAGTCGGCAATGCTAACCAAAATTCTGAGATGCCACTGCCAAACAGAAAGCTCAGCCTAATAGAAATTAGTCGAGCCTCATGGTCTAGTCACGATTCCGTAGAAATACAAAAACGCGAGCCTGAAGGTTCGCACTTTGCCGCAACAAATCCGACAGGAAATTTTCACAACGAGGTAGATATTGATTATCTAAAGATACAAAGAAAATCCGAAGGTGACGCCAGTCGATCTACTTCCGGTTTTGATCATGGCTACGAGGCGGTGGATACAACTCGTAAGAGCGCTCCCGTGACAAGGACTATTTCCGGAAATGATCCGAACTACGAAGTGCTACGTCCTCAGTATTCCAGGGTAGAGGATTCTCATCATCAAGGAAACTCTAAAGTCATTAGAAATGGTATAGATGTCCTTCCCATGTATTCATTACCTTTTAAGCACAGACAAATCAGTAATGCCAGTAGCGAAGATCCTGGATATGAAAAAGTCAGATTAAGGAGGAGGATCGACCTGGACCAGGATACTGATTCCGAACCAAATTATGAGAGTATGCCGCACGATTCCGGGGAACCAAATTACGCGTCAGTTTGTCGACCTGGTGACAGCGATACGGATCCTAATTACGAGTCGGTGAGTCACAGTGATCCGAATTACGAGAGCGTTAAGTATATGAGCGTTACGCAAAATGAGGATCCTCCTTATGAGCAAGTGAACAATTATAAGCAGATTGATGCTGATCGTGATGGTTATGAGAAGGTTCGAATTAATCGAACTGATAAAGGCATCGATTCTGATTATGAAAAGATCAGTTTGAATTATTCTGTTGAACAATCCAATGACGGAGAAAGCGATGACGAACAATACGTTCAGGTCTAATTTAATTCCTGCGAATGACTGATCGATGACGATGATGTACGAAATAAAATGGCTACTTTCATTGCACGGGCGAATATCATGGAAGAGTTTATCTTTTTGATATTTACGTAAATTTACCAAAAATCTGATTTGATGTTCGAGAAAAAATGTCGTTTAATTAATATATCGATCAGATAATAAATTTCGACTTTTAGTCTAGTATAAATTTTGAACTTTATCTTTTTCATTATTCCAATTGAAATATACATGCCTGTATAATATTGCAACTGCCTTGACATTATGGGGAGGATAAGACTGAACAGTGAGACAAGCTTAACAAGCGAAGGATTCTTTGTCGCACAATTACTTTGTCATTATATTATTATACTCAGGATGTTATATCAAGAAAGCGTATATCGAGTGAGAGATAAAGCCAATTTTATTTCATACATCTCGGGCGCCAATACGTTGTCGTTTATAAACGTAATCGCAGAAAAACGCATGGGGAATTAAATTCTTTTTCGTCGTCGTACGTTTAATGATTCCATTAATAATTCCATAGTGACGAATGAGAACTTCAATTTAAATATTATCAAAATATTTCAATTAAACTATTGGAATCACTAGACATAGTTTTACATTAATACAGCTCGCTGTAACACATGTAAATACTATAGCATATTTTTCATATTGTATTTGCATAGCTGAACGATATATATTATTTATATTTATTTATTAATACGTGAAATTACGCGTATCGATTCGACTAAGGCAAAACAACGATCCGCCATAAGTCATAATAATTTCTGATGTTCATTTCATATTTCTTGTTGTAAATTTATTCATTATTTTTTTTTAATTTTTTAATTGATCGCTCGAACGTACTAAACGTAATTCATCGAAGGATAGAAGTAAATGAAAGAAAAAGGAAACGAAAGTGAGCAATGCCTTTATCATAATCGATCAATTAAGTGATCTATATTTTTTTATACATTATATTGGCTCTTGGTATATCAGCTGGTCTGTTTATAATTCCAAATCGATCAAACACGATAACAATTGCTAAGATCTTTGCCATTGTTAAGTTTTCTTTGGGACTATCAATCAGTCTTATTAAAATTTCACTTCGCTTCACTCCTCACTCTAACGATGAAAATCAGCATATTCTATATAATAGCATGGGGCAAGAATAGAAAAAGAATATATAAGCTCTGGTGTGGAAAGTTACCTTGTGACAATGTTGATAGACCAAATGTCTATTGACATTTTTAGTTGAACATTCTAAAAGTTCATATAACTTTGTACCAATAAATTTCATATAGCCTATTCGTAGTTGTTGCAAAGAGAGTGAATTTTGTCAAAGAGATAATAACACCATGAGTAAACATAAAAGCATAAGAATCATGCATAAAACTAATAGTACGGTTAACAATTGGCTTTCGGATTAGAGCTGCATTTGGAAATTCCAACCAGCACCAACTCGTAAGCCAATTGTAACCATATGAACAATGGCTACGAAAGCCTTAAAAACTTTAACTGATAGTATCTTTTTAATTTCTTTTTATTTCAATATAAATAAAAACGTTTATATATTTATTGCTTTTTCCAAGATATTTGCATAAGTAATCGTGGACATCCAACAGCTAAGGATACTCGCCAGGAAGAACACTCTGAGGAAATGTAACAACTATGAGTAAGGTTCTTGGGCTGTAATTGCACAACTAATGCTCATCCATGCCAGCAAGGACTGTACAAAAGAATAATAATATATAACATCAGCTATCACGTTATTCAAGTTTGCATTGACATAATAAGCACATATTTGTATCTTGCGCAATGATAAATCCTGCAATTCCTCGCTAATATTTCATGCCTGGGATAACCAACAAGCTTTTATCCAAAAATCACATGAACAGATGCATTTAGATTTTATCATGGTCCTAATAGTACAGAGAATGCGTAAGGTGACTTTTACGCAAAATAATAAATAATAAGTAAAAGAGAATCCCAATGGAAACTATTGTTAATAAAATATTGTTAGAAACGAAAATATGGTCATTGATGACCGATATACTATTTTCTTAGAATTATATTCCTTCTGCGTAGGAAGGCCTTTCGTACCGTTATTGAGTGCAATTGCCAATCGTGTAATACTTTTGTGACTGATATATGCTAGATAATGATGACGATAATAATAATATTAATAAGTATAACAATAATCATGCCTACTAACACTTATATTGTAGAAGGGTAACCAGAAATTCATCGCCCTGATGACATTATAACGACTCATTAAGAAAGTATAATATATTATATATATATACGTAACTAAAAAAAAAGAGGAAAAAAGTTGAGCCCCCAGTGGCTTTATACAACAGACAGATGCCATTCCGTTAAATTACATAATTAAGAGAACGACAAAAAGGAAATAGAGGAAAAAAGATTCCATCTAAATTCTGTATTCAATAATGTTAAAATTTGCATTTTTCTAGTTAAACGTTAAAAAACTTTATATACAGTCGAAAGGAACGTCGTTGGTACTTGTAACTTCGAAAAACTCTAACGGCATTCGCTTGTATATAACATGATATTTTATTAATAGACAATTTAATAATGAAAAGAAAAAAGCGTGGTACTCATTCGCAGGAACCTCTTTTTCATACCTCTTAATATTCAGCTGACACTTAGTATGAATATCGACAGTGACATAGGAGATTAAGGAGTAGCGTCGATGAATATGAATAAAATGGAGTTTTTTGATTTTGATTAAAAAAATGTATTATTCTCATTATCGAGAATTCGTTTCATAGACACCACATTGACAATTCGCGTGTTATGGTCTCTAGGTCGGTTAACAATGTAAATGCTATAATTACTACTTACATTAATTACATTATCCTTAGTTATTAATAATAATTATGTATATATATATATATTTATTTATATTTATATATATTGTGTTCTTATCGAAAAACAATTGCTATCAATGCTTGATGATATTCATCCCATGTTCCGTAGGGGAAAAAAATCTTCAACTGTCTTTCCTCTTTCATCGGTTAGGCAAATATTTCGTTTTCCGTCTTTTACTCTGTTCGCACCGCTGGCACGTGATGTGTGAAAGTGGATCTAACTTATTCATATCTGCTTTGACGTGTATAAAAAATTGACCGAGTCTGGGATACACCGAGTATTAGCGCGTATTTCAAGCCGACGAAAAGAAGAAAAAGAAGAAGAAATGCGTATTGGCATAAAAAGTACAATTATCAGGACAAAGTTGGCTACTGCACTGCGCGATGAGAATCGATTGAGTACCTGTCAACGTATCAACTGCAATTGAACTTTAAATTTCAATTAATTTCCTAATCAAACAATTGTACGTATTCGTTGATCACTGTATTTAGTCCAAATTTTAGCACTCGATATTCTAATCATCCTGTTCCTATAGGGTGACTGAAAAGGCTGATCGACGGCTAAATTCTTTAATACAGAAGTCAAAGAATGTTTATTATCGACGAATTAAGAATTTAATTAAAGTTCAATATTTAATTGGCTACGATGCAATACAGTGCCAATTGTTGCTTCGTATATAAAATACCACTGTCAAGATTAGCCAGCAAACTTTGTCCTGCTACATAATACAGTAATCCTCGCGGTAAGTGCACGATTCCCCTCGATCGGTCGATGATAACACTCCCCCCACCTGTAGCCTTAAATTACCCCTCAACTTACGGTCTACTGCACGGAAGGGCGTAGCAACAGTCTGGTCATCGTGCGGAATGAGGGTAACTCGCTAAGTACGCATTTCCTTCCCTACAACCTCATGGGCGTGAACTTAGCGAGAGGCTACTGTATATACGCATAGTAAGTGCATACAAAGACGTCTGAGGTATAGATGATTCTTTACCATAATGTAATAGTGAAAAATCCTACAGCACGTTACAAGTAACGCTTTCGTGTAACAGGAGGGTCAAAGAATTTGTACAATGCTCAACGGTGAGAAAACTCAACAAGTTGAAAAAAAATGCTTCACGCAAGTCGCCGATTAACAAACTCACAAAATGTTGCTCTGCAACCATGCTATACCTGCTAGCATGATAAAAAATACATATGAGTGTATTATTACTATTATAATATATATATATGCCCAGCAATAACACAACTGTGCGTGGACAGCGAAACAAGCACGCATAGTTTTACTCATTGGCCCGGGGTAGAAGCGTGGAATGCCTGAGACACCCTGAATTCAATGCTTTTCAATTGGAGAACAGAATTGCGCGTAACCATTCCCGGGTTGACAATGTGGCCATTGAAATTTTTTTGATAAAGCCCAAAATCATTTTCTGCGACTTCCATCGTTATGGCTGCTATCAATGGAAGTACATAACACAGTTACATACATAATTGCTCTCTCGTTCTCCGTAGACCTTTTTCTCTGTCCACCTCGATTCTCTACAGGCGACCACTCTTCATTCTTAAACGATATCGTACATCGTTGATCAATTTTTGGAAAATCAAGGCGGACGGATGTATTCCAGCCTGTTTACGCAGTCATGCGTTGCGGTGTTAATTTTTTTTGCAATGATATATATGTCACTTCGCTAACGAACGGCTGACGCTTCTGAGACAATTAATTGCAATTTCTCGGAAATTTCTAATGATTACAATTGATCTTCGTTATCGAATGGTAGAAAGTTCATCAGCGGCGTCGTTACATAATTATGTTAAATTGCACGTGCAATGTCACGAGGTAAAGAAAATATGTACAAGTTCACTTGGATCACGCGGATGCACTTTTGAGTTGCAAATCTATAAGAAAAGTGTGTTTGCGATAAATAAATCTAAAACGCAGCAAAGCAGCTTTTGCAAAGAGAAGAATTGTTCCGTCGTCTTACGGATAAATTAATGCATCTAGAGATTGCATGATCGCAGATAGACGTCTGATGACACAAGTTATACTATCTTTCGTATTTGTCTGCAGTTCGCTAATTAATGCGATGAATGCATATCCGTCTTCCATATCTTGTTTGTTATTAATACTGTAGCCGTTACGATATTGATATTCTGGCAAAATAACTTGCGCTTCCAAATCTCTCTCTCTCTTTCCTTACGTATATAAATTCTTCACGAATATCGTTATTCATCAAATGAAAGTCAGGCAGCAATTGCATAAAGATGCATACATGTGACACAGAATAATGGCGACTACGCAATTCACATACATATAAACAGTCACGTGACATGGGCGTCATTAATTACTTCGTTTACCCCAGATGTGGCCTGATAATAAACTTAATATCTTTTTGACATTTTTGTCGTTACTTGTGTCTCTTAATTCTTTGGTCTCACAGTCAGTGTTACGCTACGTTTCTCTCGATCGCTTAATTTAATTGAGACGCAAGTCAACACGAGCGGGCACGTGCGTCCCTGGAAACCTTTCGATGCTTTGCTACAATTAAAATGCATCTTATCTCGTTGCAGCAACCCTTATCACACATGCTCACTCGCGTACTTAATGCGGGATTAACCATACCTTGCATCCTATTACAAAGCATATCCAAATCCTCGCTTATAATTCGGCTACTCGTAGGAGAAACACTCGCAGGTACCGCCAACACACGTTTAACCTCTCTGTCATAATTTTCCACATTTACCATCTCGTTAGCATTCAAGTTGTCATTCTCAATAAATTTTCATACCCGCGATAAGAAATGTCATTTGTTCTTCACTTCGTTAGCTTTCGTCATTTGCTTTTTACTCTCGATCTCACATTATATCGATACTCTGCATGTTCACGTTTACGAGTTCGTCGAGTCCAGTCGAGTCACTAAGGCTGTAATCGAGGATGCGAGAGAGGATTCGTTAATTCTTGACTTTCCTTTCGAATATTAAAGGGACCTTGGTTGTGTGATTATTAGTTACACCTTTATGGATGCGACTAGTGTTATTTTTTATTATTAATATTAATATTATTATTCTTTTATTTTCAGTTTTTATTAAATCTCGATTTCTCGGAGGAAAACATGCACGGATTGTAATATCGCATGTGTTCTTACTTTATAATGCACTGAATACCGTCTAAATTCCGTAATTCTCATTCCTAGTCCAATCAATAGTCCCGTGGAAGCGCGTTATCGTTATCTTTTTTTTCTTTGTTCTTATTTCCTAACAAAATACTCTACTCGCGTCTGTTTGAAATTTTTTAACTGTCGATCAGCATTATTCGCTCAGCGTTACTCATGCGCTGTTCTAGTATTTCGTATTTCTTTGTTTTCTTTGCTCTTAGCGACTTTTTCTCACTCTCTCTCTTTTTTTAGTATTTCGAAAACATGAATTATGTACAACTATTTTAATTACTAGTATTTATAATTCACTTGTTCACTGCATTGCGCGCTACTCAAATAATCCATTGGATCGATTGCCATTACAATTGTTTATCGATATTGAGTTCTTTGTGCTCAGTTTTTTATACGACTTTAGGATAATCGTGATGCCTTTGTGAAAGTTTTTGGAATATATGTATTGTTTATTACGATTGTATTTTTCGTTTTCGTTTAAAGTAAATTATTTGTTTTTGGCTATCAATCACAGATGAACACATTGCACATGGAAAACTATATGTATACTATGTGCATGTTTCATTTCACATAAAAGAAAGACATACCATAAAGTTTTCTTGTTATGGCTTCTATACGAATTTTATATAATGCTTATGGGTTGGAATGAAACGAGTGGAGAAGAACGAAACAAAAATTGAGTAAAAATGAATTTTAAAAAATGGTGTATACCACCTGCTACTCGCTTTACGTGAATTCAAAATTTTTCTTTTTTCAATATGTAAAAGTGTTCCGGCGCGGCTTGTGAACGTGTTATAACCTTAATTAGTGACGTGATTAAAAAATAATATAATTCTTTTTACCTCACAGCCTACAATTCAATAAAACGAAACGCTTCGTATATTGCATGGCTACGTCATTCGTACTGACATGCCTAAAATGAGTGCAAGCAATGTTTTGAAATTTTCGAAATATCCGAGCAATCATATATACATATATACTTAAGTAGTACTAAATTCGCAATAACAGTGATAAATAATTTATAACACAATTTTTCTTTGCATATTGTATTAACACTAGAAACTGACTAAACGGCCAACGTGAATCGTCGACTGGAATAAAGAAAATGGAAGAAAAATTATCCGTACGGTGCAATGAAAATGTTTAGTTGCTCTCTGTAGTAAAAGTTTTCTTCTTTTTCTTGTTTTTGTGCGGTTTTGCTTTATAGGAAGCGCAAAACTATTGTTTGCCGGTATATCTTGTTATTCAGTTCGACGATGCTGTGGTAGATGGTAAGGAATGTCACTTTTTTTTTTCATTTTTAACACCCACAGCTTCATGCATGAGAACGTTAACTATTGTGTTAATGAGTATCACATAATTTTTCCTCTCATTCATTTTAAAGAAATTTGAACACAGCGGTTCGATATTATAAAAATTTTACTAGCGTATGGTTGCAATTATATTTCCTTTCTTCGTTTCTTGCTCTTCCACATTTCCGCTTGCCTCTGTCCTTGTTCTTCCTTTATGTTTAACTCGTTGCTTCTTTCCTGCCGTTTCTTTTCTTCTCTTTAACGCACTTTTATACCTTTCTTTTTTCTCGTTAAATCTCTACCGTCAATTTCCGTTAAACACTACGGAAATGTGAAAATTGCACTTAAGAAGTTCTTTTAACGCGATGAGCAACGTATCTTCAGCTTTTTTCGTTACATTCTTTGAATTTGTCAAAATTACTTCTCTTCTTAATCTCACGCACCACTTTATGTTTTATTACTTCGTAATTCAGTTTATATCCAGTGCATAATGATGTATGGTACCATTTATTTATAATAGTTTAGAATATACTTTGGTATAGCTCCAATGGCAGCGTTTAATGTGAAATATATATTTATATATTATATTTATTAAATATTAAATTTCTCTCTTTTTTTTTAATTATCCTTTAGAATTTAGAAAATTGCCAATCAGCGTCTCTTTAACTTTACTTGTCGTGCGTTAATTATTTTAATCAAATTAACATACGATGCTCGAAACTGGACAAAATAATACAATTTTGAAAAAAAAATTTTAAAAACACTCGGAACGCCTCAATTATAATTACAAGGAAACCCCCAATTTTCGTTTTCACCTTCATTTTTCAAGCATCTTTGAGTGTCTCCAGATTTTTAAAAATCATTCAAAAACGATGACGAGAAAGATTTGAGCTCTTTTGAAATCACCAAGAATATTAGCTGAACGATCGTTATTAGTTCGCTTACTATAATTATAGTATAATAACGTAGATCCTCTTACAGCTATATTACCGGATGACAATAATTAATGCGTTTTGTAGATCTTCATCATCTTCCTGATAGATCATTATACTTACAGTTAGTTCAAATACACACGCTTATACTCTAAATCGGGTGTACTCTGATTCTACGTGCCAATTATTAAAAATCAATGAAAACTCATATATACGTATGCAAAGAATATACAGGGTGTACGATTAATCATCATCAATTATAATATCCATATACGTATGCGTACACGTGTAATACGATCATTTACATAGGTACCATGTGTATATTGCTGTACATTGGGTGATGATCGCGAGGATGCGTAACAGAGAGAGAAAGAAAGAGGGAGAGAGAGAGAGAGAAAGAGAGAGAATATCCAAACAGATATTAAAAAATCAAATAACAAAGATATCTAGGCAGTGATGAAAATCATCAAGTCAAAACGAGCGTCTGTCTATTAACAAAATGTACACCGTATTCATTAACCAACCGAAGGATCATCGGATGATCAACATGGATTCGTAACGGAGGCTCGATATTTGTTCTCCTCGCGACTGAAGAGAGATCCGCGAAAACCCGAGTACGATTTTATGAAATTCTTACAAAAATGAAAATGCCAACCGAGCCCCCTTAGCGTATGGTCATTAGGATCATCCGAAATTGGATCATTCGTTCATTGGATTGGCCGGGCCTAAACGATACACAAGTATCATCAGTAGCAACTATACAATAGGTCGTTAGGTATTTTGTGATTTTCGTATACCATTTTTGTTAATTATATTCGAAAAAATTGCGTCTAGAACTTCCATAGTAACTGGCGATACGACCAGCCATACTCTATTTGTATTAACTCACGATCCACCTGAAAGACACTTTTTCTGTTCCGATAAATCACGCCGATTTCATGACGCGTCCTCGCGCAGAGAATGACAAGTTTAATCCTTTTGGATACACGTAATCGATTCGTTGCAATATATGTTTACATTGTTTTAAATATATATATTAAAAATGACTCTGTCACTCTTTAATCTGTCCGCTTAAACAGTGTCATCGATGACACTTTTCAACTAGACAAAAATGAGCTTGTGTCCATTCACGTAAGCTACGTCCAGATTTCGATTGTTTAAATAGTCTTTAAATACTTTCCATACGTTGACTTATCGATAGCGCGTCAACTGTACACGAGTAGCATACGAACTTTTTACACGTGAAGAAAATCGCTTGCTATAAACGAATATTATTGCACTCGTTACCATACAAATTATTATTGCAAAGGATATCAACGAAGATCGGTATGTAACGCGGGAGTGCTTATCGTTATCATTCCTAGTGAACACATTCCCCACAGTCTCAGACACTCTCATCCTGTATCTCTCTCAATTTACAACACCTGGCAATCATTGATATTCGCGAATGAGCCCGGGATAGGAATTACACAAATTAAAAAAAAAAAAAAAAAAAAAAAAAAAAAAAAAAAAAAAAAAAAAAAAAAAAAAAAAAAAAAGAAAAAAAAGAGATCGGATAAATCCAAGCCCACGGGCTCTGATCGATATCCAGATAAAATTTCAAAGGCTTCGCAAGAGTCCAAGTCCAGGTACGGCGAGGTCGAGGATCGACAGCGCAATCCCTGACCAGCGTTAAAAATGCATCGACCTGAAGGTAGTCGCAATGATTAATCGATCATGACGCGTATGAAGATTGACGTATGTCGCGTTGACGTAAAATCAGAGCATTCTACGTGCTAGGTGTCAAATATCTACACTAGAGTTAATTAATATTTATAACATTATACAGTTTACGATTAATAATGTTAGCTCGACGCACGGCTACTGTGTTTGTGTGTTAACGCAATCGTTTGGTGTATCGTTATGAAGTGACGTGGCCATGTTGAATTCGTATGCAGTGCATGTCCCAGGGTCTCTGGATTAATCGTTATCGATCTGACAAATCAATCTAACGCTTTGGTTATCGTGATATCCTCGCGATGAGCATGCTGACGGCTGTTGATGGCGCTGAATAGGCTGCCTTCGTTCGGCAACAATAACAACAACAACAGCAACAAATTACACATTAGAAAGAGTCCGGGGAGCAACGTGGGAGAACGCGGCGGGTGCGACTTAAACCACGCTGCGAGCATCCGCGGTCACACGCTGTCCGGGCTGCTGGCCTCCTCCTCGCACACGTGCTCCACTTCGCTCTCACTCGGTGGACTTGGATGCTGGAGCTGGTACTGATTAAAGCTATGGCTGTGACTGTGACTGTGGCTCTGATGATGATGCAGCAGGCTGTGATGATGATGGCAATGACGTCGCTCCTCGACCCTCTGCTGCAGATCGTCGATGTGGACCTCCTGGACGCGTCTCTTCAGCTTCCGATGACACAGCAGACACAGGATCAGAGCTATCAGGACGGCACCGGCGACACACCCTGCTGGTACTGCGTAACTGTCAGGAGGTACCACTATAGCACCTGGAATATCGTATAGAATTAATTACAGGGTGATCTGATAGTCATATTCATCCTGATATACAGAGAATGCCATTCGGCACATTGTGCCTAATTTATTTAATCGTGTCTATCTTTGGTTTTATCATACAGTCAAGTAACATTGGCACGTGACCTTATGGTGAGAACTCGAGGAACATGTGAAATCGTACGAGGTGTACTCGTTGAGCTTAGCTTTCCGAAGCAAAGCTCTATCCGACTGTCCTCTGTGTATTTACATGAATGTAAAAGGAAGTACTACGAGTATAGTAAGGAGACGAAGTAGAGATCATAGCGTCAAAAAGATATGTCTTACAAGATCTGCATAGAGTAAGAATAATCGCATGCATTTGTAGAAGATAATTAAAAGCATGTCAAGTCACATTCAATTATCATTTCATGCATTCTGTTATTAAGGATGGATAGTTAAGGGAACGTAAAGCCGTACCTACGAGCATCTACCTTCCCTACGTTAACCTTATCATTTTATATTTGTCTTTTAAATCTTCATCGTCTCGAAGGACGACTGGTAGTGTCTCTTCTTTTAACGTTAGCCAATCTGAATACGACGTTAATGAAGTTAATCGAATGATCCTGAAGAAGGTCTTCGGGATGGCTTGTAAAATTTCTTCTCGCTGTATTTGCATTCGTATTCTCTTTCTTCGTCCTGTCTGGCTCGTGCCACGTGTTCACGCGATATCGTGTGGAAATGTGTGAGTGAACTCACGTGATAAGGGAGATCATAACATGCCGGATCGTCGGAAGCCTCGAGAAGGGCTCAGGTGGCCACGAACACAAAGCACAGAGAGAGGAGAAGCATGGCAGAGACTCCAGCCATTGCTGGTGCCGAGGGGGCTGATGCTGCACCTGCGACACCACACACCATTCACCCACCCAATCCCCATCACTCTCACTTGTACTACTTACCTAGAAAATGTCAAATCTACGCTTTATCGGAACACCCGTGTTAAACGCATTGGCTTCCTATGTCTTATATTTGTTTTTATTCATTGTAATTTACGTTCATTTAAGAAATTTTACCCTTCGGGAATGTAATGGTCTGTCTTTGGAATTTTCATGTGTGTACTTGAATTGAAGATGTCAGAGGATAAATACTTTTTTTTTTTTAAATATTCGTGGTCACCCTTTTCGTGCCATATATATCAGAGTATAGGTTGTTTGTATGTGAACACAAGTCAAGTAATTGGTAATGATACTGTCTCTGATTTTTCTTAATGGATGGAATGAACAGTGGGGCCGAATTGATAGTTTGCAAATAAGAATATGAATGACTATTGTCAAATGTGATACACGTGAGGTTGTTCAAGTAGAAGGAACGTTCTCGCTTGAGGAGCTTAATTTTTTAATGGGATATTAATGAATCGTGTGTTCCATGTTGAGCATGCTACAATGTAAGTCAATTTACACACCGATTTAAAAGGAAACTGACATTTAAGTAGAATCATACTAGAGTTACAGAAACTCGTTTAAGTGTTTGCAAGGCAATTTATAGAAATCATATCTCATACATTTGTAAAGTCCGTAGAAAATGGTGTGTACTAAACAATCCAGAGTTACCACACCTAGTGTTTAGAAGATAGTATAGTAAGGTAATAGTAGTATAGTAATAGTACAGTCGAGGGTAGGTATAGAATAATTTTAAGAAGAGGTGGAAGCAAAATGGACATCGATAAGAGTAGTTACAGATTTCTCTTTGCGTATAACACGTCTCTACCCCTTCAATTCTACTTACAGTTCTCTTCGTCGGAAGAATCGTTCGGTCCACAATTGTCGATGCCATTGCACCGCAGAGATTCCGCAATGCAATATCTGCTTCTCTGGCAGTGAAATTGCCCTAAGCAGTCGGCGTTCGTCGAGACTTCTGTCCACACAGCGCGAAAGCCCTGCTGACCTACCGCCTTGTCGGCCGATATAAAACTGTGAATAAGAAAAATTGTTCAATTCAGATTATGCTATTGGGAACAATATTCTTCTATTGATATACCGTATATTATTAAAATTATTAACCACCTACCTAAGACGCATGTTATTATCGTCCGAGAGATAACTCCATTTAGATTCGGGACTTTTAACGCCACATAGTTCAAGCGGCGGAGTAGATATGGAATACCACATACGTAAAACAGCTGCTGGACAACCTCGAGCTACAATGGCGAATAGAAGAGAATGTATATTGATTGATAAAATTATATAGATTTTTTTGGATATTCAAATAAAGTGACACGGTACCCGACTGTTCGCCTTCCACGGAGAATAGTTCAAAGTTCAAAAGTATTCGATGATTCGGTCGGACGCTTATGAACCAGTTGCATGTTTTACTAGCTAAATTTCGAGCAGGTCCGTCGTACTTGTTTGGAAAATTTGGACTGGTTATCATACCGTAATCCAAGCTGCTGATATTCGATCCACAGTCTAAAATTAATTGGATTTAACAGACAATACAATTTTATTAATAATTTTTATATATTTATCAGATAGTAAAAGTGTACCTCCAAAAATTGATTTGGCAACTTCGAATGTATACCGTGCTTTGAAACCACTATAAACCAGTTCTGAATCTGTGTGTAGGATGACCTTTAACCCAAGAGCACCGAGGTTCGATTCGACGGGTCCTGGCGATGTCATACCGCAGTACCTCCCTATTAATTTTTCCGTACTGTCACGATACATATTATATATCTCTACCCAATCCTCCTGACATATTTGAGGCCTGTTACAAGAATACAAAATCGAAGTTTATTATTCAATAAATTCAGTACTTTTTTTTTTTATCGACAATTCTTACCCGTAAAAGCCGACGGTCGAATTGGCGTTGTCGGCCCTGACTTTAAAGTGGTCGAAGACAAGTGTAACTTGTTCGTTAGGTGTCGCCAGAAATAGATAAGTGCAATTCGTGTCACTTGGATAATTACTTGGATAACGTGGAGAATTGAATTCTCCCTTTTTGCGCGAGGAACTACGATAAGTGAAGAAGCAGCTGCCATCCGGTGCAGCAGTACCCGGTATCCTGTATTCCGTCTCAAAGCTGTATCTATTAAAGTAACAAGAAGAAACATAAAGAATACATTAATTGCAATATGAAAAGATTAAGTTTCCAAATAAGAAACGACTTACTTTGCTTTGAATCCTCTGCCTGACAAGTCACCGCTGCTGAAAACCATTACGAGCCGTGGCCCGTCGCTAACTACGTGGCTCGGATTACTATCTGTGCCGCACAATTCGTAATCGAATTTGTCATAGGAATCAGTAGCCTCTTGACCTTTCAAATATATCTTTAAATAACCGTCGGTGCAGGCCGAACTGTAATTTAAAAATCACTTAACGAACGTTATGGCACTGTAAAGTGTATAGTGTAATATTATTTTCATTACTTACTCTCCCTTGGCTTCACTTCTTGGTACAACGAATATAAGAAATTCAAGCCTGACGCGTTCCAAGTGCTGGGAATCCTGCATACCGTAAATAAAATAACGACAGACTACCTTTGGTATGTAGGGATATGGAAAATTCGGGCTGACCACAAATCCGTATGATTCCTTTTTACTCAAGATTTTCTGATCGCACTCTGATCCTCGGATATGCTCACCACCATAATTGGTTATAAAATCTGTAGAATTAACAAGAATCCTCGTCAATAATTTATTTTTTTTTAATATTATATTATAATTATGGGTACTTCTTCTTCTATCTACTTACCTAACTTGACAAAACTTTCAGAGAATTCAAAGATACCCTTGAATCCACGATTCTGCGTGTTTGCAGTACGCTGCAACGTTACGAAAAGGACATAGAGGCTGGACTCTGACGAATATAGCACCAAGTTTCTCTGTTGTCCACAGTATGTACCAATTACCGCAGACGTATTATCAATGCCATCATACACCTTTACATAATCGAAAGGACAGCTGCAAAGACAAATCAATGAACTTCCGCGTATTCAAGTTACTCTTAAGTCATCTTAAACCATTAAATAAACTCTAAACAAAACTTACTGAGGTCCACCAAAGAAGAGATCAAAGTCTCGAAATTCAAGTCGCACCCGCTGATTAGGTTGCCCAATAAATTGATAGCTACACACAAGATCTTTGGGATAGCTGCCTGGATAAGTAGGAGATAATATATTTCCAGTGCGTTTTATCTGTGCATCCACCGTAAAAGTGCATGGCAAACTAGGAGCAGGAGTTCCGACCTCGTATTCGGCTAAAATAATGAAAAATCAATTATATAAGAATACAAGCGGTATAATTGAACAAATAAATTAAGCACGATCATCAAGGACTCACAAGCATTGATGAAACTGTAACGACCACTGAAAAGATCAGGCAGAGTAACGTTCTTATCAGTATAGAAGCCTAGAGCTATACCCTGATAAAGGGATACTCGTTTTCGTGGTGGAATCGGACCGCAGTAACGTCCTCCAAATGGTGAATCTATCAGCTCAGTAGTATTATCTGAACGCACCTCTGTATACACATCCATATACTCGTGATAGCAGCTGCAATAAATAAGAAAAAAAGAATAATTAAATAATTCGTCAACCCCAAAATGTCTACAAATAAAAATCAAACTCACGCAGGTAACTCGCCAACAGCTGATCCACTGTAAGTAAACAGATGATTAAAAAATATCAAAAGTAAAATATACAACGTTATGTGTCTATATATACATCCTTAGCTAAAACTAAAGACACCCGATATGAAGTATTCCACTTAACGATTTCCTATCAATAAACTTCTAGGACCCTCGAGATGTGTACCTAACGACAAAAGCTGGTAACTTACTCTGGCGGTGTGCCTCGCAGACCAAAAGACGTAAAGAAAATTTCGACACGCTGATCCGGACCAGCGAGAAATGTGTAAATGCACTGCTGCGATTCTCCTGTAGGATTTATCAGGTTGGGTGCATGAAAAGTACCACCATGTGGACCGTCAGGAACGCTCACGAATTTCTGATCGCACTCTGTAAAGAGAAATCAATACTTTAGTACAGAACACTGACTTTTCGCGTAACAATCTAGAGGCAGGACAAGTGGTTAGGTTATGTTGGCGACATGTTGCACGCGTTTGACAGTTACTAGAAAAAACAAACGAATCAATTGTAATTGTTTGATGAACGTACTTGGTGTTTTGGCAGTGGTGAATGGTCCCGGTGGTGGCGGCAGTGACGGAATGTAGTCTTGCTGTGGCAGTGGGACGTCAATTACCTCGCGGGCTGATTTCAGGTAGGACGTTCGTTCGAGAAAGGGAGTCGAAGAATATCCACCGCCACCGGGAACACACCACACCATATTAATATTATACATTGACATAGAGATTTATGTATATTTAATTTATATAGAGCAAGCGTGTATTTTACTTTAAATTTTGATTTCTAGCTCCATCGCTACTATCGCATTTATTTATTTCTACTTTAAATCGAATAAAGGATGGATTTTTAGTCGAGAATAAAAATAAAAACAGAACCAACCTGTAGTGGATCGTGGACAGAGCAGCAGGAGGAAGATGAAGGTAGGTGAAACGAAACTACTCCCAGAGGCATGCCAGAGTACTGAAGCCATACTGTGTCCTGCAATCATATTTTATTGAGAAGCTTAGTACTCGTGGGAGAATAATTTTCTTATAAAAAGTTTTCACTCCCATCGAATCACTCACAGAAATATACTGCTGAGATAAAACACGTAAATTTATATCTACTTGAATAACCGTCTCAGATAGGTTGGCGTATACGTTACTTTGTTTTAGAGATGAGGAATTTATTTTTTATATATTATTATTTTACCATATCGTCAGTGGCTGTTCCAGGCACAGGAAGAAGGAGGAAAGCTGATCCAGGTGATCATCTGAAAATTAAGAAAATTTTAATTAAGTTATTAGCCCTAGAACTGGCGCAGGTTTTTTTAACCATTCGGGCGCGTGGGCTGTCTGTGACACGCCGTTTAAAAATTGTTATCCTTAATAAGGTTTCGCCAAAATCTGGTCAATTGTTACTCGTTAGCATCGTGTGACGTGTTAAAAACAGAGCACGGATAATTTTGTTGAAAAAAATATGTATTACCGTTAATATATTGAAAATCTCACATAAGAGTCGTAAATCAATTTATTATGGCAGTGTTTCAAAAAATTATTCATACCAATAAACCAACTGCATTTTCGTCATGTTTTTTCATTTTTATAACCTAATTAGTCATTATTATGATAACAATGATATTCTTAGTTCATATTGCTTGGTTACGATAAATACCTATCATTGCCGAAAAAACCTTCAGCGGGATTACAAACGTAAAACAGGCACGGGGGATGTTACTGACACCCGAATCACTTTTGTCGTGCTCGTACACCTTCTGAGTCCGTTCCAGATATTATGTAGTACGTAGGTTATATTCTAGAGCGTTTAATTTAAAGATATATGAAACCACAAGTCGGTAAAAAAATCTCCCGAGTTGTGAGCTTCGATCTTCGGCCACTGGGGTGTCTGGAACACCGGGAACACCCCACGCGCCCGTTCTCAGGTTAATATTCTTTTACGTTCATACGTTGTCATTACAGTATGGAAAGTTCTATATGAACTCTCTACGTCAAAGGTATTCTTGGTTAGGAATATGAATATGCATAGCTAATCATTATGCATTAAATAGGGTTAACTATGGATGTATATATATCGTAAGTCTTCCTCTAACAAGTCCTCGCAACATGCGTTAAGGCTTGAGGTCAAACAATAGACTGTACATACAAGTGTCAGGTTAGACACTGTCCTATTGACCGTGTAAAGTCTTTATATAGCGAATGGATTATAATTAAATTGTATACTGTGTTATGACGACAGACAATCCGAGTGACAATTGATATCGTTACCATTTTATCCAACGGTATCGATATCTGTGGAATCTCATTATTACGTAATGGATCTTTCGATGCGGTAATGCAGACAAATTTCAAACAATCGAATTCCGTTATATATGTATACGTATAGATACGTGCATGTAACAGAGTTATTACAAGGAATATTTTGTATCATTTTTGACTTAGAGTTACTAAAAAACTGGCCACACTCTATAGAATGAAATACGACAAATGCTTTAAAACGTACGGGGTTTTGAAAACAAATATATATAATTTGTATACTTATAATAGGGTTGATAACAAAAATTGCGTATCCTCTGAATTAATGGGAACACTGTATAGATGTATAACACTGGGTGTAAGAATGGTTTTTATGCAAATTTATGCAAATATTACAAAAAATGCATTAATTACCGAATTATTCGTACCTTACAGTGACGATGTAAACAAATACGTGTTGTCTGTCGCCCAAGGACCCGACGATTACAATCCCTCAAAAAAAGAACTTTTCCTGCGATTTTTCGTACACTGGACCTTATTATTCTTCTCTCAACTTATCTCTCTCTCCTTCGAACACGACCTACCACTCCCAGCACAAATGCTACACTGATTTTCCTTCGTTCGCTTCCTCTGTCATGCCTCATCTTTGTACCTTTAATTTTGATTCTCTCTTTTTTTTTCTCTTTCACTCGATTATCTCGCTCACGCCTTTTCAAAATAAAAATACACAACACCGCTCACTGTGATAATCAGTGCCCGCTGATCAGTGAATATTATCGCATTAATTAACCCCACTTGCGCATCGCTCACATACGAATGTGTAATACAGAAAAAAAAACTGTAAAATCTTATCGTCAAGTTTTCTGTTAGAATAAGTTTTTTTTTACAAATAAAGAAGTAAACCTACCACGCCCTTAGCACACGCGCATACCCCCAATTCCAATATCAGTAAAATATATATATGTGTATATATATTCCACGAGTAGCACAGCAGAATCAAATTATCGAAAAATTCGAAAATCAAATAACAAACTTATAAAAAAAAGTCAAAATGACTTCAATTCTAGAATTAAGTCAAACAAGTACAAATAGGGTCAAGTACGTAAACACACGAGTCACGCACATACGTACACGCAGTTCACACGTGCCAAAAGACTCCATACACGTATCGCAACAGACCTGAATGAAATTCTTTGCAGATATTAGAAAAAAAAAAAACGAAAAACGTGAATGGGATTTTTTCAAAAATTTGTATTATCCGTGTCCACGATAAAAAAGAAAAGATAAATTTGCCACGCCCTTAGCATGCATACCGACTCTAATACGGGTACTAAAACAATAAACCTCCTCGGCCAATCAAGTCGAGGACATTAACAGGGAATAAGATGATGGAAGCAGCACTTATAATTATAATTAAATAAAAAAATAATGAAAAAATTAACACTCGCGCGACGAATTTCCAGGTAAATTATTTGATCGCCAAAGAAAGAAATCACGCAATGAAAATCCAGCACGACTCGACCGTGATCTCGTCGATGAGTTTACATGCAAAACGAAAGTGTAAGGTGGAAAACAGGGCGGGGTAGTAAGATCAGAACCGCGCCCATGCGCTCGGCAAGGATAGCTCGATGGTCAATAGTTCGCCTTTCTTTACTACTGATATTTCTTAAAGAAAACTGATCGTCCGTTGATCTATGAAAATATGCATAAATCCATTTTCAAAGCGGGGAAGGTCGAAAACGTGGAATTATTGACGAAGGCCCACGGAGAGGCTGGCGAAGAAAATTTTGGAAAATATAAAATTCATGGACCCACGAATATTGCAGTTGAGTACATGAACTTGCACATAGTTACTTGGGACAGGCACGGTTAACCTGAACACATACGAAATACATATATTCTTAGGGACGTAACGTAGAATCAATTTCATGGACTAAACCATTTTTGAAAATCCATGATAAATTTACTCTCATACTAAGTGTCAGTATGGGGTTTGAAGAGTTGAAAATGCACGCGATGACACATGTAAGAAAAAATATTAACCATGATAACTTAGCTGTCAAAATAGAAACACGGTATATTTAAGGCGAACGCTTGAACTTTAACCTCTGAATTGAAGAGGGATGAAAATAAAATAAAAATGAAACCCACCATTGATGGTTGTGCATTTTCATGTAAATGTAGAGACAAGAGACGAGTACGCCGTTGAACCAGGGACAATCCTCTGTGGCCTAGTGATCCTTGGTAGCCAAGGAGGAGTCACGTTTAGGTATCCCAGGACGGTCGCATTCTCGAATCCACGATCAATCCTCGCCCTGAGCAAAGGCGTTAGCACCACGAGTCGTGCGTTAGCACCTGGTCGGCACTAGAGCATCTTCCTCGTGTTCACTCGCGAGCACAGTAAACCATCCCAGGAACTGGCTGGTTCGAGAAGAAGAGTCACAAGGGCTGGATCAAGCGGCACCATCACTACTGTTCCAGAATTCAACGGCGACCCGTGAAGATTGGCTGCGCTCGACTTCAGCTGTTTCTGTCCCTCTCACTGTTTCCCTTACTCACTTCTCTTTGACCCTCACTCGATTCCACCCTCCATTTCCCTTGTTATCATCCTCTTCGACGGCGTCTCTTTTTCGTCCTCTCCTGCCGCGATTCGCTGCTGAATATTCTTTCCTCCACGAGTGGGCTAACAGTCGAGTCGGTTCGGCTCACGAGTCGTACAGCCCCAAACACGCCCCAGCAAGCGATACGTAGAGGTCGCTAGAGACAAAAGGGAAAACGAGGAGTGGCAGATGGCGAGTAGGCGGACGGCCGGCGTCGCCAGCGGGAAAATCTCCTACGTATCGGCTGCGAACTTCGGTGAGGGATGAAAAGGCCGATAGTGAGACCGAGCGAGTGAGCGAGTGGGCGAGAGACAGTAGTAAAGGAGGGATGACTTCTTTTTTCTTCCACCTTCCTTTTTACAGCCGAATCCTCGAGAGTCCACGTAGTCACTGAATTATCGTTGATACGTGCCAGCGCTAGAGGTATGATTGGACCGTGCGACCAGCACGGGATTCTCACTGGCGTTCACGTACAATGGTTGAAGAAACCAGGAACGTCACCAGGAACGTCACCTGGAACCGATGGACAAGGGTTGTCTCGAGTCTCTTAGGATAATATAACCGCGTGGAAATTGGAATTTCAACGTGATCAACTACGTATCCGCCCCTGGGTCTAGGGTGAGTTGCGCACTCGCAATGCACACCCTGACCCCACCACTACTTGGCGCCTCTTCCATCAGCTACGATTCTACTCGGCTCTTCCTGTTCCACTTGGACCGACTTGGACCTCCTTCGCTGCTGCTCCAGATGAGCTTTCTGCTGGTCTAGCGTGGGTGACACAGGTTCACCTAGATATGTAAATAGATACTGGTAAGAGGACCAGGCCAGGATGGACTTTTATCATAGGGTATACCTACGTCACAGGGCGTCCATTCATCTTCCAGAGATATATGGAGAAACAGAGCCTTGGCTGATGATGACCAGGAACCGTTGTTAGACGCAGAGTACCGGTGGTTGTTTTTTTATATGCCTGGAGGGGGGGGATCACCCTCCATAAGAGTGCTCCTGAGGATGACTTGATCCTATATTGGATTACGCTTGATTCATCTCAGGAATTTTGGAAACTCTTTAGCGGTCCGAATGGATTGCGGGAGGCTGCGAAGGAAAATGAGAAGGATTAGGGAAAAGTCCGAGAGAATTCATGTTGCAGTTTCATCGGACACTCACTCAGTCGTACAGGAGGCTCCTTGGGGATGGTGTACGTGAACGTCCAAGTGTAGAAATCGATATCTGGATTTCCTGGGCATAAATGGGAAGGCTAAGTAGAAACGTTGGATAACTGCAAAGAGAGAAAGAGAGACGTTCGACTAGAACGTGGAATTGGATGGATTAGAATTCACTCAAAAACTTGTACCCTCGATTAAGAAAGGTAATTCACATACAACTGTTTATTGAGACATGTAGAATACATCTGGTCATACACAAAAATCTTTGACACTTTAAATCAAGCTCCTAGCCCGAAAAAGGAACCATTTTAACATTGTTTTTTTTTTTTTCGTTTTAAATTCATCATTAAATCATTACGTTTAACTACTTCACACTAAAATTAGGGGCAACTTTTTTAAAAATTGCGGGAAATTAAAAAAAAAAGCAAAGCAATTGGTAGCTGAATAATAAAAATTTGAAAACACAATTAGCAAGTATGTAAGAATTTAGCTGTAATAAATTTCCTCGTCTTTCCGCACGTATATTTTTTGCCTTTTCTCGTTTTGCGCTTTTTTTGTTGTTGTTGTTGTTGTCGTTGTTGCCGTTGCCGCCGTTCTCGTTAGATTCAACCGTGATCTTACGTTTTTCTTTTTTTTTTCCAAATCCCGTCACATCCCTCACAACCGCGTAGCTGACGGGCGGCGAAAAAAAAAAGAAAAACGTAAAACGACCACGGACGCGTGATCGAAAAAAGAAAAAAAAAAAGAAAATTAAATCATAGTGATCGGCCGTAGGTATTGTTTCTCTTTTTTTTCCATACATTTTCTGTTGTTTTCCCTCGTTCGTCTCATTTTACCTCGAGTCCCTCCTCCTTATTACTGCTAAATAACATCACGTCACAAAATGCATATTCGCAGGAATATAATATATATTTATATATATATATATATAATTAAAAAAAAAAAAATAATAATAATAAACACGTCGGGCGCCGCTCGCCGTCGATTCGGCATTTTCAGAAATCATTGGGAGGAATTCGGCGGCCCCGGGCATCGTCATCGCGCAACATCCGCCTGACACGGGTCAACCGAAAAATAAAAAAAGGTCAAGTATTCCCAAGGACGCGCGCGCGCGCGCGCGCGTGTCTGCGTGTTTCACGTGTAAGCGCGTAAGTGTAAGATGTTCGTGTACGTGTGTGTATATCGCGAATTAAGGGCATTGCCCGGGTGAAAGGGCGCGCGGCTACAGCATCGCCAGCCACAGTGGTGCATTATCCTAAATGCGACCTTTGACCCCCCCCCTTCGATAGGCACCCCAGCTGCCACCGTTCATCGTAAAAAAAGGGTATAGGGTGAGTGATACTTTTGGGGTGCCACTTTGTATTTCTCTCTTTCTTTTTTTTTTCTTTTTTTTCTTTCTTTCTTTCTTTCCTTTCAAATACAGGGGTCACCGGCCAATATCGTAACGCTAGTACCTAGATCAGTCTAAAGTCTCGTCACCGTGAACTGCCTCCGCCTTTGCCTGTCGTGCTTCCTTGCTCCCCGCTGCAAGCCGAACTTTAATTCTCTATATATTCTATATATAGAGTTGTTTATTATTATTACTTCCATTCCAACATCTACCTATATCTCATTCGCTCTGGCGTTCATTTTATCTTTTTTTTCTCTTTCTATTATTATTTCCGATGTCTCTCTCTCTCTCTCTCTCTCTCTCTCTCTCTCTCTCTCGCTCGCTCGCTCGCTCTCTCGCATTCACGCTGTCGGTGTCCTTACTAGCTCGCTTATCCATCCCATTCGATTCGCTCTGCATATAAACATTACACGCCATTCCATTCCGTCGCGATTTGAAATATTACAAAATTCTTTTGGAGAAAGACAAGGATTTACTCTCCGTCTTTACGTATCTTTTTCTTCTTCTTCTTCTTCCTCTTTTCTTTTTTTTTGTCGTTTTCTTTTATAGTGAAATATTATCATGTCATTAAAAACCCACTCAGTATGATTAGCAATATCATTCTTATTATATTGTTAATATTAATATTATCATATCCTCGATATTATGCTTTTATAAATAGGATAGAGGAACAGAATAGGGCG